TCGACTTATGGACGTCCAGGAGTCAGAGTTCCCGCCTGACTGCACACTGTGTGAAGCAGATCTCCGGCAGGGAACTATCACACCGGGGGATGTTCGGTGGTGTGGCACTCCCGTCGTCCACAGTCGAGTTCGAGGCAAAGAGTTTGACCCGAAGGTCAGCCTTCTCTTTCGCACTATGGGCCAGACTGTCATCGAGCTTGCGTAGTGGTGGGAGACTAGACCAGCAAAAGTTTCCTTCTGCAGCTTTGGCGAGCGACCAAAAAGCACGGCTTCCAGAGGGATAGCTCTTAAGTCGCTCGCCAATTCTAGCAACGTGCTTCGACTTCGCCTTACCAATAACCTTCTTGTAGGACCTGGAAGCGGCGTTATATGTCCGCCTTTCCTCTGAGACGTTAGGGTCCTGACGTCTCCTAACGTCATCCCATGCCGTGTATGCGGACCGCTTAAGGTGTGCAGCATCCCTTCTGGCATTATTATACCGCGACCCCAACGGGCACCTCAGAGGAGGGAATAAACAATTCCATCCCCTGGAGCATCACGTCTTTAAGACGGTCCGCACAGACGTCAGGATCAGCAGAACCGCCCCCATGGGTAGGATGCGTAAAATTCACGTAATCCATCCCAGTCTGCTGACAGTGACAGTACCGAACTTCTTATGAGGTTCCCACACTTAGGGCGCACACGAGCTATGTGGGACTCGGTGGTCGAAGATGTAAAAGACCCACCCACTAAACGACAGTGTAGTGGCAACCCGTTTTTTGCAAGTTTTATTTTTGATTGATTAAAATCTGCTTGCAGTATTTGATCGTCGGTATTGTCACCTGTCACATCGCTCGATGCGAGTACACCGGCCGTCTTATCCTTTAGACCACCACCCCAACTTCAAAAGTTATGGGCACCTATTTTCTTTGATGACAGATCGATAAAAGTACGGAGCGTATAATCGAACTCAAATATACCGATATTTGCTGATATTTATTCTCGTCTGGCTACCCCGTACCGTCGTCTTATGTTAGAAGCGGATTGTCGGTGAATTTCGTTAGGATGTCGCGGGACCGGGCCCAGGGCGGCATGTTAGCCGGATGACTGGACACTGCGCATAATGATGTGTGCTGTTATGAAAGTACCGTATCTAATAATACTAGACTTGGTCGCGTACGACGGACGGACGAAAAGTCTTACGGCTATGTAGTTTTGTAGAAATAAAATTTGTATATTTTTCCTCTTCCCTCGTCTGTGAATTTAACTACCACTCCTTGCTTATTACTTTCAAAATGTGAGAGTTTAATGAAATACTTATACTAAAATGTTCTTCTAAAAATCATGATGAGTAGTGTTGTGAGAGTATTTTTAATATTTTTACTGGTAGGACCTCTTGTGAGTCCGCACGGGTACCACCACTCCGCCTATTTCTGCCGTGAAGCAGTAATGCGTTTCGGTTTGAAGGGCGGGGCAGCCGGTGTAACTGTACAGAGACCTTAGAAGTTATATCTCGGGGTGGGTGGCGCATTTGCGTTGTGGATATCTATGTGCTCCAGAAGCTACTTAGCACCCGGTGGGCTATGAACTCGTCTACCCATCGAAGCTATAAAAAAAAATGAGAAGATAATACTCCCTACCATCCGGAATTTATTACCTGTTTCAACATAGGAAGTAACACTATGCATTATGTGTCGCTAAACCACAAGAGCCAGCAGTTATACCTGCTGGCACGTAGGTGTCTCGTTTTGCTAGTTAATTCTCAAAACGGTAATAAATCTCAACGCGACACACTAAACACGAACAGCCGAAACATGACTAATTGTATATCCCGTTAATTCCCGCAATCAAGTCGGTGATAAATTAACGCCATTACTAAATTATTCCCAGTTTCTAGATTAATCTAGAAGTCGGGCCGCAGTCCGACGCGGCCGCTCTTACATTATTACAGCATTCATTAGAGTTCGCTAATTACTCCTTGCTTTAATGAATAAGCTCTAATGAACCACTTTCTGTTAATTAAAGGCGGCGTGGGGGTGAAGGGGTGAGCGCGGCGTGAGGGGAACTGAGGAACTTTTCTCCGAGCTCTGATTGCAAATGTGAATTTGTGTAAGTCTGAGTGGAAAGAGTGTTCCCAGTGAAAAGGGGTAATGAGGCGGTAGAGTGAGGCCGAATTAGTTGTAACCCCACCACTGTACATTAGGTATGTTTTAAATTACGAATTGCATTACCTTCCACTGTGCAATTTATTGAAAATTAGTTTATTATCTAATGTATGCGTAATGGTAGGAGTTTTTTGTAAATTCAAAACTGTCCTATTTTTACCGCGAAGCAGTAATGCGTTCCGGTATAAAGAGTGGTATAGCATAGGCTATGTATACCATTCCAACATAGACCTCATGTCTCAAGAAGGGTAGCGTTATTCACGTTTTTGTCTACGGGCTCTGGTAACCATTTAATAGCCGGTGAGCCCAGAGCTCTTGCACCGACCCGTCAATGCAATAATAATAATAATAAAAAACAACGTTTAAAATCTGAAATTGTAAAATTAATAGAAAACATCCTAGTTTACGAAGTCAAGAATTTCCACTATAAATTAGTTGAAACGATAAATAAGTTTTTATGTTTAAAAATATATACGTAGGTACATGTAAAATATTTCAATTGCAGTACAAATTCTATTTTTTTTTATTGCCCTTGTAGGCAGACGAGCATACGGCCCACCTGATGGTAAGTGGCTACCGTCGCCCATGGTGTTCAGCAACGCAAGGGGCAGAGCCAAGCCGTTGCCTACAAATTCTATTTAAATTCTTTCTTATGTATGTATTTCTTGTAAAATACATAAGTGTTGTATGAAGACATCATAAAACTACATAACACTATATTTTAGTGTCTACTAGAACACTTACCTATGCGTTCAAGGGTTCTGTGAGTCCGAGATTGACAAAGGTAAAGAAATGCACAGCCGACTCGCTAACTTTGAAATACTAATTAAAATTTCGTTTTAATAATAAGAAATAAAAATCTGTGGCTCAGGAAAACCTGTGATAATTAAGTTAATACCAGGCCAATGATGAAACCCTCTTTAAATATTTTAAATCCAATTCTAGTACCAAATGTATTCTGCGATAAACCGATAGTCAATTGTACTTTTTTCTAATGGGAGTATGAAAAATCGATGCCACATCCCACACACACATCACGACTACAACACGTGTGCCTTTAATACGTATACACACGTTCAAGTAACAAACAAAAATTACAATGTGTTTGCGAAACGTTTAAGCAATGAGGTTATTGCTTGATTATGCACAATTTGTTTGTAACAAATTGTTCTTTTTTATCTTTGAGCATGATGATGAGTGGTTATCGTCATTCACGCCAAGAATTCCAGGGAAACACCCAAGTCGCTATTAAATTACAATTGCATTTTACGAAGAAATCAGCAATTTGGTGTGTACTTACACGACATTGCTAGTTTTAACACAAGTCAAACGTTCGACCCCAAAATTAAATAAATGCGAAGCAAGAAAGGCCCGTAGACCCTGTCTGAGTCGAAAACCATCCAAAAAATGAATGTAAACGGCTACTGTGTGCTTATTTTGAGTTTTTTAACGTTCTCGAGTAAATATTTATTTATTATTTATTTATTATACAAATATGATTTAACTTTTACGCTATCGAAAACGTTAAAAAACTCGCACTAAGCGCACAGAGCGCTACTTTGAAACGTTGGCGCGTTACGATAATCCAGTTATAGTTGTCACCGCTCACCAAGCTCATGCAGCAGTCAACTACCGTCGACGCCAAAGACAAGTCCTCGCGGATCCTTCTGAGTGCTTAGTGCGAGTTTTTTAACATTCTCGATAGCGTAAAAGTTAGCTCATATTTGTATGGAATGGGATCGTTTGCCTACGTTTTCCGTTAGGGGCGCTGTTCCAACTGCATACAAAAATGGGTTAACTTTTACGCTATCGAGAACGTTAAAAAACTCGCACTAAGCACACAGATCCTCTCTCAGTAATGCTGGACACGAATGGCAACGACCAAAGCACCTTTCATCGAACTCGTCGATTTCACCCTCGAGTTTCTCGCCGGATTTTCTCAATGGGTTGCGATTTCAATCCTATTGTAGATGCATTCGCGAAGCATCTACCCTTGAACTATTAAGCCTCCTACACTTGGTCAGTTTTTAGCTAACATCCTGGCTGATCTTTTAAGTTATCCCATCCGTGATCGTTCAATGCCAAAAAAAATTAAACCCAAACCCCAAATGCCATATGCATATTAAAAACCTGTCCAAGAATTGATTTACGATCAGCAGTAGTAGGTAGTCACTTACCGCTAGATCAACAAGACGATTTTATAATACTTAGTTGCATACATTGCAATTACAAAGTTGCAAGCAAGCCAAACCTCTACTTATAATGATCGATCGTTTTTCAGTTCGTGCAATAGATTTTGTTTTTTATTTATTAATACCATTATATAGATGCTTTTAGAATATATGTATCTGCTATCTAATTTTGTAAAATTTATCATTTAATAAAATGGTTCAAGCCAAAGGTTTTTTGGATACGGAACAGAAAAATAACTTTATTTTTTTAATTTTGTCTCAAGTTCGTTCCTACTTAATTTTCGTAGCCACGAACAACTGATTATTTGTAACGCAATCCTCTATGCGAAGTAAAATAGTAATTTTTAACAACGCCTACAAATCGTGAAGAACTTAGAATAAACAAAATAATACTCTCCGACCCTAACGGGGATGTTAAATGTGTGGCAAATAACATCACAAACACGATTAACAGAAAATTTAAACATTAAAACAAATCAATTTACCCACAATCAAACAGGATTCTAATGAAACTTTAGCGGCTCCGGTCTCAACACGCGTATTCCAATTAACTAATTAACAATTTTAGGACACGTTATGAAAATAATTGTGGTAACTCGAATAGTTAATAAGCGTGAAAATTGGAAGGATGGAGCATTGACAAAGGAAGCGTGGCGACTATAAAATCGAATTGCGGCTTCGAATGTTTCATACGATCGACAACCAGCTTTGTTGCCGTACACTAACTAACCAGGCCTAAGCATGTTCCAATACATTGCGGTAAGAATTTTCATATAAGTAGTTCAATCGATTAATATTGTCTTTGAAGTTTGTCTTATATGATTGACCTTCTCTAACAGATAGCGTGTTTACTCGGAGTTGCAGCGGCGGCACCATCGGCGACTCCAACAGCAGCAGCTTATGTGGCGGCAGTCGACAGCGTTGTAAGTTAAAAGACGTGGATGAATACGAGGTGGAAATTTAAGATCAAGCGTCAAACACTACAGAAATTCAAAGAAACAATTTCAAGTTAAAGTCTTTGTTTGCTGCTGCATTTCATCCTCTAGTATCGTATTAGATTATTAGTACTAATAAGAACTTAGAAGAAGAATCACTAGATCGAGAAATCCACTTTCTGTCTTCAATATTTACGGGTAATCTAAATGCTGATTTGACTGATTGAAAACTTAAAATTTCTACCTTATTTCATAATTCCAGTCTTTAGAATAAACTTGAACAATAACATTATCGTATCGATTCGTTTGTTTCACAGTCGGTACCGCACTACGGTTTCAACTACGCTGTCAACGACCCCCACACCGGCGACAACAAGGCACAGACAGAGTCTCGCGACGGAGACGTTGTGAAAGGCTCATATTCGCTCACGGAGCCTGACGGCACCATCAGAGTAGTGGACTACACTGCAGACTCCGTTACTGGATTCAACGCTAACGTGAAACGGCTCGGGCCGGCTGCACACCCGCAGACGCTTATAACGAAACAGGCGATCGTCGCGCCGGTTGTAACTCACGCTGTCGCTTCTGTGGCACACGTCCCAACTAGTCTCATATCTGTGGGAATAGGCCACGGACACGGCGGCCACCATTACGCAGGTCTAGGTCATATTGGCCACGGACACGGCGGCCACGATTACGCAGGTCTAGGTCACATTGGCCACTATGGGATAGGCCATGTTGGACACGCAGATCTTGCTCATATCGGTCATGGACATATCGGCCACCTCGGCTTAGGGCATGTAGACCTCGGTTACGCTGGAATCGGTCATCACGCCCACGTAGGTCTCGACCACATTGGCCACATTGGTCTCGGTCATGGAGGTCTCGACCACATTGGCCACATTGGCCTTAGTCATGGAGGTCTCGACCACATTAGCCACATTGGCCTCAGTCATGCAGGTCTTGACCACATCGGTCATGGTCTCAGTTTGAAGCATTAGGCATTTTAAATTTGAATTATTGTACCTCGAAATAATTTAGCCGCGCTTTTACTTGTTAAAATGCGGACATGACTTTTCTAATAAAACTTTGAACAAAATCAACGTTTATTTTTTTCTGAAATAGAAAATAAAACACAAACCCCTCACTACACAAATATTTATTTAATAAATACCATCAACATATTCATTTAAATGCACAAAATATTTGAGCGATTACACTAAGTCCCGGAGGTCAGTATTCAGAAGACTGTTATAATTCATTTACACGTATGATACTATCGTTAATCCCGAGGGAATGATTTCGAAGGGTCGCGTTTCATAATTACGTCTTAGGAATCCGCCCTTCCCCGAAGAGGAACAAACAGAAACGGTCCACCAAATACGCGAACAACATATCAGCTATCAAAACTTGCACGAGTATCACCCGGTACTGAAACAATTGAAATTGCAATTAAACATGTTACAAAAAAAAAATACTAATTATTATTCACAATGTGCCAACATAGCGTTTTATTAAAGTTTTTTTATTTATTGCATCGACAGGCTAACCAGCTCACGGACGACCTAGTGAAGTGGTTGATGGAATCTCTTGATATCATTACGCGAATTCCGCCACCTACCTGCCTTGATGGTGGTAGGACCTCTTGAGTCCGCACGGGTAGGTACCACCACCCTGCCTATTTCTGCCGTAAAGCAGTAATGCGTTTCGGTTTGAAGGGTAGGACAGCCGTTGTAACTATACTGAGACCTTAGAACTTATATCTCAAGGTGGGTGGCGCATTTACGTTGTGGATGTCTATGGGCTCCAGTAACCACTTAACACCAGGTGGACTGTGAGCTCGTCCACCCAACTAAGCAATAAAAAATAAATAAAAAAAAACATATGCTCATGGTGATTGATGCCTCGCGTACGTCTTGAATGATCGCCCTTTACAATGAGTGCTGCTGCAAACAAAGCAATCATGCGTTCTGTGTTAGTGATTGATTTTCCTTCGTTCCATTTCCGTTCCGTTCGGTGTTAAGTGGTGGTGGCTGTGAGATCGTCCACCCATCTAAGCAATCAATTTTTTATCTAAGATTGGATACTGGTCCGCCCTAGAAACCGGGAAGCATGACTTGTTTGCGATAGAAAAAGGCAGGAAGATGGTACCTACCCATGCGAGCTTACAATACATCAGTAACAGTACAGTACAATACAATGAAAATGCGGTTTTAAATTTCAAATTCGAAACCCATTTTTTTTATTGCCCTTGTAGGCAGACAAGCATACGGCCCGCCTGATGGTGAGTGGTTACCGTCGCGCATGGACTTCAGCAATGCCAGGAGCAGAACCAAGCCGCTGCCTATTGTTAAGTACTTTTCGCAAGCCTCGTTTGAAGAAGGACAAGTCATATAGGAGCCCATATAGTCCCAGTCCCATATAGGGACTTAAAATACAGGGTGTTTGTTGTTTTTAATTAATACACAATAATTTTATGTTCAATTAATTCACCTTGATACTTGATATGGGAAAAGTAAATCTAGACTGAATTTATTAAGCTATGGAATTTCATTTGTATGTAAAAGAATAAAACTACTATAGACCATAAAATAAAAATAAATTTTTTCATCAACTTGGTATAAATTAGAACTCGTTATTTCTAACCGGCAAAAATGGGCAGAATTGTCAAGCATACATTGGGCTTACAACCTTTAGTGGCTAAAAAAACTCATCTGACATTAAAGGAAAAAATACTTAATAGTCAACTTGATTGAAGTCATCGTGGCCTAAAAGATAAGACTTCCGGTGCATTCGTATCTAACGATGCATCGATGTTCGAACGTACTTAACAAATGTTCACGATTACTTTCACAGTGAAGGAATAACATCATGTAGTAAAAAACAAACCCGCAAAATTATAATTTGCGTAATTACTGGTGATAGAACCTCTTGTGTGTCCGGTAGATATCAACCCCCTGCTTATTTCTGCCGTGAAGCAGCAATGCGTTTCGATCCATTGTAACTATATTGAGGTAACCACTTAACACCAGGTGGGCCGTGAGCTCATCCAGCCACCTAAGCAATAAATAAATATTTTCTATACTTACATCCGGTGGGAAGTATACTATTTCGAACATGTTGGAGAGGTCAGGGAATATCCCGGCTGCGAGAGCAAGCACCGCCCCTCCGGATATCACAATGCTGTACAGTAATGGTTTGTTGTCCTTCAAACCTTGCATGAACGGTTCACCCTGAAACAAATACGATAAATGAAAATTGCTCTGGTAAGACTCTTTATGCGTTAAAAGGAGAAATATAATGCCTATCTATCATATATCTTCCTATGTCATCACTAGAAAAAGTAACATTTTTCACTTGCCAATAATAAAAAAAACTAAATGTCTTCTTAATTAATACGCTTTTATTAGATTCAGACGTATGTATGTTAGTATGTAACGGAATCTTTGAACACGATTTCGACCCCCTTCAAAACGTCGGATTAACTCGAAATTTGGCATACTTATTAAGGAGCGATGACAATTCAATATTAAAAAAAATTTTGAAAAAATTTAAATTTAACTAAAAAATGAAAAATAAACAATAGTTGAAAAAAACTAAAAAATACGCTTATATAGAAACCAAAATCCATAAAAAAAAAACCATCACAGAAAAAAAGATTATTAAAATTTATTTTCTATTTTATAGTTGGATTTTCTATAAAAGCGTATTATTTTTTTTTTTTAAACTATTATATATTTTAAAATTTTTACTGACATTAATATAGAAATTGTTACTATATCGTTACTTACTCTGTAGTTGATAGCAAAAGTGGAAATCTGTAACGCCATTGATATAATATAAACGGTGCTGTTCAGTAAATCTGGAGCGAATTCTCGATCTTCGTCTTCAGCTAAATCCATATCTAATTTCGGTTTATTGTCCCTGAAAAAAAATTATAGACATGACATTTAAATATACATATTATAAACATAACAAATCACAGAGTAAACATATATTGTATGTATACTTTAATATATTTTTACGAATTGACGAAAACGAATTTCTCTGAAATATTGTAGGTGAAGCGTAGAGCACTCTCCAATATCCTCTTTATCCGCAGAAGTTATGCGTTTTGGTTTGAAAGGTAGCATTCTTACTGAACGATAGACTTCAACCTCATGTCTTTCAGCCTCTTAAGGTTACATTCGCAACGTGAAGAAAGATAGTCAGCCTCCCCTCTCTTTCTTCTTCTAAAAATTTCTGCTTTTGTAAATTTAGTCCCTTATTTATAATCATGTACTTATACTATACTATACTTTGCTTTGTCTTAGCCACCATGAATATCCAAACTAACTTTTTTTCGCCTCTTGATTTGATTTTGATTTTTGACTAGAGTCGGCACAGTTACAGGGAGTGTCATTGAATTCCAAGGGTAACACCCAAAAACGAACTATCAAATTTAATGTGCAAGTATTTGTAATGTAATTCCCAGACGTCTTCAATCTTCCTAAGTCAGTCAACGAATGTGCTTCGATTCAACCAGAGCGATGACACCCCGATGAACTGAGCCGATGTTTGATGAATAGTTGCGGCTCACATTCCCTAGGTGGCATGCTTTCGCTTCGTTTGTCGAGTCCGAATCCGACATAATATATTATACTATGCTATCTATAAATATATTATATAATTATATGACGTATAATAAAACTCACCGGCCAGGAGATCTCACTGTAGCCTCGTGCACCAAATAAATGAGGCACAGGAAGTGGACCGCGAACTGACTGAGCACCGTCATGATAGTATACATATTGAATATATTTGGCAATGGACGCTCTTTGGATAACTGCTTCAATGGCTAAAAAAATATTAAATTAATTGTGGCAACTTAATTTGAAATTATTCGCAAAGGCTATATTGTTTCGCGGCAGTAACAGGCAGGTTCGTGGTAGCTGTAATACATTATAAAATTAATTCTAAACTGAAATTATGGTTTGCACTTTAATTCGCAACAATATAACTGGTGGTATCACCAGTATCACAATTTTACTGGTGGTAGGACCTTTTGTGAGTCCGCATGGGTAGGTACCACCACCACCCCGCCCATTTCTGGCGTGAAGCAGTAATGCGTTTCGGTTTGAAGGGTGGGGCAGCCGTTGTAACTATACTGAGACCTTAGAACTTATATCTCAAGGTAGGTGGCGGCATTTAAGTTGTAGATGTCTATGGGCTCCGGTAACCGCTTAACAGCAGGTGAGCCGTGAGCTCGTCCACCAACCTAAGCAATAAAAAAAAACACGATTCACGTACCTTAGACCTCGAAATGAACAAGAAACACGACGCCAACAACAAACTCTGCAACGTCGCTTGGGTGTCACTGAATTTGATTCCGTCTAAATATAACACGGACTGACTGTACGCCAATATCAAAGCGTTCAGCGCTAGGATCTTGAACATCTGCAGCGTGGTCACCAGCGTGCAACGGCCTTGTTTGATGATGTGACAAACTGCAAAATTAAAGTTGCATTTGTTATACTAAGGTTGTGCGAGCACTAATTCGTTTGCCAATCTGAGAAAAATAAAAATACAAGAAATAAGTACACTCATTCACATTCGGCAGCATTGAGGTCTATGTGTTCTGTTGACGCTGGGTGTACCGTGAGCTCACTCGGTTGACTATGAAATTAAATAATACCTACGTAATCACTACGTAGTATAAAAGAAAGTCGCTTTCTCTGTCCCTATATCGATCTGTCCCTATGTATGCTTAAATCTTTAAAACTACGCAACGGATTTTGATGCAGTTTTTCTTAATAGATAGAGTGATTGAAGAGGAAGGTTTATAATAATATGTATAATAACATCCATTAAATAGTGGAGAAATCAATAATAAATTATAGTTCCGAAGAGAAGCGAGTGCGGGTCGTTAGTTAAAATTAAAATAAAAAACATTTCAATAATTTAAAATGAGAATATTGTCAACGTAGTCAAAGTCAATTAAATATAACTCAAAAACGAATTGTCAGATTTTGATGAAATTTTAATAGGACCACATGGAAATCACCAGCTTTCAAATAAAACAAGAATTTTCAAAATCGCTAAAACGCATAAAAAATAGTCTAAAGTCTGAGAATATCCTTCTTTTTTGAAATCGGTTAAAAAGCACTCAAAAATACTGTATAAATAAATACTCACTGCAAAGTATACTTGAGAGTCGGCTGGTAAAAGGAGCCGCGACGCTAGCGTCTCCGAGCCTCACCACCTGCGGTTGGTCGTCGTCTTCGAGTTCCTTCATGGCGCGGCGGAATCTGGCGGCGGCGTCGGCTCGTGCGTCGGCGCGCGGGTCCCTCGGGCGCCGCCCCCGCTCCGGCTCCGGAGGACGTTCCTCTCGAGGTTTCTCGCGGATTCGTTCTGGGGCATTAGCCAAAATAGCCACTCCGACCTGCAATATGTAACATAAGTATTAACTAGTGGTATTAACTAGTAACTTGAGTATTAAGCGGTAGGCAGCAGCTTGGCTCTGCCCCTGGCATTGCTGAAGTCCATGGGCGACGGTAACCACTCAACATCAGGTGGGCCGTATGCTCGTCTGCCTACAAGGGCAAAAAAAACATAGTACTAATATTGAGTGTGTACATTATTTTATTAGAGAAGGAACTGTGTTAGACGATAATTACCCACGTATCTTAATGCGGCACTTTTTATTATTTACCACCTAATTTTACATAGTTCTCATGAGCTTCTCGATTCAGAGCCTAACCTTCTGTTGCAGTCATAGCTGGTCGAAGACCACAGCGTAAATACCGCTAACAAGATTCAGCTACATAGATTCAACAGTTGTCTTGTTTGTTAATTATAGGACATAAAAAGATTGGTTGTTATTAAAATCGATTAGATTTAAAAAAAAAAACTTACATCAGCATGTTTTAACGCTCCGACATCATTAGTTCCATCGCCGCACATGAGCGTGGTATATCCCAAAGACTTTAACGTGACCACTACGAATTCCTTCTGCTTGGGCGCGAATCTGGCAAAAACCTTGATGTGCGGCATCAATTCGAGGAGAAACTTACGATGATTTTCATTCAAGAAAGTCAGACCCTCACCGGTTATGCAAAGATCGAATTTCGAGGTCAACGATTTTGTTTTCTGAGACGGTTGCACTGGAAGATTTAGTTCTTCATCAATTGATTTCCATGCCCACTCCCCATCACTCTCGGTCAATATCAAAACCTCCTCTTTTTGGATGAATTTTAATTCTTTGGCTACATGACACGCCGTCAGCGGATTATCACCCGTTATCATCACGACTGAATGCGAAGCGTGAACAATTTCAGCTATAGCTTTCTTTGAGTCCGTTTTTAATGGACATGATATTATGACGAAACCTACAAACGTTAGGTCACATTCAATGTCATCCCGGGATAAATCCCTTATCTCTTGAGATGTCAATTTTCCTAAATTTCTATAACCCAGAGCTAAAACTCGCGCGCCTCTCCTCGAGAGCGTTAGATAAACATGATCATAATGACTAGGGACATCCTTAAGCATCGATTTGATTGTTTCTGGGGCACCCTTAACACTACTGATGTAGTGAGTCTCAATAAAACCTCTTTCATTGATCTGATAACCTGCTATCACGGACATTCTTTTGAGAGCACTAGAAAAATGATTTCTATGAACAATTTTCAGGCCAGGTGACTTCCCCTTCTTTGGTACTACAGCATCGCTTTTGGTGAGGTTCCACTCTGCTGCCTTCAATGTAGCTTTTTCTAATGGATCCCCAACAATTCCATCGTCAAGTTGAACTAAAGAGTGGCACGATGCTAAAACTTGAACAGTCTCCATTGGAGCTTCAGAAAGGGGAACCACTGTTGCATCTTTGTGTTCTCCTATTCCAGCTACTCCTTCAACAACTAAATTATCACTTGTCAATGTTCCAGTCTTATCGAAACAACATATTTCTACTTTACCAGCAAAGGGTATCCTAAATGGTTCTGTACAGAATACGGCCAATTTCGATAAAGACAACAATGACGTATTAACTGCTAGAGACAACTCTATGGGCAGTTCAGGCGGAACAACCGATGTCAATATTAAAGTACATTCCAAAAATAATTTGTATCTATTTCGCTCAGGATCTTCGCAACCCTTGACCCACACATAGGCCGCAGCAGCTACAGCAAATATAAGCAAAAACATTATGAATCCAAAAGTTTCAAGATTATTAGCTGTGACCCTTTTCACTCCAAACAAAATGGTTCTTAGCAGTTTACCCTGTGATGTGTTAAAACCATTACGTATAACATAACCAATGCAACCATTATCCGGGGCTTTAAGCCCTGAAGGTGAGCTTTTGGATGGTGAGGAATGTTGTACAATCTTAGTACCACCAAAAAGCATGTGAAGTTTACCATCACCCTCAGGTTCTAGATGTTGCTGGAGGTCCTTTTCATTTTCCAAAGCTTCTTTCATTTGTGGAACACTCTCACCAGTCAACATGGACTCATCTACAATACAGGACCCCCGTAAGAGTATTATGTCACAAGGGACCAGGTTTTCGTTGACGGATCTTGTGAGGGATACTATGTCACCCGGTAAAAGCTGATCGCTTGTTATTTGTCTCCACCTCCTGTTTCGATATACATTAATGTTGTAAGGCTTATTGCCCATCTTTCTGATCTCAGCCATATTTCTGAGCTGTTGCTGCACCAATGTACATTCAAACATAACCAACATCACTAGTGTGAATATTGAGTAATACCAATACTTATCCAAACACCACAGAGCTACACAAAATACTTGAAATACAAAAAATGGTGCTGTTGCTCTCTCTTTAAAAAGTTCCATAAATTCCGGAACAACCTGAAAATTAGTAGAGTGGTTTGTATGGTTCAAATATTTTTAAAATAACATTCTTAATTTAATTTTCATTTATATATGTTTATGATTTTACAAAGATTACTTACCATAACCATCTCATTTTTACCAAATTCCTTTTCTGCTAAGTCAATAGCCTCATCATCAGAATATCCTTTGGACTCCATATATTCTTCATAAATTTTATTGATAGGAAATTCTATGGTGTGAAAATTCTTTTTATCCCAGTCATACACATATTTACTCTTTTGAAATATGAACCAAACATCTGGGTGTATACTGTCTTTTTTTGTTGACTGTAAATCAAATGTATTTTAAAATAAATCTGAACTAAGTGAAAATCGAGTCGAAGCCCTCATTCTCTTCTCTAAATTGTACCCTGTACTATCATTAACTTTGAATGTATTTTTTTTTTTCCTACCTAAGCTGATAGCCTTGAGTGGCTATTTCAGCGGAACCTTAATTAGTAGGTGAGCTCACGGGGCTCAAACCTGACGACGTTGCGTACACGAACCCTAGCAAGAGCCGTGCTTCGCAGAATCTACCACCGGATCGGAAACGCGACCCACTGAGAAGATCCGGCGAGAAACTCAGTGGGCTCTGTCTGAGGGTTAAGTTACTCGTCGAGCCCTACGTCGCAAGCGACAGGTTCAACGAGAATTTGAATGTAAAACTTGAAACTTAAAACTTGAAAACCATGAACAAGCTGGAAAAATATTTTTGGTTATTTGTAACAAGCATTCCACATTCAAAGGCCTGAAGCTACAGAGATTTCTACCATGTAATGTGTCTGTTTTTGAAAGAGAAAACTAATACACTGCGATCCCTACCTAATGCCAAACACTTGCCAATACAAATGCCAAAAAAAACAACTAAATAGAATACATCTAAGACTATGTGATACAGTATGGCCATATTTACTAGCCACTATACCAATAACTTGGTACCTTCAATGTGATACAGATGTAAATCATTTTATTCCAATACTGTGTGAAAATCACAGTTGAAAAATTTTAATATGGTTTTAAAGTTCACTATATCTTACCTTTGTATGATGTAGTCGAACAAGCTCAGATGATCCATTGTTAGAAGTCGGTACAACCTTGACTACCTCAGCTTGTATTGGATCTTTAACCTGTCATCAACATCATATAGCAAATGTAAAGTCTCTAATTTCTTTTTTAAAATATTTTGCTGTCTAAGGACTTACCGCTGAACAAGAAAGGAAGCAGTTGATATGAACACTCCAGTAACAACACAAACATATGAGGATCTGAACTGTTGCTATCACAGCCACAGTCACGAATCCTGCCTCGAAATTATCTTCTATACCGTACACAACGATCCATGAATAAAAAACCAGAGGGTAAATAAATAGAAAAGGCAAAACCGTGCCTTGTAAAACAGTCGGAACAGGCTTGAAAAGCTGTGTATACTGAACTAAATCATCTAGTGACGACTGCATCTTTACCATCGATGTCGCTATGAAAAATTCTATTAATTGATACGGCTTCTAACGCAGTTGCCAAATTTTAACTAAATGATACTATCACGCAGCATTGCTCCATTCAATTGATTGGTTTTAATTCAAAATAATGGTTTGATTTCGGAGTCTAGCCAACTTGACAGATTATTGACATGTTGTAAATTGCAAAAGAAAGACGTGAGTGAAGTGCATAGAGAATGACCGAAGTGTAAAACCGGAAAGAGCAACAACATGTGCATTACCAGCAATTCGAATATACTATGTGTATAATCTATGACCAGCAACGTCATTAGCCCACATCAGCCCAATGAAGTAGGAAACCTATGGAAATGAAACGTCAACCAAAATTTCGTGCCAGTGTGACGTCATCTGGCCACAAAACATGGCGGCTTTAGTGCTGTACAAAAGATTTCAATGTTATCAGGTTTTATCGATAAACGTTCTTGGCTCATTTTATTTTAAATATTGTTGAGTATTATTTATTTGTAGAATTTATACTTTAATGGGAAGTAAGTAGGTATATTGTTATGTGCAAATATGATATGATTTAGATGGGTGAAATCTAAGACAAGTTCGTCCTTCGAATTTGCCAAGTAAACGATATGATGATTTTTAAAAGTTGCTACACTGATTTTATAAAGTTGTCGTTTGTCGCAAAACATAAAGATATGGCGTAGTTCAAAGCCATCAGCCCATTTCTAGCATGCTAAATGTTATCGTATTTTGAGTACGTGTTTTTCTTAGACTATTACAATCTATTTTAATTGTTTTGCTGACTCTAAAGTCCGTAACATACTACCGCAGCGCACCCCAAGGAAGGTGCGCCGCACCATTTGAATCACTTTCGCTTGAGAGTGATTCAAATTTTAAACTTATCAAGGGACCGCGTGAAAAAAAAAACACCTACAGAACATTTATTCATTAATTACAAACGTCATTCCTTGTGACTTCCTCTCTAAAATCACTTAATTATTAAATATTTAACAAATTTACAATAGTGTTTTACTCACTGCGGAATAAAACTATTTTATTTAAATAGTTCCGAAGAGATTTTGTCGGTAGCCTTTTTCCCGAAATATCTAAACAGAATGTCTAAATATGTTTTGATGACATATTTTAAAGTGGTATTTATGATTAGTGTCATGATCAATAGATTCCGACCGAAAAATGGATTTTTCGGATGAGGGCTCCATAATGAATTTAAATACATATAGATAATAGTTTTAGGACATCGACTTTCTTGAGATCCTATAAAATACGTTTTAATTATTATTTTTGTATGTTTTAAGCATGATAAATTATGAAATTTTATATAATCAATCATATTAAATCGATATCAAAGTCAATAAATAATGTACAACCCAAAACAGACGGCCGAACTGACGTGACAATGACATTTGGCGCGCTAAACATGGCGGATTTTCGGCCTCATTAGACGGAGACGGAGATATTTACGTATATTCATGTTTCATTTTATGTACGCACTGAAATACTGTTATATTGTTTTCCTGCGAGTTAAAGTGCTGAGTAAGAACGAGATAGATATATGTTTATGTATGTGCCTTCAAAATGGGTGCTATTTATATAAGCATTTGTACGTATAGAACAATATGTCGTGTCCCTACTATATAGGTCTATGCATCAGCCTCACTGTTTGAATATACAAAACCTGATTTTTGTAATTTTCAGCATTCCATTTTAGGTGGAAATAAGACTTATACAACTCGTGAGTGATTTGTTTTGATGAATAGTTTAAGTTTTTTTAGCTATGATATTTTAGGATAAAACATTTTTTTAAACTATCATTTATTTTCTTTACTAAAATATAAAGCCATTTTCGTCACTATAAATTCGTTGAGCCGAATCTTTAATATGTTATTATTCAACACGATATTTAAAAAATTTGGTAATTACTCTAGAAACTACGGTGGGCGTCAGATATTGATGAAAACAAATCTAGCAGTTTGTGGGACCCAGTCATAGAAATACTCTATAATAAATATAGTAGAAAATTAAAATCACGTGCGCATAGTCAGCGCAAATTATACGACGGGATATTTTGTCTGCAGTATAATAATAAAAGAATAATGATTTGATCCGTCACACTATTCAACTTAACTAAAATATTACATATAATTATGAAACTTTAGTTCGTTGAAAATTTTATAAAAATTTATTAATCCCATGGGTTTATTTCTTTATTTACCTCACTCTGATTCAACCCTCGCATCAACATCACCCCTAAGTTCTATTTACCGGTTTCCAGTGTGGCCACTAAGTATAACAAAGAATAAATTGACATCAAGCGATTTAACTATTAAGTGCTGTAATGAAGCTATCACTATCTATACAAAACCGTTATTTTAACAAGAGCGATGTTATCAGAACTATCAATTTACCAGTAACGATAAACAAAATTTCAGGACTTTTGGTTTTAAAGTGTTCCCTCGCTAATAAGCTTCGTAACTTCGACTGAAACGCTGTAAACTTCTTTACTCGCTATGGTTTTCGTCCTAATTAAGAGTTTGAGGCATTGGCATTTTGAATTCCTCAGTCACTTGGTCTGACCAATGGCTTTTTAAAATTGTTACGATATCATAAAAAACTTGTTTTCAATAATAGATCAGGCTTCGGATTAAGTATTTTAATACTTGTAAGAACATGGTTTTATGTTTATAGTTTCACAGAGGTTCGTGTATAGCCTTCGAAGGCAATGAAAATTCTTGCTGTAATTTTATTTTAGTCTTAAATCCCATTTTGTTTGTCGTTATTGTCGTTGTGTGGTCATGAAAAAAGCAATTACCATTAGTCTTATCGTTCTTTCATTATGTACAAAACTGCGAAAGCTGAAAATCAATCTGAAACAAACACAAGACAAACATGGATTTAATCTTTATTCTAAACTATTTTGGGCTACGATGCTTTTGTCTCTTTTGTGGACAAACCAACAATGATGTCTGTCACTGTCACTTGTCACTATTGTGATTTGTGTCTAAAAAAACTGGCGCCAAAATTGTTCCAGTAGCAAGCGTAACAATAGTGCTAAACATTATTAACAAGACTTTATAACACAATAAAGGTTTAAAGTAATTATTGAATATATAAAAAAGTATGGATTTCAAAGTTAAAAGAAAATCAACCAAAACTCCAGCAACAGGTAATCAATTCGAACTCTATCCACATGACTTACAATTGTACAAAATTCCACCGGTTGAAAACATCACTTTACAAGAATTTGAAACATTAGCTCTGGAGCGTGTAAATTTGTTAAGAACGTTGTCTACAGCTACAACTCTTCGAGGGTTGCGTTTAAATTCAGAAGAATTTGTGGAGTTCGTACTAAACGATTTACGAACACAAGGTTTGAAATATTATGCTAAATTGTGTGAGAAATCGGGTTGTGGATCTACTAAAGCAGATTTTGAAGCGCGAAGAAAAGATCACATTGCTCATTTTATACTCCGACTTGCTTATTGTCGGACTGAAGAGTTGCGACGTTGGTTCATCGCAAGGGAATTGGAACTATTCAAAATGAGATTTGCTGTCATGAGAGGCGAAGCGGTAGAGGTATTCTTTAAACTAAACAATCTATGTTACACTACTATTTCTGAGGATGAAAAAAACGAAGTAATACAAAACTTAATAGAATCTACACCTTACTCTAAAATAGACAATATGAAATTCTATAAAGTTAAATTCTTTGAAGTTCTAGATTTGGTTAAAGCAAGAAAAGTCTTTCTTAATGGTGGATACGCTTATATACCTCATAGAGATTTCATATCAGTTCTTGCAGCACAGTATCGAACACATTTAAAACAAAATTTGGCCAAAGCTTGCCATCATCTGTGTGAAATTGAACAAGATGAACGACTTGTTTGTTTGTTAAAAGGCTTACATCAATCTTATTCAGGTAATGATTATTCTGAAACTAAAGCTGTGATACCCATAGAAAGCTTGGACTCTATTTCAACCAAGTCATTTCCTCTGTGTATGAGGCAACTTCATGAACAATTAAGAATTGCCCATCACTTAAAACATGGGGGCAGGTTACAGTATGGCTTGTTCTTAAAAGGTATTGGTGTGACACTGGAAGACTCTTTAAGGTTTTGGAGGGAAGAATTCATTAAGATCATGGATTTGGATAAATTTGAAAAGCAATATGCTTATAATGTTAGATACAATTATGGAAAAGAAGGAAGCAAAAGGAATTATTCACCATTCAGTTGTCTGAAGATTATAAATACCAATGTTGGTCCTGGAGATTGTCATGGATGTCCATTCAGACACTGTGATACTGGTGTTCTAAAGAATAAACTTATTGGCTATGGTTTTAGTCATCAAGGTAAATCAAAATGTTATAACTGTTTTATCAAAGCCACAAGAACATTAACTTGTACACAGACCAATAGAATAACAATATGTATTCATTTCTATGTACTTAATGTTGTGTAATTATAGTGTGCTAAATAAAATTAATTACAACTCCATATACTATTTTAAAAAATGTACTAAAGCTTAAAAGTTTAAAATAACTGATATTAGTTTATTATGTTCCCAAAAATATTGCCTTTAATTTACCAAGTTGATGAGGTGACACTTCAGTAGATATTGATTACTTCTTTAGTGAACTAATCAGTTGGTAGATTATACATGCAAAAATATTAAAATAACTTAAGTGAAACCAAAATTTATAGACTGCCAAATGTTACTCAGACAGCAATGTTAATACATATGAAGGCTTGCACTAGTTGTAAATTTCACTGAAAAAGGAAAATTTTCTCGATTTTCAGTTGTTTCTGAGATGGTGGAGTTGAGCAAGAAAACACATTTCCAAATTGCCTGCAGTAAATATTTTGATGCCATCCACAATGCAGATGTTGGTTTAGGTATCAATCATCCTAATCAGTTCTTTGAGGAGAGTCAGAAAATATTGAAAGGAGAATTGAAAGTACAACCCAAGAAAGAAAATCTTGTAAAGAAAGATATTGTTGACAGCATAGATGTTATGGATTTTGATGAGCCACTGGAATGATCTAACACAACAGAAATAAAACTTATTTCATATTGCAATAGTTCATTTATTATTTTTGCTTAACATACATAGCTTTTTTAGTAACATGTCCACAGTACAGACCAAATATAAAAATTATGCCTACAATCGAAATACCTACAACTAAGAAATATTTTTTTGATGGTGATGATGATATGCTATGATAAACATCTCCCAGTGTTTCAAATTTCTGTAAATTAAAAAACAAATTAATTATGTAAACACAATTATAAAAAGGCAAATAATAATAAAAAATTTTTTTGATTAAAGGATATATTTTGGTTATGACACTTAAAATCAAGCATAAAATTGGAATTTTGCTATTTCAGATACAAACTGATTTGATTTGATGAATCTTTACTTAATAATTAATTAAAACAAAACTTACAGCTGCTACAAATCTATACATTTCTAATCTACTTGTGAGTTCCTTTTCACATGCTGCCTCCAACTTCCGTGTTCCATCATTTGATATAATTTTTAAACATTTCAGACCTGCAAAAATTTTTTTATTATCTTTCGTAATTTGGCAGGCATATGTTTGAGCGGCGTAGTATGTGAGATGGAAGTTTCGACCAACAGTCCATCTTCATTGTTGCCAAAGCGGATTGCTATCGCAACATATTGTTGTTTCATGCATTGGTCTGTCAGGCCATTAGCTTGTCTATTCATCTACAGTTGACAATACTAAAATGAACAATAACAATTCATTACGTAGTCCTTTGTCCATAAAATTCACAATCTATGAATCATCAATTACATTGTGAAGCGTGATAAGGCAGACACGAAACTTTTTAAGAATCAAATTATGTATCTATTTTTTTTATTATAATACATAAATATCTTCACCATAAAGAAGTTATATATATAGTGTAGTAAACAAATTACATTCAGAAAAAGTAACGCCGAATCTTTTATTAACGAATGAATACGAAAGCCATTAGCAGATATAAAGTAATATATTCAATATGGGATAAAGTCGAGAGCTCGCCATATAGCGGGACATCCGGGTTCGATAATAGCAATGTCGATTCTCGGTGGTATTCCTATCGTTCGCAGTACGCTATTGTTGTGATATCGCCCGAAAAGATAATTTTGTCAAGATAATAATTTAGAATTAGAATACATATAAAAAATTGTTATAATGATTTAACAGATATACGTGGGTACAACACATTTTTTTTAAGTAAGCATACCAAAACCGCGTTGGAGGTTGAGTCGAGTCGAGTTAAGCTCGTGTGAACGACTAAAGATACGGGGGTTAAGCACGAAACTTCTACGTCCTGATTATATGGGACTTGCAAAATGATAGAGGCCACCCAATAAACGACTACTCTCGCCCGATCGGCCAATCTCCGTCCGAGACACAACCCAAGAGAGGTTTTACGAGGGTTTATCTCTCACAACTGCAAGGAGTTTACTTTTTTATTGCTTAGATGGGTGGACGAGCTCACGGCCCACCTGGTGTTCAGTGGTTACAGAAGCCCATAGACATATATAATGTAAATGCCGCCACACACCTTGAGATATGAGTTCTAAAGTCTCAGTACAGTTACAACCGCTGCCCCACCCACCCTTCAAACCGAAACTCATTACTGCTTCACGGCAGAAATAGGCAGGGTGGTGGTACCTAGAACTTTGAAGGTAATTAAAGAACCTTACTTTGAAGGTGATTAAATTTGTATGAATAACTAACATTTTGTTTATTATTGATATTTTCCGTGTAAGTACTTTCTTGACCGAGTAGTAAGTATAATTACTATCTATTTTGTCAAGCGTAACCAAATGCACATTAATTTTCCAGAAAGTCCTTGTTACTTTGAGCGGTTTTTTTTTATTCCAGGACAGTTTCTATATAAGTACATGCTTAGTATGTTTAGTACAAAGGCCGTAGTATTTGCACCCTCCATTCGCCGTTGTTTTATAAAGTCTAAAATTCTTGTTTTTTTATCTCTTTCTGTGCTTACAAAACAAATTTCATACTACGAGTGTATACTATTCACGGTATTTCATTGAATATCGATGCATTTCTATGATAACGTTTAGAGTTTTTATGAACACTAATATAAAAATTAATGGTGTAGTAAGCCTCCATATGCTTCTCTAACTTAATCGGTTTCCTTTTTAAAAAAATACAAAATGTGTGCAATTCACACGTGGTAGAAGTGAAACCTTCCAAAATTAAAATACAATTATCCTAAACGTCTTAAGTATATGTAAAATTTTGTCATTAATAAATAATTGTAAGGTAGCGCCCTCTGTGAATTGATATTTTAATTTCACGTATAATCCTAAATTAAAATTCACTACAAGAGCTTTCATACACACGTTAGTATTAAAAAATCTCACAGATGGCGCTGTATTAAATAGTATGTATATTTCTGTCTCATTCTTTGCTGGCTTCATCCTACACATTTTTGTATTTGTGTCTCTTACCTGTCGTTTTTTCCGTTGCATCCGGTTTGAAATCACAACGATTCTAAAGAAGTTTTCACTTCAAAAATCGGTGCATGTAGTTGTTTTTTTTTTAAATATCGGTAAACACAACTGTATTTGCTGGTTTGAGCTTCATTATTTATTAATTACAAACTTAACGCGGGTGAAATCACGAGGCGACGTTTAATAAAATTAAGAAATATGGTTTTTTATAACTTTATAATTGCATAATTTACAATATTTGTTATCAATTTAGTCGGACCGACGCAATATTGCTTCTACATACGATATCTGGTTACAAAGACCTATATAAAATGTTATTTCGACATTTTTGTAACTAGATACAAAATATGCTGAAAGCGCTAGAATATTCAATATAATCCGATAATTTCGAACACTAAGAACATGTACAATCGCATAATTTTTAACCGATTTCAAAAAAAGGTAGTAATTCTCAATTTCTCTGTATTTATTTAGGTATGTGTTACCTTAGAACTTATTTTTTTAGGGATTTTGACGGTTATTTTTTTATTTCGAAGTTGGGGCTTCTCGTATAATCCCATTTCAATTTAATCAAGATCTGACCAGTAGTTTTGAGTTAATTGCAATAATGGATATTTAATTGAATTCAACTACAATTATTACCATATTCTCATATTTATTTTGTTGAAGTCGGTTTTTTTGGGTTTTTTTTTTTTTTTGTATTATACTGCTGAATCAAAGTTTCACAAAATCGTGTTAACGTTTACATTCCACGTTTATATGTCGAAGTTATTCGAGAGCATTTGTGTTCAGTATATTTCCATTCGAAAAATTAGTCGCCCGGACCGGACGTCTTACCCTGTTACGTCACGACGACTTCGAGACTTCTTACGCATTTTCACTTCTTTAGGGTATAAGACGACCTAATTGTTTATCTGGTGTCAAATGATTCTGAATTCATATAAATATGCCGTGGATACTTGTAGCACTCTTTGAACTTTTATATATAAGTTCCATACCATACTTCTATCCGATGATTTGCAAGCGAAGTAAATTGTCCTTCTGTAATAAGGTGACGACACTACAAACCTTGCATACGTCCGATCATGACCTATGCAAGTGTAGTGTTCGTTCACGCGGCCCGCACTGATTTGAAACCCCTTCAAGTCATTCAATCCCGTTTTTGCAGGATAGCCGTTGGAGCACCGTAGGTCTCCATGATGATCTGGAGCTTGACTCCACCAGTGAGTATATTCAGTCGGCATCAGTGCGTCACTTTGAGAAGGCGGCACGACACGAAAACCCTCTTGTCGTGGCCGCCGGAAATTACATACCCGATCCTGCGGACCGAATAGCAAACAGTCGACGACACCCTAAGCACGTCATTTCGGATCCACTAACAGTGCTTTTAGGTACCTCAAGCACCGGTCACCGTTGTCGTCGAATCCGTCATTTGCGACAAAGGGTTCGGCGAGTAAACTAATCTATGGGTTTACAGCCCACTGGGTCGCGTTTCCGATTCGGTGGTAGATTCTGTGAATCACTGCTCTTGCTAGTCCCAGTGTAGCAACGCCTCGTGGTTTGAGTCCCGAGAGCTCACCCACACGTTAGGGTTACGCTGACATAGCCTCTCAAGGCTGTCAGCTTAGGTATAAAAAAAAACCATACCTTACATCGTGCTGAAGCGATATGTCCATGATATGAGCATGCATACCTTTGTATATTGTATAAGGTAAAAATATACTCACGTCTCCCAGCACCATGTTCTAGATCTTTACAATACTTCAACAGATCGAAAGCACAGGCTCTTTCTAACAACGGATCAGCCTCGATGTCGACTTCGGTTTGTTCTATCAACTTAGCTATTTCACGGGAGCATTCGGCTGATACGATTTTGTCTTTTAATAAGGCATTCTTGAGGCATTCCTCCACCTGTGAAATATTTTTATTAGCTTACGCTGGCAGACCCACAAAGGCCTTAAATTTGTATCACGGATGCTACTAAGTTTCAGAATTAATGAAAACGGTTGGGTATTGTCGTGGCGTGCAACCTCTTTGACACGACATAAGACCTATAATGACTAGACATAGACACAGATTAACTACTCCTTCGACCGTTCAGGTATACACGTCCCGTTCCCGCGATATCTCGTAAAATATTTGTAATTCCGCTAGAGTACGAATGTGTGCTGCTAAACTGAATTAAATGATATTGCTGAAACATTATTGAGTTTGTTTCAAGTTTAGGTGATATATGTATGTTATTGGTTTCGTAAAATAATTAAACAGATAGTAAACACATTGCATTGCACAATCCACGTAGTGTATGGAAATCCAGGATAAACGAATATGATGATGCTTCTTATGAGGAAATGTCTCAGGTGTTGAAACCCATGTCGTGAATTCTTGCACTGCCCAATAAAGCTATTTAAAACAAAAGACAGAGTCTACACATAAAAACTATTGAAGTAAACATTCAAGTTTATCCATAATAGATGCTTAATGGATAAATCTATTAGGAAGCGATTTAATTTGAAATGTTACCTAATATTCACAAATTATTGCTTATCGAGACTTCAAAAATAGTTAAAGGCGTGTGAAATGAATTGTATGTTGTTTTTTTTATCATTTTATATTATTTCTTTTATTTTAAATTTATTTAAGTACCTGTCCATCCGAAATAGTGATATCGTTTTGCACAGAACATATCGTTTGAATTTCAGCTTGACACAGCTTCTCAAGCAACGGATCAAGACGATAATTCAATGCCTGCTCCTTCAAAATATTAGCCACTTCATTTTCACAATCTGTCGTTAATTTTGATTCCCTAAACTTTTCTTTTAGGCAATACAATACTTTTCCTTGTAGTTCTACATCTTGAGGTTCATTAGCTGAAATTATAACTGAATTTGTAACTTTATAGTTCATGTTTACAATTCCATCCGTTTGAAATCACTACATAGTATAAAACAAAGTCGCTTTCTCTGCCCCTATATCTGTCTGTCCCTATGTATGCTTAAATCTTTAAAACTACGCAACGGATATTGATGCGGTTTTTTTTAATAGATAGAGTGATTGAAGAGGAAGGTTTATATGTATAATAACATCCATTAAATAGTGGAGAAATCAATAATAAACTACAGTTTCCGAAGCGAAGCGAGGGCGGGTCGCTAGTTGTTATTATAAATAAACAAGCCATTGTAGATTAAATCAGCATACCTAATATTTCACTGCAATGTGCATTAATATCAGATTTACATGAATTGACCAAATTTATGTTAAATCTGTAATCTGTATTCTGTTCTATCATTCGGTTCACCACAACAACTTTACAATTTTTCTCGAAATCAAGGCTCTGATGATGTGTCTGTAATCAGAAGGTGATTTAATATAAATGTAATCTTCTGGTAAAAGGATTTAAGAGATCTAAAATCTTGCTTACTTTCAAACAGTCAAAAATCTTTGAGGGTTCTGTGTTGTGGCAGAATTTATCTATCATGTCATTGCATGTTTTTATCAAATGGTAATCAATTCCGCTGTCTGTAAATTCTTGTTTCTTCACTACAAACAATACCTTCCTACATTTTTGACTCAATTTTCCTTTGGATGTCTGAAGGCACTCTAAGGCTGCAGCCTCACCATGTGTAATAGAAGGGCATAATATTTCAAGGTCTTTTTTACAAGCTTCTTTCAGATCCGGGTCTAAATCTATATTTTCCTTTTGTTGGAATAATTGACTTCTTAGCTGTTGTCGACACTCCTTGACTATTGTATGTTTACGTCTGTTAATTGTATCATTTCTTACTATCTCGCTCAAACATGATACAACTTGGTTTTTTGTTTGTGCTTTGGGACAAAATCTGTCAACATTATATTTACAAGCATTCTTAAACTTGGTTGTGAATCTATAATTCTTTAATGAGATCAATTGTTCGTGTTCAATGGCAGCTCTGCATTTCACATTAGCTTTTACATCTGGATGATTTTTATGAAGTATTAGGCACTCGAGAACATCATCTTCTTCTTTTTTACTTTGTAGTTCAGATGCACATAGTTTTTCAGTAATACCTCGACAGTTTGTATTGATAACTGCATTTAGTTCTATGTGTCCACTTTGAGTTTCAGTGAAATTAGACACAATATCTTTACACTTTGGAGAAAGCTCTTTAATTTTACTTTGTAAACATAAAATTTCTTCCCCTTTTCCAGTATTCTCAAGACAAAAATTGGCTAAGTCATCCATGCAAAAGTCCTCAATTTGTGGCATTAAATCAACACTTGATGCTCTCTGCCTCATTACCCTCTTCACTTGTTCCTCACAGGCTAGTCGCAATCTGCCTCTCAATTCAGAGTTGTAAGCATAATTATATAAGCATGGAAATATTAAAGGATCTTTTTCAGAATGATGTTCACTAGCATCAGCCCATTGTAACTTAGCCTTGCAAGTAGTAACAGCATCATACTTACAAGCTTTATATAACTGAGGATCAAGCTTAAAGTCTCTTGATATGAAGTACTGTATTTGCAATAATGCCACCTCACATTCATCAGTCATTGCTTTTGTATGAATTTTTTCCATTAGACATGACATGACTCTGCCATTACCACCAGCTATTTCTCCACATGCTTTATCTACAACAGGTTTACAGGCTGCCCTTAAAACAGGATCAACTCTCCAATCTTCACCTGGATTTGTTTCCTGTACTAACATTTCCAATGACTTCTGACATTCTAAACTTATTCTTCTGTCTTTTCTTCTCCTAGGTCTTGCATGGTCCATTAAGCAGTGAATAGTTTTACCACCAGCTTCAATTCCTCTACATAGCATAGTAATGTCATTGGCACAATTCTGCATCAACTCTGGTGACAGTCTATAATCTTCCATCAACATTTTTCTATGATCAATCATTTCCGCTGTACACTCAGATGAAATGCTTTTCGTATCATTTTGTATGTTACTCTCTAAGCAGAGTAAAATTTGTGCTAATCTCACATCTTTGTCTTCAACAATGCCTTTTCGACAATGAAACTTTCTAATGTCTTCTCTGCATGCCTTTACTAAGCCTCGACTCATTTTATAATTCATGGCTATATTTTTTTGATCATAGAAGAGCTGATCTTGACATTTTTTACGAACCCCTAAAATATTTATTATATTTCAGATAATGCACATACAAAAATCTTGAAATATATAATTTTAACATTTTAAGTCCATTAAAAGATTAATACCTACCATTTTCATACTTATGTCTCAGGAGACATTTATACATTAACCATGATCCTGGTATTTCATCACGACAGAAACTATTTTGTTCTACATTACAGGCAGCAAATACAATTTTATCTAACTGTAAATTACTGTATCTCATTTCATATAGTACAGTGATCTCTGCTTTACAATCTGCAGTGACATATTGTTCATAATTTTGAAGACATTTCAATGTCTCTGTTTGCGAAAGACTCTTAGGATCAGGTGGAATTTTACCACAAGTATGAGTATTTACATCATCAAAACATTTAGAAATGAAGTTTGTAGTAATTTGCCAGTCATTAAATAATAGAGATTCTATTTTATTTATCATTCTCCAGCAAACTTTCACTGTCGCACTAGGCTTCTTTTTTAATATACAATCTACAGTTAAGACATTAGGATCAAAACAACTCGATATTTCTGTATCTTCTTGACATGGGTCTTTTAGTGTATGAAACAAGAATGAGTTGTTGATTAAGTATGACAGCTGAACCCATAACTTGTGCTGACAACTTGGTGGTATTTGGGTCTTATCATAGGACGAATGTAATGAACATGTCAGCAAAGCGAAATGATCGTCTAAGTGAGAACATAATTTATGATATAGCGCGCATTCACCAGCGTCCCAGCTGAATAAATAGTTTTTGTAGGAGTTATCATCCGATTTTCGGCAATGCACATTTTTCAAAACTCCTAAACATGCCGTTATTACCCAAACTGTCGTGAAGACTTTAGTTGACATTGTGGAAATACCGGTGTTTAACTTGCACAAACACAACTAATCTTTTGGCTCATTAAAGTTAACAAAAAACATTTTGCATTTTTCTTTCGACGTCACATAAACAAAGGGTTGCTTTAATTTTTCATTGAGCTTCAAAATGAAGGTCGTGTTATATTCCACAAATTTTTATAATTGCGAATGATAAAAAATGCCGACAATTTTCAGAAAATATCTAGAAAAGTAATACAATATTTATTAATATAAATTTTTTTTTAGTGATTTTATGATTTGGTAACTAAGACTTTTAGGTCAAGTCTTATTTTTATTTTAATCCAAACTATTTTTATTATGAAAAATGATACTAAGAAATGAAATGAAGTTGATTAACAATGAAACATGGCATGAAATGAAATGAAAACGAAATAAAATGAAATGAGATGAGATGATATAGGATGAAATATAATCTTAGTAAAATGGTGATCATTTATTGAGACTTTTTGGAGGATCCCAAGAAGTTACGTTCAGCGACATTGTTTCATTTCCCACATTTGCGCACTTTCACAGATACTAAACAGCTAACAAACCACCGTTACTAGACATTTAAACCTGAAGAGACACTAAATAAAGAAAATAATACAAATCACACAACTTGCTTTCCCGCCAAAAAATCGTAAAACGCTTTTAAGTAGGTACTGGTAAAACGGGGTGATTAGGGACATATTCCAACTTGATGAACAATTGGTAGTTGTTGTTTAAAATGCTATATCAGGATCAAAGTGATTGAGTCTGGGCGGTATCTTTTTTATCCAATTTAAGCAAAAATAGCAAAAATAGGTGTTATCCCTATTTACCCAGAAATTGCGATTATTGGGGACGAAATTAGTGTTAATAGAGATAGTTGTAGGGAGTAGACCGGTATTGCCTCCGTCAAACAGCTGTTCCGGCTGGCTGCTGACAGAAAGGAATACAGGAAACTAACGGCCAACCTTTAGGATTGAAGAGGCACTGGAAGAAGAAGAAGAAGAAGAGGGATAGTTGCTAGGGCTGGCACTCTTTGGTTTTAATTAATTTATTTATTTAGTTGCACCAACAAAATGATCATCAATAAAAAACATTGAAAAACTGACAAAAGTACATGGCATATGTCACTTACTTATGATTAATTTATATTAACTTGGGAAATTATCCGCGACAGATTTTTCCTGTAAGTTGTGAGACAAATAGAAAAAACATCTATTTCATCACTTAAAGTTAGTTCAGCGCAATCGGACAACTCCGAATGAACATTGACGGAGACCGCGCTACCACCGTGGACATTGTTGTAGTCCCAAAGGATTCTGTCTAAGGGAGAGTAAGCACCTAAATTCGAACGAGCGGGCTTTCTTAAATCAGTTTATATTTCTTTGTTCTTAGTAAGTACTTAGGGGCTGATATTTTTATCTGGGTTAAGAGATTAGGTGTGTCCGTTATTCCATGAATTAATCAGGTGGATACCCCCACTCTGAACAAATATTAATACATTTTATTATGTATTACTTACACATTTTTGTCCACCTTGAGATTTCATCGTTCTTGTTACGTCTGTGCAAAACCAACTTACTTATGGTAAATTGCTTAGGTATTTCAACTAAAAACTTATTCCTAATTTCATATGCTTCTATTACTGTTTTTAATATTAAGAGGTCATATGTCTTATAGGGATTTGCACTCTTTGATACGTACACGCGAGGCATATCTAAAAATAGAAAACAACATGTAACTAATAATATAAATATTTGCCAAACAATAAAATGACACTGCATTGATAAATTTGAATAAAAGTTCTAGACAAAAACATCATGAATAAACCAGATTCTTACCAACAAATTTAAAAAATATTGTTATAACTACATTTATACAACCCTACAAACCTGTGCCTATTTGCACTTAGATCGTTTCCATTTCATTTATTCTCATCCCAATTGACCCCTCTTTCGTTGTTATGTGTACCTGAGACGTCCCCAATATCCCCAAAAACAACAGATTTTCAAATGTATTTTTATTTTATCAAATACATTAAAACCAATGACAACTGAGACTTGTTCATATAAATTAAAGGTAACTGAGACTTACTTACCTTTAATTTATATGATGGTTCAAACACTAAATAACGTTTATAAATCACAGTCGTCTTTTATTATTATCAAATAAACAAAAAAGAGCAGTTTCTAGCACTAAAATAATCACCACCACAAGAAGTTAATTTGAAATGCGATTTTTTATAAGTTAGCAGGTATTATCATGCATATTCAGAGTTGTTTTGTGAACTTTCAACATTCTACTATTATACTACAAAAAATAGAAGATTTTGCAACGATTAAAAAACTAGTATTGCGCGTCGAAAGATTTTCCTGGTTTTTTTCCCATTCCCCTCTCGATCCCTAATCACCCTATTTTACAGTACCTACCTTTGGTATAAAAAAAGCCTTTAGCTTCCTTAATAATGCACCTAACAGTCCTCACTGATGGTTTTGTTACTTCCGAAGTCTGTTTTAATTTTTCCATATCATACTTCCCCTGTTTTATAATGAAGCAATATACGTCGTACACAATTTTTCTACCCTTTCTTTTGAATACTACACCGGTTTGTCGCGGCATAGTGTATGTTTTATAAAAAAACAACAAACACTCAACAAATAGCAATGGCAACAAAGTCCACAAGTAATATAACAAATAACTTAACGATTAATAACGATAGACTTTAATAATATAATAACTTTCCACTGTACGCAAGCGTACTTTTGGGAGCAAGCGGAATGAGGGCGCGGTGCGGGACGTAAGGTTCGACTGATCTACCAATAAAGCGCTCGATACGATTTCCCCTGCCGTCGCGCCTCACCCTCACCACCAAAGTGATCTAAAATTCGGTTCTGCGCAGTCAAGGTNATATAATAACTTTCCACTGTACGCAAGCGTACTTTTGGGAGCAAGCGGAATGAGGGCGCGGTGCGGGACGTAAGGTTCGACTGATCTACCAATAAAGCGCTCGATACGATTTCCCCTGCCGTCGCGCCTCACCCTCACCACCAAAGTGATCTAAAATTCGGTTCTGCGCAGTCAAGGTCATTTGCTCAAGATGTTTGCCGGTTACTGTAAGTATGATAGATGTACACACACACACACCGTTCACTGTATAGCCTATGTAGGGCTATGCACACTAGTATTTGCGACTTTTTGGCGGGAACGCGAGCAGTGAAGTTGTGTGATTTGTTTTATTTTGTCTATTTAGTGTTTCTTCAGGTTTAAATGTGTAATAACGGTGGTTTATTAACTGTTTAATATCTGTGAAAGTGCACAAATGTGGGAAAATGAAACAAAGCTGCTGGACGTAACTTCTCGGGTTCCTCCAAAAAGTCCACTGAAAAAATTTCAGTAANACTTTTTGGCGGGAACGCGAGCAGTGAAGTTGTGTGATTTGTTTTATTTTGTCTATTTAGTGTTTCTTCAGGTTTAAATGTGTAATAACGGTGGTTTATTAACTGTTTAATATCTGTGAAAGTGCACAAATGTGGGAAAATGAAACAAAGCTGCTGGACGTAACTTCTCGGGTTCCTCCAAAAAGTCCACTGAAAAAATTTCAGTAAATGACCACCATTTTACTGCGATTATATTTCATCCCATATCATCTCATTTCATTAAATTTCATCCCAGTTGATTAATGTCTCAAATTAATCATCTTCATTTCATTTCATTCCATATTATCATTTTTCATAAAATTAAGAATATAAAGTAAAATAAGACATGACTTAAAGGTCTTAGTTACCAGGTCATAAAATCTCTTAAAAAAAAAAACTAGTATTTGCGATTCGGTGTGCCTCCGGTGTATGTATTTTTATTTTAATGTTAATGTTGTTAAAGACTGAGCTGTTTTTATAACTTACGTATTTTTAAATTGGTGCTTAATCTGTTCGAATACAATATTTTTGTCTTGGTCTAGTTGAGCAATAAGTAGTGTTAGTAATATGGAAGAATTCGTTGAAGTTAACCAGATATCTGATTTTGTATCGTACCTAAGAAGTGTAAGTTTTTATTCAAATTGCAATGTAATCGAACAACTAATACTATGTTTGTAACGTCATTACGCCTTTGCGGGAAGAATGGGTGTGTTTAATTACCGAATATAGTGCGAAGAAACTTGGAGATGTACACGACGGCGACAATTCAATCTAAATTGGAATTTAGAATTTGTCCGCCGGGGAAATCGCGTTTTATTTTAATTGATATTGCAATTTTATTAGTAATATTGACCTTTAATTACAAAATTAGTATATTTAATTTGTAGGTCTAAAAATTTAATGTATTAAAGAATATAGTTAAGACTAACCAGACGTAAATAGCAAGCCGACAAATATTTTAAAGTAATGATAAATTGGGAAAAATTCATATCAGATAGAAATAGCCTTACATCAAGATACTAGATTGTCAGTAAATATATAATGGTAGTTCCTTATACTAAAAATATGTATGCTTAAGTTTATCGGTAAATTCATATAAATCATGGCCCTTTGAAGCTACCTCTTCAATTTTTAAACAACAAATTTACGATTTTTGTTGAAATCAACCACCCCCTTTTTATAACTTTTCCAGGCAGCTCATAGGCTCATACATGTTGAAAACTGAGAAGTGGTTAAATTACTTGATTAAATGTAGTTATAGTTTCAATTAGGACCACAGTGGGAGAATTGACGAAACCAACAACCTTGTTAGAATATTAACTGATGATTGTTTGGCTATCATGCTATTGTGAGTGCCAGAAGATGATTTTTTTTAATTTCTGGTCAATTAGGAGCTACAAATTTATGAATAAAATTCCTCCCAGCACATAGAAAGACCTGCTGTACTGGCATAGGCACAGACTGAGATACTCAGCTCAATGTAAGGTACTCAGTCCAATAGTGCCTGAACAAATACTATATATGTTTAAATAGGAAAAGAGAGATTATTAATTATAATTGGATAGATTTACTTGTGTGTCTCTCATTACTTAGGTTAATTTATTTAATGAAGTTCAATAAGCAGTGTGTTATGCATTATTGTTCTAATGACACAGTATTTTGTCACAAAGTTTCATAAAATAGTGCAAAAGTGCCTTGCTGTATTTTATTCCAGTTATATTCATTTAAAGAAAAAGTATTGAAAATTAAGAGTGTTGTAATTGAACATTATTTTATTACAGATCGAATGGCGTGACCCCTGGTTAATTGCATTGATATCATTTCACATAATAATTACTGTCACTTGTTTCTCCACCAGGAATTATGGCAATTTTCAAGTTATACTTTTTATCATACTCCGTAAGTTTTTGTTATTTAAATCGTTTTCGAAACATAATTAGCAATTGATGCATGTTGCCTATGATGACTTATGAGCATATAGCCCGTCTGATAGTGAGTGGTCACCGTTACTTATAGATATAAGTAATGCCAGAAGCATAGCCAAACTACTGCTACCTACAGGATTATTTATTATAGTGCTCAGGAAACACCATTATGATAAATTCACTCAGGAGTCAAAAAATATCTTAAGACAACATGCTCTGTTGTATAATGCAGCCTTCTTGCAGATGGTAGAGGCAGTGTAAGGCTTCCTCCTTTCTTCAGCAATGATAGCGGTGGAAGGGTCTTGAAATTATAACTGGGTGTAGGTGTGTAACGATACCTGTGCCGTTGTAGCTTTATACATAAATTTAAATAGAATAGTAAATATTGGATCAAAATTAGGCATTTACTCATATACTCAATGTTGTACTGTAACATTTTTTCTTGTTTTACAGTTTTGCTAGTGTATTTTTCGGAGAATATAAATGAGCTCGCTGCAAGAAATTGGGCATTATTTTCAAGACAACAATACTTTGATAGTAAAGGCCTATTTATATCAGTGGTGTTTTCGATTCCTATATTGTTAAACTGCATGATAATGGTGGTAAGTTGATTAGATATAATAAATACTTGTTTTTAATTACGATTATGTGTCTGGACGTATTATGTAACTGATAAACTATAGTTAATTGTGACGGATTTGGAATGTTATTTTTTTTCATTAACGAAAAATTTTCATATTCATAGATGATAAGAATTATAATAATAAAAATAATTAAAATAATATAATTACTAAAAATAAATACATAAATAAAAAATAAATCGACTATAAAGATTATATATAATCCTGCAGTTACATGAGTATACTTAGTTTTACATGTGAATTAACTCTGGAGTTATAGTAATGAGTTAAAGTATATGCAGTTCTTAATTACATTAGCATTGAAAAAGCACAATTTATTTGTGCTATGCTCTATCTCTATTAAAGTTACTTAAACAGTTGAGGCAAAATACTAAATTACTATAATTGTACTATCATATGCTTTTTTATACTTCCACATCACATTCATACTGTTTTGTTATTTCCATATAAAATAATATGAAGTCATTGCAGGTAATTAAATGATAATTATTTCGATATATTTTTTAATACATACTTTAAATTCATACTAAGGTCAAATATATTATGTATGTAACGCGTTGACCTTAAGTGTCCACGTTACGTTGGAGCATAAATACCGAATATACAATTTTGGTGAACAATGTTCTCGAAATTATATTCTGAATAAGTTAAATTTAAAAAACGTACGTCGGTGTCTACCGTTGCGTATGTATCATTCCAGCTATGTTTTTTTTATTGCATATCAGTGCTGTACGTTTCAATGATTTCTGTATTTATGGACGCAATAATTCACGGATTGAGTAGGCAAAGCAAAGCTACCAAACGGGGTATGTTCAAAGCGATGGATTGATGCGGGCTTTTCAAAAGCGTTTCTTCATGTAACCTTTCCTACTACTGTTAACTATCATGTAGCCAGTTTAAAGATTCTAGAGCTTTCGGAATTGAAAAAAATCTACTTATCCGTCACCCTGATAACATCTAATATCTATCTATCTCTTAGGAACATCTAATAAAAGCGCATTCAAATTGTTGTGACTTCTCACTCTAGTATAACTTTACCTATGGCCTTCACCTTCCAATCCTACTGTCAAATAGCGCAATAAATTATGTCATCGAATATACGTTTAATGTTGAACGTCTCCCAGGATAGGATATCCGGTTCTATAGAGATAATAATAATTCTATTTAGTCCTCATATACCTAATTTCTTTCACAAAAAATACCGACGGGTTCCGTGACATTACGTGAGGTTCACTGATCAACGAGGCTTACTGACTATACAAAATAAAAATGTGCAGTGAAATATGGATATTAAAATTTTATTAGAACTTATTAAATGTAATGTTCGTGAAAAAAATTGCTTAAGTTTGGTGTGTCTAACTGACCTTTGTCGTTCGTACGTAAGCAACATAATGGCCTTGTGGTATCGGGGCTTTTATGATTTAGATACATATCGTCCACATTACCATTTAGTCTTACTATTCTATGGAACCGTTTTTTCTTGAGTTATAATCACAAAATAAATAATACTGAGTATACTCAGAGGACCTCAATACAATGCTCAAAGACCTCAGTAGGGCTCCTGTCCGAGTGGGTCTAAATATGAACATGGAAAAAACAAAAAATATGTTGAATGCTCATGTAGCGCCCACTCCAGTAAAGATCGGAAGCTCTACGCTCGAAGTTGTTGACGAGTATATTTACAGTGGGACACAGTCCAGCTAGGTAATTCCAACTTCGAAAAAGAGGTCAACCGTCGAATCCAGCTCGGATAGGCAGCGTTTGGAAAGCTACGTAAAATCTTCTCATCGCAAATACCACAGTGTCTCAAGACGAAAGACTTTGAACAGTGTGTGTTGCCAGTGATGACATATGGCACTGAGAAGTGGTCGCTCACAGTGGGCCTTATGAGAAGGCTCAAGGTCACCCAAAGAGCAATGGAGAGGGCTATGCTCGGAGTTTCCCTGCGAGATCAAATCAGAAATGAGGAGATTCGCAGGAAAATGTAGGTAACCGACATAGCCCAAAGGATTGCGACATTGAAGTGGCAGTGGGCAGGACACATTGCTCGCAGAACGGATGGCCGTTGGGGCCAGAAAGTTCTTGAGTGGCGACCGCGTACTGGAAGACGTAGCGTGGGTAGGCCTCCCACAAGATGGGCCGACAATCTATTGAGGTTCACGGGGATCCGCTGGATGCAGGCAGCGCAGGACCGGTCCTTGTGGCGAGGCTTGGGGGAGGCCTATGTCCAGCAGTGGACGACCATGGGTTGATAAGAAGAAGAAGAACATTACTCGCATCTATTTAACGGAAATACATTAGTAAGTGTAGGTGATAGATAATTGAAACGAAACAATTCGAATAACATACACATTAGAAATGTTTATGGATAAATTAAATGCCTAAGTTAAATGAACTAAAAAAAATTAAGGTTAGCAAGGTTTTTTACGAATTAAATCTAAAATAAAACAGGTTAACTTCTACATACATATATTGAAAATATTGAAATAGATTTTGAATAGTGACAGTAAAATAAGGAATGGCTTTTTGGCGGGAACGTGAGTAGCGAAGTTATGTGAATCGTTTTATTTGGATAATTTAATGTTTCTTCGGATTTAAAAGCTTAATAACTGTAGTTTCTGTAGTTTATGAACTGTTTAGCATATTTGAATGTATACAAATGTGGGAAAATGAAACAAAGCAGCTGGACGTGGCTTCTCAAATTCTTCCAAAAAGTCCACCGAAGTTTCTGTAAATATCACCATTTTACTGAGCCTTCATTCTATTACAATTTCATCTCATGTCCTTCCAAATCATATTTCATATAAACAGAATATGTATTTATTTAATAAATGAATATTTTTACAAACTCGACACCGTCTTAAAGAAATAAGAAATAAAGGATCGTCATTAAATACTTTACAAGCTAGAAGTACATATTTACATACTTAAGGCATTAAGTATTTTTTGTTTTTCATTGAAAATTGTATCTTTTTCAGGGATCCTGGCTGTACCAATCTACTCAAATAATGACTAATTTAAAAAAAGCACAGTTAAGGCAGCGCCTCAAGGAGATGAACTCGATAAGAGAACAGCAGCAACACGTTAAATCTGATTAAAAAAAGAAGCGATTCTCGTCAAAAATTATGTCAATTAACTTTACAACGCAATGGCCTAGCTAAATACGGTACGTAATGTAATTTTGGATTTTATGAAAAAAAAAAAATTGTAAGTTTGAATCTGTATGTTATTGGATGCCTTGTTGTTGATAATGAAACTCGTTATAGATAAGCTTATTAAATGTCAACGGTGATGTGATAGATAGGTAAAATTATTCACCAAATAAAGAACGTAATATGGCTGACGCACAAACCGTGCAGGCCAAGAAATGGGAGAAAAAAAAAAAGAAAAAAAAACGTAATGTATGTAATGTTAGCCTATGAATTAATTTGTAGATTGTTGAATTGAAAGGAAAGCGCGATGTATTTGAAAAAATGATAAAATGAAGAAAAAAAAGGAAACTGTTTTTTCGCACTAAATGAATAATAACTGAATGGCAATGCGATAAAATATTTACAACGTGACCCGTGATTTGCAATATAAGAACAAAATATTAATGACTAGTCGTATTGGTTAGTCGTGCATAGGTTTTACGCTGATAACTCTAAACCAACTTTGGGTCTGTTATTAAAGCACCTATATATAACTGTTAAAATATTTCTAATACAGTTGACATGTTGAATTGTATTTTTAAATTAGGTATATTAATGTAAACAGAATATATCCCTCGGGATATAAGTATACATAATATATATAAGTTATACTTTTTTACGTGGAGAAAGCTATGCTATGCCCTTTTATACCCCCGACAATATATATGCAAAATTTCATAATGATCGGTCGATGCTTTAAGACATGTGAGCGTGACAACCAAACAAACTCGTTCTCGTTTGAATAATATTTTTATACCTGGATACAGACTTTATATTTCTTTTTTTGGAAAACACGAAATACATACACAATTAATTACTTTGATGTTCTCTAATTACACAAATTATAATAAATTTAAACTAATTAACTAATTTTAATTAATTAATTTAAACGAATTAACGACCTAGTAAAAAGCGCTGGGTCTCGTTGGATGCAGGTGGCAATGGACCGGTCGCACTGGAAATCTATTGGAGAGGCCTATGTTCAGCAGTGGACGGCGATAGGCTGAAATGATGATGATGATTATAATAAATTTTCGAAAAACTAACTTTCAATCACAAACGAAAGTAACATTTATTTAGTTCTAGAATTCATTTTTTTAAATTAATGAGCGTGCATGCCTTTTATTTTCCAAGTGTTTACATTAGGTATGTTAGGTTTGTTAACATTATTCCGTCGGAAATTGTTTCCGTCTCTGAATTATTCTCAAGATATAAGGAAAATAAATGCACAAAATCCTTCCTTATATTTATTTAGTGGCCTTGAATTTCGACAAACAATATAATTTGAAAATATGTTCTCATTATATCAAATTAATTAGGTACGATTTTTCACCGGTTATTAAAAGCGAAGTTATTCGTTATTTTAATTGAAAGTGTTACATGTTTAAATAATAAAACTTAGATATGAGGTTTCTTAAATTTTTCTCATGTTTTTAAAATTTTATCAAATTGTATAGCGAAAGAACAAATTAGTATCTTTAATAAAATGTGCAATGAAATTACTCTCGAAAATCTAACATCGTTTGCAATGCTCGTCAACGACGCAACAATAATGCAAAAAGAAATCGAAATTTTCTGTTTGAATAAAGGTGTATTTGTCCGCCGCCACTCACTTCGGCCACCATTGACTACCGTACGAACGACGATGTTCAGGTAAACCGAGGGAAAGCTAATTTTTCGTGGATTCTGCAATAAATCCTATGAAAATCTCTATCCATGGGAAGGATAGGAATTTTATATTATAGTAAAGTTGCGTGGCACGCAATGTAACAGTTAGCTAACGTTCCTTTGAGATTACGAAGAGTAATTTCCGTAGGAACCCGAATCGGACCATGATCATAGCCCAGAGCCGAAATATATATATATATTTTACTAATATAGTGTTTGAAATTACACCCAACAAGGTCATGGTGTATTTTAAAGTATTTAAGGTGTTTATTTCTTGAAAAAAAAGCCGACGGCATTCTTAATCAAACGAAATGTGAACGTGTAGGTAATTTTTGGTGTTGTCATAAGAATTTTTATGACACCACGTTAATCAATTATTTATTTGTAAGGAGACGATTACAAAGCTTATTAAGGAGGGCAATGATCATAATAAACGTGAATTTTTTAATCATAACTAAGAAAATTCAATTGTCGGATATATTATGTTACTGTAACAGCCCGAATATTGGTAAATCTTAAGGCTTACCAACACGAGTCTGTAAATGTAAGTATGTATATGTAAAAAAGAAACGATTTTATCGGGCTTTTACCATTAGAATTTAGTACGTGCTAGGTTTTATCAGTGACTGTTGCTAAATGTTGGTTTTGGAAATACAAACAATGCATACTTCTCAATCATTTATTTCAATTAATAATTATTCAAATCCTTACATACCTATGAGTAATTATTAATCATGCGCATTCTTTCGAAAAGCATTTTTAAGGCAGTTACATTTCTGGAAGTCTTGTCCTCCAGTCAATGACAATTTTCCGACAACTTCTCGAAGACTAACTTCTCTATCTTTAACAACTTCATTTATCTTAAAATCTTCAGAGCATGACCTAAATTGATTGTTTGTGTAAAACTGCTTTAGTGCTCCTAATTTTGGTACCCAGTTGGTAAAACTCATTGTCCTTTACATCTACCACAACTGCAATAATGCTTTTTGGGTCAGTTTTAGCTCTGTCAATGTCAAATACTTTCAGTCTAATATTTTTCCCAACTTTCACATTTCGATATTTATCAGATTATCGAAATGGCTTTCATTTTTTCAACTTGGTTTTCCAAATTAATTTTTACCTTTTTTCTTATTGTCTGGACTGATTATATCCTTTTCGGTATTGGATCTTCTTAAGCTTGAGTTGAGTTTTCTGTTTTTAAATCGCTTTCATTGGTTATTTGGTCCTCCATCATAATTTCAGTTACATTTTCTTGTGTTTTATTCCTCAAATTAATACTGTTTATTTCCTCTTCTGATTCATTTTCAACAACACTTTCTTCCTTGTCCTGTCCAATTGCATTTTCGACGGTAATAATTTACCAAGCGAATGATGGTAAAAGTCCGAAATAAACGATGATCACAGAACGGTTCGGACTTTTACCATTAAGAGTTAGTAAATCTTAGGATTTACCCTAGTTCGGGCATTTACAGTAACAGATTTGGGTAATTAACGTTCGTAGCATACGAATTTTTTGTTTATAAGTTTTTTTACATTACGGACACTAAACATTCGAAATATTTGGAAATCAATTTAATCGTAATAAGAACTCCTTAATTTTTTAAGTTTGCATCATATTTCCGTAGGATAGAAAATTATTTATGTTTTTAGTGACTTTGCTTTGCTTGTTTGACGTAATCAATTATAATCATTTTTGTGTTTTATGTATTGACGCCATATTAAAATTTCATAAGATAGTTTTTGCATTTAACAAGTACGATAGGTCACTATATAAAAGCTTAATAAAACTAATAAAATTAACTGATACTCAAGAAATTATTTGCGCGCACAGTACTATGTTAATTTGACCAACTATTTCGTTGAAAAAATAAACTTAAACTATTATAAACTACGGTATTCAAACTTTAATGTACAACAAGCATACGAAATTGGGTTGTACATTATGTATGAGGAGGTCGGCTGTAGGGGTAAGCAAAAAACTTATTCAATAGAATCATTATCAGTACTTACAACTACAAAAATATTATATTTGTGTGTGTATATTATCAATGAATGTAATGGTAATTTATTGTTTAAGTTAAAATTCAATATAATATGTTGTTTTATTATTAAAAATACGAAACCTACTTAAATCATGGATAATTTATGTATGTAAAGAACTGCAATGCAAAACCGGATACCGATTTTAAAAAAACAAGTAGGTATATATTAGTCATCATAGGATATGTTTATTTAACGTATTTATGCAAGTCTTCGGGTTTGAAGGGTGATATAATTGACACGTAGTCTCCTATGTCAGCGTCTCGTAGTCATCTGTCTATGTCTGAAAGCTGTTGGCGACGTCTACATTGTGAGGTCTTTGGACTCCGGTAAACACTAGGTGGGCCGTAGGGTCGTTCAGACTTTTATGCTAATAAAAATAATGATAATTGGAAAATATTTTATCTATTCTTCATTTCAAGATAAACTGCATACAAATAAGGTATAGTGTCATTTGGGTGTTGTCATTGTATATTGCTTTATAATGTTTATTAAGTTTCTCGTTTATTTTAGCCCCAAATGACGTCATATGTAATGAAGTTGCAACAGAGAATAGAGGTTTTGCGGAAATAAAAAAAGTGATAAGTATCATGTTTAATTTGTTATAACTGTGCCATTGTCATATGAAACCAGGCCTCGTGAAAGATTAAACGAAATTGCAGCTATTTTATGTTTTAGAGATTTCTGAACGTTACCCGTAAAATATTTGAACCTGGCGGTTGTAACCATTAGAAAGTCTGGTCACTGTTACGTCATTTAACCGTAAAGTTTCGTTGTATATTTTTAGTCTTCGGATTTCGCGAGTCGCAGACACAATTAAAACTTTTACTTTTTTGTGATTATATTGTTTCCAACGAACGAAGCTATCTATGCTTACCTGTATAAAAAATCTAGCCCTGTGTGCTTATAGCGAGCTTTTAAAACTTAAGTTACTTAGTTAACTTAAGTTTTTAAAACTTAACTCAAATTTGTATGCAGTTGGAACGTTTGCCTACGTTTTCCGCTAGGGGCGCTGTTCCAACTGCATACAAATTTGAGTTAACTTTTACGCCATCGAGAACGTTAAAAAACTAGCACTAAATCACATTAGTCGTAATAATTGATTGAGCGTGAGGGAGTTTTGTGATAGTCAAAAATGTAGATGTGCAATATTTTATTGATAAGTTAATGAGTAAAGTTTAAAAATTGCAACTCGTTTTGTTCTTTAATAACAACTCATTTTGTTGTGACATAATTACTTGAGGAGCGTTCGTCTTGATTAATGCCTGTGCACTCTCGCCTTAGAAACGAGTATATTTTAGTATTTGGATTAATGTAGTTTATTTTTTATTTATTTACTAGCGACCCGCCCTCGCTTCGCTTCGGAAACATTAAAACAAACATGAAACCAAAAAAAAAAAATAAAAAAAANAAAAAAAAAAAAAAAAAAAAAAAAAAAAAAAAGTAGCCTATGTTCATCAGGGACAATGTCGGCTTCTAATGGAAAAAGAATTTTTCAAATTGGTCCAGTAGTTTCGGAGCCTATTCGAAACAAACAAACAAACAAATCTTTCCTCTTTATAATATTAGTATAGATTTATCGTATGGCATTCGTTTACACTGCGTGGCTATAATTGAAATTTACAGTTTGTGATTAGGGTTTTATAATTGACGCAGTGCAGTTGGAACCGGGAGATCCTCAGGAGGACAGTTCGGTTGCCAGGTTGTTGCACTATTAGTACCACCCAGGGTGTGGGGTAGCGGTAGGTAATCTCCTACGGACGTTATGCAACTTTGACCCCCAAATGTAGTAATAACGTAGATTGTAACTTGTGTCATTAATAAGGTTATTGCGTTTTTAAATATCGCATTACTGTATGCTTAGTGCCGATTTTGTTAAATTTTGTGCCAGCGGGAGTACGATTCGGCGAAATTTATTGTTGATCGTTTTGTAATAAAAGCGTAGTGTTAAGTAAATGTTGCGAGGTTCTACGATCGATAATGTCCCTGTTATTTTAAACTGTGTTGAATCATTAGGTGCGATTTCAGGATCATTCCAACTAAGAACCGTCAGAAATATAGTAACTTTTTAATTGGGGTCAGGAGAAAATCGCCAAACTTCCGCCTACGTGCGTAGGAGGCGTAGAGCGTTGTATGTTAAAGTTAAACCGACTAAAATCACCTCTGGTTCAAGGTGAGACCGGTAGGGCGAAAAAATCAAATCAAAATGCTAAGTCTGATATTGAAATGATTTTATAATAACAGACTTGTTCTATTTGCTCTAAAAAATAACAGCTTCCTACGTACTGCGTTACTGAGTTTTAAGATGTGTTAAAGGCGTGTTAAGGTTATTCCGAAAAAAAAAATCGTAAAGAAAAGAAATGACCCTGACAGAACTCTATAAAAATCATTGACTTTTTATAGATTGACAAATTAGGTTAGACTTTAGGTCAGTACCGTAAACATTTTAAATTTAAAGTTCATCGTAATCAAATATACCGCTTTTGTTAGAGGTTCAAGGTAGGTGTCGCATTTACGTTGTAGATGTCTATGGGCTCCAGTAACCACTTAACACCAGGTGGGCTGTGAGCTCGTTCACCCATACAAGCAATAAAAAAAATTTTGGACGTTTCGGTCGCCGGGCCTCGCACCAGAGCAGTTTAATGTACTTAAATAGTTAATTATGTCGGTTGATCACATTAACGTTTAACTTTGTCAACAAAAGGGTGAAGTAATCTGGTGAGGTAATCTGGAACATAGTATAGGTATATAGCCAACGGCTCCAAATATCCTTAAGAACGTTTTAGCCGCTTAAATAATATACGTATTAATAATTTAACAACGAAGTATATGTACATAATATAGAGTATTAAATTTGATCTACTAACTACTTTGCTGACAATAATGCTAATAGTTAATATTTTTTAATAAAAATAATTCTAAATGTCTCAGTGCGAGCATACCTATAATAAAACCGCCATAAATAATTGCGTCCATAAAATGTTGATAATGTGTAAAGATTTAAAAAAAAAATGTACATACTAAAACGATTTTTTGTATTGAAAACCAATTTAGTTTGTAGATTATTATTTTTTCTTGAAAATAACATAACTTCGGTCTTGCCAGAATGAAAAATCAATAAATATGTATTTACCTGATATTCATTGAAACGAGCAGAATGTCCTATATTGATTTTCGTAAAATATTTTTTAGATTTTCTGAGAAACACTATACGAAGACTGATCTGTGTAAAGTGCGTGTTTGGAAGTTTTTTTTTACTGAAGTCACAATACTCTTGAAATTGTTATTTGATTAAACTGAGTATGTGGCGTACGTAAATCTAGGTATTTTAAATATAATGGCAAATGCTAAATTTATTCAGCATTTAAAAATACCTAGGTTTATTAAAAAAAAGTAAAGAAATCCTTAATGTATCGTGTATCAGTGTGACCAACTTCTAATGCTTTCATTATAATAATCGTTATTTTTGATTTACCTATTTAATTTGAAAGTTAAATGTAGAATTTTCTCGTAGATAATGTTTTTATCATCTGAAATTGATCTTATTTCGATATATTCTAAGTTAATGTATTTTATTTATGTGTATTGCTTAAATAAAGGAATTGAATGATAATGTTTTGTTTTATGTTTCTTAATTTCTCGTTTCTGCGCTCTCCTGCAGATGAGGCTGGACTGGGGCATCGAAGATTTTGATTCTTAGAATAAAGTGTAGACTATGGCTCATTTGGACAGATCTACCCATAGACATCGGCATTCTGTAGTGAGTAAGCCGCTGCATATCGCCAAGGATTGTTCGATCTTCATTAATCCGTCATAGCACTCGGGAAGAGTTTTAGAAAAATGTCAATACAATGTCAAGTGCCAAACAAGCAAAGTAAAAAACATTAAGTATTTGTGCTAAGCGACATTTTTGCAATTTGACAGGAGAGCTATTTAAAGTTTAAAATTTGGAAAAAATATCATAACAATTCAACTATTTGAATGGAGTAAAGTTAATTGAAGTTCAATTAAAAACATCAAACTGTTGATGGTTATAAGGTACCAAATAAAACACACCTTTAGTTACCTTTAGTTCTCTCGGATCGTTTGGAGCCTCTCGGTCTGCGGAGGGACTTCGGTTCCCTCTGTATTTTGTACCGTATGTTCCATGGGGAGTGCTCTGAGGAATTGTTCGAGATGATACCGGCATCTCGTTTTTACCATCGCACCGCCCGCCACCGGAATAGAGTTCATCCATACTACCTGGAGCCACTGCGGTCATCCACAGTGCGTTTCCAGAGNCCCTCTGTATTTTGTACCGTATGTTCCATGGGGAGTGCTCTGAGGAATTGTTCGAGATGATACCGGCATCTCGTTTTTACCATCGCACCGCCCGCCACCGGAATAGAGTTCATCCATACTACCTGGAGCCACTGCGGTCATCCACAGTGCGTTTCCAGAGATCTTTTTTGCCACGTACCATCCGGCTATGGAATGAGCTTCCTTCCATGGTGTTTCCCGAGCGCTATGACATGTCCTTCTTCAAACGAGGCTTGTGGAGAGTATTAAGCGGTAGGCAGCGGCTTGGCTCTGCCCCTGGCATTGCTGAAGTCCATGGGCGACGGTAACCACTCACCATCAGGTGGGCCGTATGCTCGTCTGCCTACAAGGGCAATAAAAAAAAAAAAAAAAAAACAAAGATAAACAACACGTAAACCAAATTTTTTTATATTTTTTTTTATTGCTAGATGGGTGGACGATCTCAGAGCCCACCTGGTGTTAAGTGGTTACTGGAGCCCATAGACATTTACGACGTAAATGCGCCACCCACCTTGAGATATAAGTTCTAAGGTCTCAAGTATAGTTACAACGGCTGCCCCACCCTTCAAACCGAAACGCATTACTGCTTCACGGCAGAAATAGGCAGGGTGGTGGTACCCACCTGCGCGGACTCACAAGGGGTCCTACCACCAGTAAAAATAGCCTTTCATCGCTCGAAAAAGTTTTTATTTCGATCTAATTCCAATGATCTTATTGCATAATAATAGTATTGTCACGAACTTTATACGAAATTTCGCGTCCGTTTATTTCTCGAAAATGTATTCGTATCGCATTCGCGAAAAAAGGTATATGATATAAAAAGCGCCCTTACCGTCCGTAAAAAGAATTAATTTCAGCAGAACGAATGAATTTACTTACTTTCGTTTCGCAATCGCATCGTCACGTCTCGAGACTCGAAAATCGAGAGTCTAAAAATTGTTTTGCCATACGGTAACGTAAATCTCGAAGGCTGGCTATCGAGTACCACCATCTAATGTAATGATCCGTTTTCGTATCGAGGACTCGATATATTTACATTACGAATTCAATAGATTTTCGTGATTAACGTACTGGTATCGACTAAAGCGGCGTTCAAATCAACTGGTAGGCAACATGTTTTAAAGTATAAAAATATCTATCTAACCAGTATTCACGAATTACTTTCACGATGAAGTTCAAAGATTCATGTTTCATTATGAGAAAACGTGTAATAGAAACTGCATTCGTAAAAAAAAAATATTTAGCCTAATTTCTAGTACCTAGTCCTTTTTTAGTGCTATTATTCACGTGAAGTATTAATACAGAGATCCATTTATTGCTAAATATGTTATTATTTATTATTACAGTATCACATTATAATTAATGGAGGTTTTTAGATAGGTATTATAAGTTATATATAAATTAAACTCAATTCTGTTGAGTACCTATCTACTACAAATAGCACACGACAGAATATTGAAACCGTAAAATGATATAAATATAAGCAAAAACCGAGAACTAGGAACCATTTACGAATTAAGATTTCTGTTGCAGACTTATCATTTTCGATGCGCTAACCAACCCATAGATTTACTAAGTTTCACGCCGGACCTTTTCAGTGAGTCTTGCTATGGCTATTGCTCGCTCCCGTGAGTTCAATAAGTGGAAAAAAAAAAGAAAAACAATACTTCAGATCTTTTATTTAAAGCTTTTCTATTCTTACATAATTGTCAAAGACCATTCGCAGCTATTTTTTCTTTGACTTCCTTCAGCATGAGCTTGACCAAGTTGTCGAGGTCAACTTCAGGTTTCCAGTTCCAGTCACGTCGAGCTTCGCTGTCATCGAACACTTGCGGCCACGAGTCAGCTGTTTAAATTATTTTATTACAATAACTAATCGCCGAATACAGAAATCTATACTAATATATAAATCTACGGTGGTTTTTACGGATGTTCCGTTATAACTACTGCACCATGCATCCGATTGACTTGAAACTTGACATCCATGTAGAAAGTACATGTACTTAATGGATAGGCTAATATTTATATGAGTGTTGGATTCCCTAATAATAATGACAATAAATAATAATGTTAATTTTAAATGTCCAGCGAAGCGGGCGAGTACGTCTAGTTAAGCTGTAAGAAGCTTAAAATAACACACAACACTATATATTTTCATGGGCGTAGTCGGGGGACAAGAGTGGCCACTGCCTATAAGACATAAATCAATGCTCCTTTGAAAAATCGACGGTTTCAAAAAATTATGTTCGAAAATTGTCAAAATAAGGCGCATGTTCTATTTGATACCAATAATTACGTAGAATGATATGAAAAGCTTTTCTTTATCATTTGCATACACAACCACCTCTTTAAGGCCTACATAGTGTTTTTATAGTTCCTGATGTGTAGACGATTGCGGCCTACCTGCATGGCCATCGGAACCCTTCGCCATGTGAATGCCGTCGCGCACCTGGCGACATGAGATCCAAGTCTCTATTGTATCGGAATAAAGGCTATTGAAATCGCCACGCATGATTGCTTTGCCGAACAAATGGGCAGGACGAAGTGTCATTGACTCATGCAGCCGAATTGTGACCTGATTTTTTCAGCGAATTAGATATTTTCAAGAGATCAACAACATCGCGAAAATGTTTTTAATTAAAAAATTACGTAAACGTATTATTTAAATTTGGATAGTCAAATACATGTATATAGGTACTGCGACAGTTACTCTCCTTTGATTTTGATACACAAGTTAATTAGGCTGTTTCATAACAGAGCTAGGTGTGTCTTTATGTGAGGTATTCAGGGTATAAAACCAGAATTGGATACTTAATTGAATAAGAAACGTAACTATTATGTATTTTATTAGGTTTATATTAAATCTGCAAAGAATAAAACGTTTCGTTACAATTTATGTACCTATCCATCTATCTACCGTCTTTCACAATTTTGATAGTTCCTGTGACATGGAATAACAGATAGATTGTAACAGGTTTAAAACATATAGAAATAAATACCTAGTATGGATCTTTAACGATAATGTATACCATTATAGCTCTAAATAGTTTCGGTATGCTGGGCCGCAACTATAATTTTTCTGTATTTGCAATTATAATTGATCCAAGTGTTGAAAGTAATAAATTCTCAGTTACATTTTAAACTAATGGACAATCTCTGACTTGTATCTATTTCTTGTCAGTGATTCATAAAATATAAATTCTTACCTATATCTTGCCGACTATCCGGCTTATAAGTAATCTTCAAGTCTGGTAAATATTTGCTGATGGCTTCTACCAATTCTTCCGGCGTGAAGCTCATTGAAGTAACGTTATAAACACGTCTGTTCAGTGTTTCAATTGGGGCCTCAAGGTATTCAGATAGGGCTCGAAGGGCATCCCTAACGTGCATCATGGGAAGCCGCGTGTCTGGTTTTAGATAACACTCGTAATTTCCTCTACGGAGAATGTCATGGAAGATTGCGATTGCATAATCTGTAGTGCCTCCACCTGGCGGATCACTGGATATTACTCCCGGGAATCTTAGACAGCGGAAGTCTAGTCCGAATTTATGATAATAATACTCTCCTAACAACTCCGCGTGAACTTTCGACACCCCGTATATTGTTCTCGGTCTTTGGATGGTTATATTTGGCGTTGGATTTCTTGGCGAATCAGGACCGAACGCTCCAATCGTACTAGGAACAAATATCCGAAGTTTGTATTGTTTAGCTAGCTCGATGACATTATGCATGCCTTCTATATTGACCCTTACGGCTAAAGGTACGTTTTGTTCTCCTATTGCGCTGAGTAGAGCCGAGAAATGAATCAACCAATCGACTCTGTGATCTACTACGATTTTCTGAAGTCCTTTGAAGTCAAGTATATCGACGAAAATGTAAGGGCCGTCCTTAACGATTTCTTCGGTTGGTTTAATAATGTCTGACAGTATGACGTTGTTTTGGCCATACTTCCCACGGAGATATTTAGCACACTCGACACCCAATTGGCCAAGTCCTCCTGTCAAGTAAACAATGATGCTATTAATGATTTACAGTGCGAATTATAATTGTTTAGGTTATTATTTTGTTGGTATTTGAACCACTGAAATATTTTATAGTCTTTTATAATTTTAAATAATGTTAAAGTACAACGGAGTTCAGTGGTAATTCCTATTACATCGATAACACTAAAAACTTGTCGTATGTTCATATTGCGAGCTTGCATCGAGGTAAAATATGGTACACACTGCAAGGAATCGTTATCAAAGCTGATTACGGCAACAATCTATATAATACTATATAGTATGTAAGTTTAATTATATATTACGCCTGCAACGTAATGCGAAGGCAGCCGGTGAGCGAAACACGCGTTCGCTTGAGGCCTTGGATTTCACGTGTCAGCTCATTTTAGCAATGTAAAAAATATTGGTTGAATAAAATATGTATTGATCGCGAATTTTTGAGTTTTTTGAAGACCGGGTGTGGCCGATTTAAGGAAATTATAGCTATAAATTCATGTTTCCAATAGCCGATTGCAGCCGCTGGAAATTCTCGAACATTTTGCCATGATACAGTTATTAAAAGTATAAATGTACATCATTTGATTATAGTATAGTTTACTAGGAGTATAAGGTGATACATCACAAGCTTTATTATTGCGTTCTAATGATTATAAAAAAATGTAATTAGGTACTGACGATATACCTATATCCTGTGCCTTTTTTACAAAAATACGCTTATGCAATTTTATTTTTTGCAATTAATTTGGATGTAAAAGTTTAGCCTTGCACAGACGGTTACAGAAACTCCTGCGCAACGACGTATGTAGTTCTATTTACCTCATGGTAAACATGTTTTTGAGGTCATTATTCATTACTCGTGTGATGCGAAATGAAACTGCGCATTGAGGTTTTGTTTACGTAAACATATTTGTATTGAATAAATGATTAAAATAATGTATAGTAGGTTTATTAGAGATAAAGCTCAAATTACATATTGAGGATTGATATAAATTATGTTCGGAATACGCGTTGTTTAAAACTAAGTTAATAATTCGCAACTTATGTTTAAAATACCAACCTGTACTTACACTTAACAATCTGTACTTATAATCTGTACCTGCACATAATGTTATGTTTACATTAAAACTATATTGTTAAATTTTCTGAAACCTTCAATATTTGGTGGTCAAAGACAATGACAAAGCTAAATTCTAAAATTAAAATTTTGAAGTATTTCTTAGAACCGGTTCAAAGTTATTCACATTGACAGCGGCAGTAGGCCACGGCTTGGCTCTGCCCCTGGCATTGCTGAAGTCCATGGGCGACGGTAACCACTCACCATCAGGTGGGCCGTATGCTCGTCGGAAACAAAAAAAGAATCACAATAAAGACCAGTTTTACGGTTTAATTTTCGTGGTAATTACAACGTTTAGTACTTTACTGTTTTTCCGAATACTCTACTTTTCGTGATCACATACGACTATCTAAAACTCGCGAAAACCGAAGAAAATAAAAACATCCCTTCCACGGTGTTTCCCGAGCGCTATGACATGTCCTTCTTCAAACGAGGCTTGTGGAGAGTATGGAAGCAGTAGGCAGCGGCTTGGCTCTGCTCCTGGCATTGCTGAAGTCCATGGGCGACGGTAACCACTCACCATCAGGTGGGCCGTATGCTCGTCTGCCTACAAGGGCAATAAAAAAAAATCATTCTAAGTAAACTAAAGTCTGTTATTAGTTAAAAAAACATTCTCTTTTCAATATAAATTTTGATGAACTAAATTATGTAGCTCAATACTTATGCATATTAAAGAATTTCCGAGTCTAAAACAATAGCGACCATTAATCGGTCAAGTGAATGGACAATTTGAGTTACGAGACGGGCATCACTACGATAATGTAACAACAAACTCTCACTTTCACAAAGACTAATCACTGAATAACTATCTATCTGATTTGAAAGAGCATTTGCGGACTTTCGAATTCCATTTAGTAGTTATTATAGTGAAGAGAAACGAGGGTTTTTCACAATACTTTTTGTTTTACTGGTACACGCTAAATGCCTGAAAGCCTATCACTTTTATTCAGTGTTGGTTTGGTAATGTTAAGAGGATTGAGCAGCAGGGTCAAATGACAGGTATGTCGTGTATGTCACGCGTCAGCCGTAATAATAATATATTTTAGCCCATATATAAAAATACAATTTGGAAATACATAATAATATATTTATTCTGCCACATATAGGCGATTCCATGCTAAGATGGATGAATGGACAATCCGTCCCCTTTCTGTTCGCAATGATACTAATAATAATACCACGAATTGATTAGTTACAAATTGGCATTTTGAATTTTTTTACGGTGAAGAATATGCGATCCACCATTGCTATCTTCTTTGAGATATGAGGTGAAAGTTGCCATTTTGCTGTGAAAAGACTGTCCCACCCTTAATATTAAGTAAATTAATATGGCTGAATGTATATAATAATATGTACCTAGCTGATGACAAGATCATTTTGCCTTTTAAAAACGATTTTTTCAGTTCGAAAGTTTTCATTCAGATTCTAGAATTACTGGGAAATCCGATTCATTGAGTTCTTTCATTTTTATTCGCTTTCTCAGTAGGTATTATACTAATGTACATTTGTGGCGTACAATGTGATTAAATGACACTGAAGGAATAATTTTATTAGTAAGCAATACTACATTTTTGTTGAAGTAGCGGGCATAATATCACAGAATTACAATAATCATTTCAACTAAAAAAACGAAGAATATTAAGAAAATGAGTGTCCTAGAAAATGTGCAGGGATAATAAATCAAGGATAGTTAAGGATTTATATTGAATGGTTGGGATATGGCGGGCGTTGTTGACGGCCATGTACGACGTTGACTAAGGATCCGATAGCTCGTATGCTTCTATCGGCTTTCGAAGGCATTTTTTTTATCTCCAATTGGTTCTCTATAAATCGCAGATTGTGCCGCAATCAACTTACGTTTTGAAAGTATTATATCGAAGCATCTTAACGACTTTTTTAAGTACATTGATTCAAAGAATTTCTGTTTGTGTGGCAGCACTAATTTTTTATTTATTGCTTATATGGGTGGACAAGCTCACAGCCCACCTGGTGTTAAGTGGTTACTGGAGCCCATAGACATCTACAACGTAAATGCGCCACCCACCTTGAGATATAAGTTCTAAGGTCTCCGCATAGTTACAACGTCTGCCCTACCCTTCAAACCGAAACGCATTACTGCTTCACGGCAGAAATAGGCAGGGTGGTGGTACCTACCCGCGCGGACTCACAAAAGGTCCTACCACCAGTAAGAATCTTGAAACTTGACGTGTATACGATCTGATTGCATCTACAGGACAAAATTAACTTATATTCGCAGAGTATTACAAAAACATTGTCTTTGAAAGAAGTCTGCGCATTTTACAATCATTGTAACGTCGATAGTGTAATAGTAATTTACAGTTTAATGTATGCACATATACAGTTTATATGTATGTTGTACCTACTAATTCTACGATAAGTCAGCTTGAGCTCACGATCTATTAATATTACGTATGTACCTACTAACGTTGACAATAAATTTGTTTTAAAAAAAATATATGTCGCATTTCTTTACGAAGGCGTACTTATATTTCATATTTACTTTGAATTAGCATTAAGAAACATTTTATATTGACTTGTTTGATTAATGTGTCTGGTTTTTCGATTCAGCGTACATTGAAACATTTGCTTGATAATAAAGTTTCGGCGAAATGATCGTATAGGATTGAATATGCAATTTCGAAAAGGGCACATGTCGCATATTTTGTCAAATACGTTTTTTCATATACATGTAGTTTTGAGGCTTACCTACACCCATTTTATAATAATTCCAGTAATTTTCAATTGCTAATGAACACTAAAATATATCTCAAAAGTTAATATTTAAAATTTTACACTGCTTTAGAAACTAATCTGTTTTTTTCATTTCCTGAACATTTTACATTTTCAGAGATGTGCCGTTTACGAAATTGCATATTCAATTATTAGGTTGTTTTTTTTTCTACCTTTGCTGATATCCTTGATAGGCAATATCAGGGTTACTCTAGCGTGTAGGTGAGCTCACGGGGCTCAAACCGGAGGTGTTTCTAACACTGGCCCTAGCAAGAGCAGTGCTTTACAGAATCTACCGCCGGATCGGAAACGCGACCCACTGAGAAGATCCGATCCGTGTATATCACAACCCACGCAGAAATAGGCAGGGTTTTGCTACCTACAATACCAGTACTACCCACGTCTTTACGGATCGTTCCGATCCATTAACTAAGGTGCTTTTAGGAAGCACCGGTTACCGTCCTCGCCGAACCCGTCGCTTGCGACGAAGGGCTCGGCGAGTAAATTAACCCACAGACACAGCCCACTGAGTTTCTCGCCCGATCTTCTCAGTGGGTCGCGTTTCCGATACTGCGGTATATTCTGCGAATCACGCCTCTTGCTAGGGTTCGTGTTAGCAACATCGTCAGGTTTGAGCCCCGTGAGCTCACCTACCAGTTAAGGTTACGCTGATATTGTCTCTCTAGACCATCAGCTTAGGCAGGACAAAAAAAAATTAAACTGAAAGTTTATATTCGTTGTTAAACCACTTAATGTGTACATATACATATGTACTGTACTGACTGTACATATACATATTTCACATCTATTATCTTCCAATAAATAATACAGTAATAATACAAAGCTCATCTAAAAATAAAACTAATTAGAATTAAAAAATTATTAGTCTCAAATTGTGTTGTTTTATAAAATATTTTTCATGAATACAATATGGGACGTATAATACATGTAGTGCCAATTAATAATTATCAATGACCCACTTTAGTATTGTGCGCGGAAAGAAAAAAAATGCTTACGTACTGCATGTTTTTAAAATAAAAATTTGTATGTTTTCTTGTATGTGTTTGTTTAAAAATTTCTCTTATTTTCAAGATTTCCCAGTAATTTTATTTAATACACAAAGGCCGCTTAATACATTTCAAACAACTCACCGGTAATCAAAATTTTCGGAGGTCTTTTCCTCAATAATTCGCCCGAATAAAATCTTACATTAAATTTAATCGAAGCTCTACATATATTTCTAAACATAATCACGATACTCTATTGTCAGTTTGCGACACGATCAATCACGTTGTTGGACGAAATGTTACTGGCGCGATACTGAAAGGATTGCCATAGACTCGTGTAAGCAGAAACTGGTTGTATTGTGAGCACCTGTGCACTTTTTACAGAAACTGAGAGAGGCCGTATTTTATGACTGTGAACCTTATTGTTAAAGGCTTTAAATGGAAAGTGATAATGGAAACGATTGCCGTGGGTGTGTCTGCGAACAAGTACAACGTTCTTGACATTGAATTACGTGATAAATTTAGCAAGTTTTTTTTTTCATTTGCTTATAGTATCGTACGATGTTTTTATGTTGTAATAATGGTTCGGTAGGTGGGTATGTTAATCTAATTAAATGTTATATACCAAGACACTTGTTTCGTCAATTTGTTAGATTTTTAGACGATGTTAATCAAATTACTCAACTGCACGTTTCTGTGAGATTGGAATATTTTGATTTTTATGGGAAAAATAATATTGAAATATATACTTATTAATTCGAGACTAACTTAAAACTTTTTAGAAATTTCATGCGTTTTCTGAAATGATAGATCCGTTGCAGCAACTTGACTATTATTCCATGGAAATTAATCTTATATATATAAAATTCTTGTGTCACAATGTTATTTACCATACTCCTCTGAAACGGTTTGACCGATTTTTATGAAATTTTATAGGTATGTTCAGTAGGTCTGAGAATCGGGTACTATCTATTTTTCATACGCCTAAGTGATAAGGGTTGTCCACCTCTAACATTTATTTTTTATTTTTTGTTATAATGAGACATTATGTGGTTGAATGAGGTTTTTGTTTTTTTCTGCACTAGAATTTCCCTACAAATCTTATATATGGCAAAACAACGTTTGTCGGGACAGCTAGTAATTCAATATAATTTCTAATGCGTTTAGCGACATTTACGATATGATGTAATTAACTCAGCGAGCCAGGCCCGGGCTTGGGAGCGGGCTTCCAGGGAGTCTACCGAACATGTCGCACCTTTAAAATTACAGAGACTCATTTTGAAATATTTGGATTTCGTCTTTAATTCAAAAATGGACCTAGAACGACCCTTTTCAGTGACTTTTAGTAATCAAATAACCAGAAATAGCTTATAAAGGGACAAAGTTATCCATCGGTCTCTTTCACTCCGTCCCCTTCCTCTACGTTTTTTCGGTTTGAGAACTTTAATCGACGTTTTCCAAAAAACACATTTTTTTAGTTGGGTCTTTATAATTCTAAAGGTTCGATGTGCCGCACCTTCAATGAGGCCGTTTAACCAACGTCTAAATCCTTTCTGAAAGCCTAGTGGAGCTAGCGGTAAGGTTTACCCTTACCCTCTTTGGAGTGGACGCCGGAGGACGGAGGACAACTTATTGCATGGGGTTAGCAATTTAATAATCTCTTTTTATTGCCCAAATTAACTGAAACAATATAATATATGTACTATTAAAATATTACTATATATTGTTTAAACTACGGTAATCAGTCTCGGTATTGAGATATCTTTAGGCATCATATTGAGGCACGTGTACAAGTTATCCAAGTTTCTGCTTTTATTGGTAGCACCACATCTCGATTATGTACTTACTTATTTTTTTCAAGGGCCATAGACTTAAAATACCTTATACAAATTTCAATGTCAGTTTCAAGGTTAACGAGGCCACAATCGGGTCGAATATTCGCGGATTTATTCATTTGAAACCTGTGCTTCAATGTTGGTAAATAAAATTAGTAAGCCAGTTTTTGTTTAGTAAATATTGTATATTTTGTAGTGACTATGAACTTTTTTCTTTTCTGATGTTACGATTAAGATTTCTTGATGATTATTTTTAGTTTACAAGAACATTGCGTTTTTATCACTTTAGTTTCCGTATAATATCTAATTACAATAACGAGATTGCGCGTTTGTCTCTAAATTATAAATCGGAATACTTAATAATTAAGAAAGATACAAACCTACAATGTTTAAAATTTCCCCCTAACTTTTTAAGAGCAAAATTTAATTTCATACAAAAAATGTAGTTGTATCGAGAGTAGATTCACGTTATAATTAGAACGATTTTAAATTACAATTATCCAGAAAAATATTAGATGGATTTTAAAGGATTCCATTTAAAGACGGAATTCATTAAAAAGCGTGTTTTAATGCAATTTTAGAAATGAAAATGGAGTTGGGAAATATTGAGGAACGAAAAATAAATGATATTACGATTAAGATTTCTTGATGATTATTTTTAGTTTACAAGAACATTGCGTTTTTATCACTTTAGTTTCCGTATAATATCTTATTATAATAAAGAGATTGCGCGTTTGTCTCTGAATTATAAATTGGAATACCTTATAATTAAGAAAGATACAAACCTACAATGTTTATTTTTTCCCCCTAACTTTCTAGGAGCAAAATTTAATTTCATACAAAAAATGTAGTTGTATCGAGAATAGATTCACGTTATAATTAGAACGATTTTAAATTACAATTATCCAGAAAAATATTAGATGGATTTTAAAGGATTCCATTTAAAGACGGAATTCATTAAAAAGCGTGTTTTTAATGCAATTTTAGGAAATGAAAATGGAGTTGGGAAATATTGAGGAACGAAAAATAAAGTGGAAGCTCTTTGATGGTTGTTACGTAACGAATAGAATCATTATGTCAAATTGGATCAGGTAATGTGTATACGATTTTATTTATTTATTTATTTATTTATTACAAAAACATTTAAGCATCTACATGTTTACCCAGTGGTGGATTTACACTAGGGGCAGTCGGGGCAAGTGCCCAGGGCGGCAAATTTTTGAAAGTAAAAGTTTTTTTTTTTAGTCTATCAAGATTGCTCAATATAATTAATTAATTGTATTAATTAATCATTTTCTGTTTAATTGATAATTCAACAAATTCAATTCATCCATTATTTGTGAATTATAAATTTGGCACTTTTGGTAAAAATTAATAATCAAAATGATTTAAACAATTTATTTCCTTGGAGATTTAAAATAATAATCGATTTTTCTATTTTCTGTAATTAAATAAATTTAATTAGTTTTTTATTTATTATAATTAATTATAAGCCACCCTTAGCGCCAAATTTATAATTGTTAAAAAAAACAAATATTTATTGGTTTTTGGAATATATAAAATATGATTAAGTTTCTGCAATCAACTAGTTATTTTAATTTTGAAAAATACAATATAATATAAACTATAGTTATTATACTACTATAGTTTAGATAAAATTCCAGTATTGGGGCGGATTTTTTCCGGTGCCCAGGAGCGGCATTAAGTTTAAATCCGGCCTTTTTACCGCATATTTTCCAGGAGATTCAAAAGGTACCATAGCATAGTAGCTAGGTGTGCAGCATGCTTTTCCCGGCGTACTAACGATTTCTTAACTTCTTCTAACCGAATGACTAGTACCGTTATTATTATAAATCAAATAACGTAAAAAACCATTACGTCATCTGAAAAGCGTTGTTAGATTCTATCTCATGCAGAGTTAAGTAAGTGTTTTGAAACCAGTTCATAGGTTTGAAACTTTGTATTGATGTAGAGTTCTTTTAAAACTTATAATATGTAGGTAGGTAATTTAATTCTAAGTTGTAATTTATTGATGCAAGAACTTTTGCCAACTTTATTGAATGCTCTATAAAATAAATTGATAAATAATTCGATATATCCTTCGATTGTTATTAAAGAAATATATTAAATTAGAAAATAAGGTTTAATTATTTACTAGAAACTTTTAATTCACTATTATTTTAACATGATGATAAAATCTTCGAATACCAATTCTATTATACTTATAACCCAACACCTTCCTTATTACGACATTGGACAATTAAATCAAGTTATGTTACTGCATGCCTGTTTTTGTAACGTGTGTCAAAGATCAAACATGTAAGAAGTGTCATTGTTTTATGCTTTTTGACATTTTTACAGTTCATATTAAATGCAACATAAAGGTCACGATCCGAACGTGACGAAGAATTTTTATTTTTATTATTATAGAAGTTGGTTGAAGAGTTCCGGATTATGAAGTTACCGAAGCCTATAGACACATGAATGCCAAAATCCAGGTTCCTGAAATAGTGTGTGAAGTCTTTATAATATTGTCACACACTGTATGCTCTTCAATTTGGAACTTCACCCCAAAACCTCCAATCAGTAAGAGCGCGTATAGATAAAATGAGACCTTGTTCATTAAGGCACGTATGCTTAAAAAAACTAAAATGCACATAAGTACTGGAAAAGTTGAGAGTTATTTTATATAACAGGGCAGTGTTGCCGAAGACGATAAAAATTTGTTGATCCTGTATTTCTGTTTTATTCGAATTTTTATTTTATTTTTATTCCTTAAGTGCGTGAACGAGCTCACGGCCCACCTGATGTTAAGTGGTTACCAGAGCCCATAGACATCTACAACGTAAATGCCGCCACCTACCTTGAGATATCAGTTTTAAGGTCTCAGTATAGTTACAGCGGCTGCCCTACCCTTTAAACCGAAACGCATTACTGCTTCACTGCAGAAATAGGCAGGGTGGTGGTACCTACCCGTGAAGACTCACGAGATGTCTTACTATCAGTAATTAGGCAAATTATAATTTTGCGGGTTTGATTTTTACTACAAGATGTTATTCCTTCACCGTGGAAGTCAATCGTGAAAATTTGTTAAATACGCATTTCATTAGAAAAATTGGTACTTGCCAGCGGGTTTCGAACACTGGTGCATCACAAGATACGAATGCACCGGACGTCTTATACATTTACGTCGGCCATGACGACTTCTAAAATGTACGTATCAGTTCTTACGTCTTAACTATGACCACAGCATTAGTTTTACCCGAAAAAAAAAAATACGGTCGCGTAAGGCGTTGGCACGTCTGAAATACCTTAACTAGTCATGGGCGATGGCACGCGCCACAATGGTGAAAGATAAGTTACTTGGTGCGCATCGAACTGTGAACCGAAAGTCTGGTGTTTACATGCGAAATAAACTTCGTCTCCCAGTTTGTGCTTGGCTATCATAGGCCTCGCTAGTCCAAAGGTCTTTTACATTGTACAGTGAGTCATAGAGTCTCCCGTAAACGTCTCAAGGACTTTCGTCTTTGACAAAAAGTTTCCAAAGTGCCTAATGTCAGGTCATCATAAATTGTGTATGTACGCACCACTTGAAGTATCCCGTATTGTGTCGTGACTATCGTGAATCAGCCTGTGTATTTAATATCTACAAGCTAGCATTGGCGTTACTTAAAACAACAATAATAAGTAAAACTTTTTTTTTTAATAATTTTAATAGTTTTTATTGTACTATTTATTTTTAAGTATTTTAATAGCTGCATTTCAGTTGAAATAGAATAAATGTCAATAGTTCGTAAAAATGCGATGGTAATAAACCTACACAAAGATTAGTAAATTTGTATATCTTATAAGGACATTAATTCACGGTTTTAAAAACCAGGATTTCCCTGATTATGTCCTATTAATTACTATTTTTGATTATATTATTATGATTTAATATTAGTTTTTTATAATTCATAAAAAAATGTAAAATGTCTCAGCGTCTCGCGAAAATGCCTTACACAAAGTACATGCTACATACATACATTTTTTACTACGTCTTAGAAGAAATAAATAATACCAGGCTGTTTTAAAATATTTGAAAGTTGTTAATCTTTTATTTTACTGTACTTTTAAATTACAATAATACGAAAAAGCCATTCAGCCAAGGTTTGATTTTCTGCTAAATTAGGACAACAGTATTGTCCAATATTATCATTTCACAGTGTGCTGACAATATTACAATCATTCGTAACTTGGAATTTAGAGTAACCAATTCAGTACTGTGTTGCAAGTCAGAACACAGTATTCTGGTTCTCGGAGTCGTAAACATGATTTTTACCCTTTAATCCCGCGTTTATTATTCATATTTTATTATGTCAACCGTGACTACACCGCTAAGCATGCGAAACGTTGAGAACAATAAAATTTAAAATAATAAATGCGAGCCGCCTAGCCGTATCGCTAGGTTTCATTAAATACACATATTCTTGATCCCAGCGTTTTCGTGTTAATTCAAGCCTTTTTAATTTCAAATCTTACTATAATATGGATTTTCTACATTTTTGTATTGCATTTCTCTACATGTTTTTTCAAAATGTTCTTGAAAATGTTTTGGTACCTTGCGGTTTCGTAACATGCATGTGCATTACGAATGATATGGACGTATTATTGTGATGTATCACAGTTAGATTTTTTTTGGGTCAAGTGGATATGCAATTTGGGCTTTCCGCGCTGGCATGATACTAAAGTGGAGATACACCAGTCGCGTGCATGGAGGTTAGCTCGCCACTAGTAATCAACAGCAAGAGCATCTGCCTCCCCCTGTAGGATAAAAGGCGGCTACTTCCAGTCGCTCTGACTATGTTGGCGTGCTGCGGCGCCAGTAATTTCACGTTCAGAGATTGGCCCATAAATTCCGTATAGTTCCTCAAAAGCCAAGGAACCAGGTTAACGAAGTGAGCACAGAAAGTCCAACGAATACCCAGAATGTGAATGAGGTCCTTCGAAGCCCACGTCTCTAACCACTATGTGGGCATCGACAGGTGACGCTCTGTGAGGCCTGTGAAATCATAGACCTGTTATTTATCGAGCACACATGGCCCAGTCTTTAAATCCTGCCATTGTAGCAGTAGCAAGACCGCGACAGAATCGTGGAAATTATACCCCCGTAAATAAATAACTCCCGAAGGTTGCTCTTAAGCACTTCATCATACCTGATGTTCTACAGCAGAGGTTGGAGAACTGATTCCTGCACAACAGCGTGCATTATCAGATTTGTGGGGCTTGGTGACTGAAGATTGTAAAGGCCCACCCCTTGAACAACTCTCTTGCACTCTTGCCCAACGCCTAATTCCCGACCGAGACGAAATGTCAGTATACAAATGTGTCCTGCAGTTCACACTGACGCGCAATTAGCTCTGTTCTGGCTTGTGGGTCAATGAAGAACGCATTTAACTGCGCGCCATGGTGTGAATTACAGGTGGTATTTAAACAATATGAAAAAATAAAATAGCAAGCTTAATACCGTCATAGTCAGAGCAACTGGAAGTAGCAACGCTACGCTCCTTGTAGGTATGCGCGTTTGCAGGGACACCGCCTTTTATCCTACAGGGGGAGGCAGATGCCCGTGCTACTGATTACTAGTGGCGAGCTAACCTCCACTATATACTTTAAAACAATAATAGCTCCAATAGCTTTAAAACTTCAGTGCTTAATTAATTTATTAATTACAGTACTTAAAACGTAAATGTTAAATGCACTATTTTATTTATTGCTATCATGGCGTACATCCAACATGGTCGCATTAAGTATTTTATGGTCTTAGTGATCATTGTGGAACATGTTTTTTTCTTATGAATGAGGGATTACTGGTGGTCCAGAGGCCTTTCCAATTGCACCAGGACAGGTGAGCGAGCAAAGGCGCAGCCAGGAGTAACGTGCATGTACAACGCCAGAAACACAAGCCGTTGCTTTTTTTTTCTTAGGAAGTAAGATAGGATTACTGGTAGACCTGAGGTCTTTCCAATTTCACCAAGACAAGTGGGCGAGCAAGGTCTCACTTAAGAGGGATGCCACTGCTTTTCACAATTGCATATGTTTTAAACATGCCGTATTTGATCAGTTAAAGGCTTATTTCTGGTTAATTAAGTTTATGAAACGAACATGTAAAGTCTGAAGGGCTGTGACATTTAAAAAAAAATACACTAAATAAAAAATAATTTATTTATTTGATAGCGTAATTATATTACTTACTCTCCACACATGCGCCTTGTGCAGTCATGGTACGGGATGATGTGTGCGACAGTTAGAGATAAGTGCGATAGCGGTAACATAATGATATTTGTCCCGTTGGCCGCTCATGTTTGTTCAGTATGTATCTTAGATGTATTAAGCGATGCGGGCTTTAACAAGAACATTGGCGGTGAAAATGTCACTTTAATTGCAAAAACAATTAAGAAGAGAGCTAGCAATGATTGTAAACTATGTAATTTAATACACGCAGATGTTTATTTGAAATGTAATATTTATACTTTATTTTAAAACTATTATTATTTATATTACTTAGAAAATAATTTAATATCTGTTTATATAGTATATCTGTTTTTATAGTTTATATAACTTTTACATTACTTTGCTATTACTTTCATTATTTTTATAATAATATGTCTATGAATACCAGATACTACTGCTAAATGTAAAAAAAAGGCATTTTGATCATACATCTCCAATTTCTGCGGACGGGACAGGCAGTTGCCAAACCCATCAATTGATTGGATCTTTTTTGTCATTAATCATACAATACCACTTAGTGGGTATTTAACAAAATGCATATCGAAATATGAAGATAGATTATGATAAGAAAAAAAAGAAAATCGGTTACGTCCGCGCCGCGCCGTTAATAATTCATTATAGGTACATAAATAAATGCCAAAACTCCAAATACTCACTGTAACCACTGCCGTAACTAAATCAACAATCGCAGTCTGACCTACAAAGTTTTAAAGCCTTCGAAGGAATTGCGTAATTGAATGTGATGTAAAGTATATTGCACGTTGGTCACATAGATCGCGAATTGAATGAGTGAAAGTGCCAAGAGCAGCGGAGCGTTGTACCCAAACTATTGTTTCTGTATTCGCATTGTTTTCAGTCGTGGCATATCGGTCCTTGACGCGTATTCCGTTCATTCTATTAACTGCTCTTTAATGAAAGCCATCGTCGCTTAAATTATTTACCTATTTATTTTATGTTTTCAATTAATTAACCGTAGAACTAAAGTGCCAAAAAATAATAATTTTTATTTCAATTAATTATATTCGCAGGTAAACAAGATTCGTGTTCGTACGTGCTATGATACAATGATCCTAAAAAGAAATAGAGAGGAATGGATACTAAAACTTTGTCGAAGATTTCATTTACATTTCTCGTAATAGTTGTAGCGACGTCAGGACAATCAATATGTCCATCTCCAGAAACTATACTTCCGTGTATTTGCACTAATCGAAATGAGGATATCCAAATATGGTCAGTTTCAGTACATTATTCAACATTAGGTCTATAACGCTATATAATTCGCTTTGCCATGATGTATGTACAATATCATATATGTAATTATTATTTAATATGAATTTGTGTTTTCTTTCCCCACAGGTGTACGCACAGCGACTTATCGCAAGTTTCAAAAGGTCTCCAAAGAATAGGAGAGTCTATTGGGAAACCTATAGATGAGCTCATTATAGAAAATAATTACCTTCCTTCTATACCTGGTAAAATATTTCAACATGTGCAAGTTCTGAGACTTATGCTGCGGTACAATGGATTAGAACGATTATCGGCTGCGTGGTTAGAAACACAAGAGAAAAATTTAGTTGAAATTTTCATTGTTGAAAATGAATTAAGGAATTTTCCTGCAGACAGCTTATTAAAGCTCCAAAATCTTCAGGCGATAACTATACAATCACAAAGTTTGAAGCGGATACCGATATTCAAAAATTTGCAGAAACTGCGATATATTAGTGTACAGTCTGAAAATTTGCACGCAATTAATGAAAATACATTTGAGAACTTACCAAATTTAGACAAGCTCTTCATACAAGGCAGTCCACTTCTTCGCATTGTAAAAGAAAATGCATTTTATAACTTACCAAAACTTCGGAGATTAGAAATCACAAATTGTGGAATTAATATTATACACATGAGGGCGTTTTCCTTAATACCGTCTTTAAGTGAACTATCCCTAAGCAACAACATGATCTTAGACGCCACAATGGTTGGTAGAGCTACAAGAGATATTTCTACGCTATCACACTTGAACTTAAATCACAATATAATCGATAAATTGAACGAGGGTGCTTTTGTGGACCAACCCATGCTGGAGAGCCTATTTCTGGCAAATAATAACATAAGCATCATACATCATGGAGCATTCCACAGAGTGCCGAAACTGAGGATAGTTGATTTAAATTACAATAAAATTAGACAAATCCATCCTGAATCATTCTTACAACATTCAGGCAGTGGCGTCGAAGAATTAACACTCATTGGTAATGAAATCAGACATATATCTGAATTTCGTGCGTTGCTCGACGCGTTACCGAGATTAAAATTTCTCGATTTAAGTGACAACCTTCTTCAGGAAATACCTAGGGGTGCACTAAGAGGTCACCCGAGTTTGGAAAGATTGCATTTAAACAAGAATAGCATCAAATTTATACAAACCGATTCATTCGTGGCAATGCCCTCTCTACGAGAATTACATTTGAGCAACAATACTTTATCCGATGTTAATGAAGGCCCATTTTGGGATTTACCTGCACTCAAAGGATTGGACTTGTCATATAATTATTTTCAACGTCTACAGCCAAAACTATTGTACAACTTACCTGCTTTGCGTCGCATAAACTTTAGCCATAATCAATTAAAAGTAGTCGACCCAATAACATTTCTAGAAATACCGCTAGTTGAATACGTCAATATATCAGGAAACGCACTGGTATCTTTGCATCCTGCAACATTTAGGAATCTCGAAAATCTTTATGAATTAGATGCGAGTTTCAATAAGCTTATAGAATTTGTTCCGGGACTGCCAAGAGGGCTGGAACAGCTATACTTGCAGAGAAATCAAATCACTAGTTTGCCCGTTACACCTTCGCCTGATCTAGATTTACCGTCACTAAGATCCCTTGACATTTCGAATAACGGCATCCAAAAAATTCCTTTCGGTAGTTTGAAGACGCTTCATAATCTAAGAAGACTGTATATGGAAAGAAACGGTTTAAGGCAAATTGATACATCGACATTTAGTGACCTGGAAAGATTAGAGATATTGGATTTGAGTGAAAATCAAATTATGACTATTCATCCGAAAAGTTTTAGTAAGCTTATTTATCTAAAACAAGTGAACTTACATGGAAATACGGTTGAGAATTTTGATTTCATGACTGTTCAAGAAAATGAGAAGTTATCTTTATTAGACTTAAGCAAAAACAAATTGAATACTCTCAGTCCCAGTATACTGAACAGAGCACTTGACATAGAGACTTTAAATATTTCGTCGAACAGTTTGAACGAATTACCATCTACCCTCAATCTACTGTCAAAACTGAAAATATTGGACGGCAGCAATAATCACATAAAAAAATTCGCTGGCAATACTATTAACAACTTACAAACACTAATTAATATTAGACTACCGAACAATAAAATTCATGAATTACGTTCTGCCAGTTTTAAAGGTCTAAGAGATTTAGAAACCATTGATTTAGACAATAACAATATTGAAGTTATGCATCAAAAAGCCATTAGCGACTTACCTAAATTAGTATCGATATACCTTGGAAGAAACCATGTTATCGATTTGCCAGATTTAGTATTCTCCAACCTGCCGAAATTAAGAGTCATAGAATTACAAGGAAATCGTTTGCAACATATTTCTACCAGGGCCTTTGACAATGTTCCTTTGGTACAATACCTCAATTTAAGTAATAACCAAATAACGAAGATTGATGGTTCAGGATTGAAGCTGTTGACGTCATTGGAAGTACTCGATTTGAGTTTTAATAAATTGACAGGAATAACGAGGTCGTCGTTTCAATACATGGAATGGCTGGTTGAACTCAATTTAGATAACAACTTGATATGCCACATTAGCGACCAACCGTTCGATTTAATGCCTCGCCTAAAAGTACTTTCGTTACGCCACAATAAACTACGAGCCGTGTCTGAAACGCCTTTTGAGAAGCTAAGGAATAACATTGCTATTTTAGATTTCGATGGTAATTTTTATTTTGATCCAATTTTATCCTATACTTCAATATTTCTTATACATTTTCGTTATTAGGTATTTTTAATTTTTACTTGTATATAATATACATATAATAGGTTTTACATATACATAAAGTTATTTATTTTATATACTTTGTAATTTGCTTCCGGAATTTTGTTGTTGCAGGTAATCCCTTGATTTGCAACTGTGCAATCATTTGGCTCAAGTCCTGGCTTTTAGAATCGTCATCGGTGGGCCCGAAATGTGCTGATGGAACTTACGTAAAGGGAATGCCATTTACTCATAGTGATTGTTTTAATATTCATGTATCAGAAGACGAATCAAAATTATGTTTTACCCATGAAAATGAAGCATTGCTACCAAATCTGGCTACATCACAAGTATTTTCGTCTCTAGATAAAATCAAAGATTATGCAAGTGAGATAAAAAATGATTATCACCCTAATAAAGTTCATAGTAGACCACTGCCAGAAGAATCTGATTATTTTTACGATGATTATATTGATTATCCATATAATGATACTATATTGAGTGGTATTAATAATGCAATTACCGAGTTGAATGGAAATAGATCTAAGGAGAACCTTGGCATGACACCGACGCTTTATGCTGAAATGAAGAATACTTCAAGTACTAAGCCAAACCTGACCACAAATGAACCAAGCAGCAGTTTCACATTTTTCGGTATGCCTCTACCACCAATAGATATGAACAAATTACTGAATTCTGGACGTAAAATAGATTGGCCGCAAAAAAGGATCCCGTATCATGGCAACAACTACCAAACGTCAGAACCACCAAAATTTGAAACCGGCGGTTTCAGTCCCATGCTTCCTTCAACTGCTGGAGGCTTCATGCCCATTCCTGGTCCTACGGTTAATTTATCCCACACTATATCAAACACCCAAAGTAACGTAAAATATAACAAAAAGGCAGAAATAGAAAAATCTATTATTGCAGTGGCGACGCGGCCGCCATTGACAATTTTGAAAAATAACACCGTTCATCAAAAAATGAAAAGTGAAATTCACGAAATCCAAGCCTATTTAGACGATCATAACAGAACTCAAATAGCTTATAATAGAACAAAAAACGTGGAAGAAGAGAAAACTGCACCAAACAATCTTAGTAAGTACAACTTAATGGAGTCTAATTTAACATTAACTCAAGTTACGGAGAAAGAAAGCTTGTTAATTACCACAGATACAAGCAATGATATGTCACTTCAAGCGTGGATGGAAAGCAGTACTATGTCTTATTCATCTACACTAAAATCACCAATGCGAAAGCACATTGAAAAACAACCTACAGCATTATCAGCTGTTCTGATCCCAAATAATTTGGAACTGATGCGTAACCACAGTAAGAGGCCAGCAATTATTACTAAAGTTAATATGCCGCATTTAGAACAACATTCTACCTTATATAATTACTCCCCAATAACAAATCGGGAAGGGAAAACAAGGTTTTCAGAAATCACGAACACCGTTAATACAAAAAAGCAACAGATTGACGAGAATGATTGGTACTACCAAAATTACAATAAAACAGACGTAGACCCATATATAGCACCCGGGATACATGCATCAAAGTGTACTTTAGTAGAATTTAATAATTATTTAAAGATTGTAACTCTATTAGTTGTAGTAATAATTTAATTTCATTTGAAAATAAGCATACTAGTATTTGTGACACGTGCGTTCAGATTAATTTTAAAAAAGTAGATCCGCTCACGCAACGTTAATTTTTTGTATATTTATAACAATGTTACTTAAAAATTAATAAATATGAGTATTACACATCTCAAAATAGTTTCATTTTTAATAGAATATTTGTAAATATTTGTAATAAATAATGAAAAACGACACAAAATTACCATCCCAGTTACCCTTAGGACATCAGGGGCTGGTGACCGTTTCAGGGAACAGCTTCGGCAATTTCCCGGTACCTACATTGCCGATCTTGCGGACCGTATTGTAAACATTCGACGTCGCCCAAAATACGTCATCTCGAATCCTCCCGATACACTAACGGTCTTTTAATGTACCCCAAGCACTTCAATGTCCCACTTTCAGCACTAAATAACAGTTCAAAAATCCTCCAGAATGGCGCTAGCACGGGCATATGATATGATATGAATTGAGCATTTGTTAACTGATTGAAGCTTATCATACGAGACTACTTGTCGAGCCGTTCGTTCCGATATCGAGTCGAGGGAACGCGCTCTCGCTCCCGTCACGTTACAGCCGGAGTCCCGCAAGGCTCCGCCCTCTCCCCGTTACCGTTCAGTTTGTATATCAAAGATATACCCCGGTCTCCGGAGACCCATCTGGCGCTCTTCGCCAATGACACGGCTATCTACTACTCGTATAGGAAGAAGTCGATGTTGCATCGGCGACTCCAGACCGCAGCTACCACCATGGGACAGTGGTTCCGGAAGTGGTGCATCGACATCAACCCCACGACAAAACCCGCAGTGCTCTTAAAAAGGGGTCGCTCTCCGAATACAACTTTGAGCATCCCACTCCCGATTAGGCGCATTAACACCTCCGCCTTCCCCATTCGCCCAATCATGCTGTATGACCAACCTATACCGTTGTCCCCGAAGGTCAAATACGTCACCCTCGACAGAGGGATGACATTCCGCCCCCGTTAAAGACGGTACGCGATCATGCCGCCTTCATACTAGGACACCTGTACCCGATGATATGCAGGCGAAGTAAATTGTCCCTTAGAAATAAGGTGACACTCTACAAAACTTGCATAAGCCCCGTCATGACCTATGCAAGTGCAGTGTTCGCTCACGCGGCCCGCACTACCTTCAAATCATTCCAAGTTATTCGATCCCGTTTTTGGTGGATAGCCGTCTGAGCTCCGTGGTTCGTCAGGAACGTTGACCTCCATGACGACCTGGATTTAAGAGTGCATCAGTAAGTATCTTCGGTTGGCGTCGATGCGCCACTTCGATAAAGCGGCACGACACGAGAGCCCTCTCATCGTGGCCGCCGGTAACTACATTCCTGATCCTGCGGACAGAATGGAAAGCAGTCGACGTCGCCCCAAACACGTCATTTCGGATCTTCCCGATCCACTAACGGTGCTTTTAGGTACCTCAAGCACCGGTCCTCATTCTCGTCGAACTCGTCGAACCCGTCGCTTGCGACGAAGGGCTCGACGAGTAAATTAACCCTCAGACACAGCCCACTGAGTTTCTCGCCGGGCCTTCTCAGTGGGTCGCGTTTTCGATCCGGTGTTAGTCTGCGAAGCACGGCTCTTGCTAGGGTTCGTGTTAGCAACGTCGTCAGATTTGAGCCCCGTGAGCTGATCTACTAGTTAAGGTTACGCTGAAATAGCCTCTCAGCCAGGTAGGGAAAAAAAATGATTGAGGTTTGCTGAGTTACAAAATTTAATACATTTCATGACTAGCGTAGTTAGTGACAATGTAATCGAGTGTAATAAACAAGACCTCACATGGTTACGTAGTCCAAACTAATATCGTCAATATAAGCTAAAATTATTGCTGTGGTAAAACGTGGAGACATCGATTGCATTTTCTTATCAGCTTTAAATAAAATACTTTTAGTGATTTTGTAGTGCTTACAGTTCTTTCGTCCTTTTTTATTTCTCTATCTTATTCTAATAACTTACGACGCCTTTTTTTTAAATTTACACGGTTTTTTAATTTGACCACTATTTTAACAGACACTTTTTCACACACAGAGACGGTTCTGCTTACTCTACCCTCCATAATTATATTATACTGTAGATGGAATATCACACAGCACACGCCATTAATATTCTTTCATTTGTAGTCTTATCTATGATTGATGATTAGGGGTGATATATAGAGCCTATAATTTTAGTATGTACCTATTTTTTTCAGTTTTCGAGTCTTAGTTATAAAGCTTTTAGGGTTTAATCAACAGATGGACAACATGAAAAATCTGTAAAATAAAAAGGAAACGTCGTAATTAATTTAATGAAAATAATAAAAGCTAGATTTAACTATAAATAAACTTTATCAAGTCTGTATACTGTCTGTCTGTGTCTGTATCTGTATGAAAAAAACTTTTTTGCACTGGTATCGTTAAAAAGAAATCAATTCTTAAGGAGAGAGCTTCATAAAATAATGTTTTTTTTAATAATATTTATCAGTCGAAGATCTTCACTTTGTCGTTCATTACTAACTGGTGACCTGCAATGGTGCATCTGCAACTTTCACATTTATATTATAAATTTATAATTTAAATTATAAATGTGACACCAATGTTGAGTACAGCTACACAAAACACAAGATATTATCAAGTCATCCAACAGCAATTAACTTTGTAGCCATAGCAGTTATAGTCTATAATTATATGTTTCGATAGAATAATCAATGTGGAAAACATTTGAATCACAATCTTTAAAATCGATTTATGTATTCACAAGTTCCAAATAAAATTTAACTATTGGTCTTCTGAACAATAACTCCGACTTGGTGGAATATCTTCACTTTCCCATTTCCTATAGTTGTGGTAACATTTTCATATACATGTGGTTAAGATTGTATAAAACCCAACATTACATTGTGAATGGCCTTCTTGGCAGATTGCATTGGGGGCTGGAATCCTAAATAGAAAAACTGGTAAAGGTATATATTTCATATATTTCCTGTCTTTCAAATCCCAACATTTATATGGTAGCAAAAATTGGTAAGATAATTATGTTATACTCAAACATGTGTTCCTGTATATTAGTAGGACTAGACTCTTTTTCACTGTTCTAACTGGTAAAAAATAACATTTTACCTTATTTTATTTATTATTAGTTATTATAATTTTATTTATACTTTTGTTTTAAGTTTCAATTGTTTGTGTTTTCTATAAAATAGTTTCTTAGTTTTTCTAGGGCCTTGTATCTGTGTGAAATTAAATTCTTCTCTGTTTTTGGTAATTCTGCATATGTTTTGTTGTAACCTGCTGGTTGGAAGACACAATCCCATCCAAAATCCCTCGTACCTCTCGGTTCTACGATTATTCCTTTTGTTCGTCCTTGGAACAGAATGACATTATCTTTCTCACCACTACAATAGGCAAAAGTGCAGACGGCTACAGCAGATTTATCCTTCCATCCAGCCAATAATCTGGGCAGTCCTTCCGGCTTCAATTTATCCAGGAACCATTTAATATAAGGACCGGGCAGGCCACATAATGCATTGAAACATAAACTCGTATCTTCCACAATTACAGCCTGCTTAAGGAGTCGAGCGGCCTCTTGGCATTTTTTTATTGACACTTCATCAATTTCTCCTTGTAGTTCAGGCAAATCCAATTTGTGACTTACGACTTCAAATGGAAAATTTGCTCCTAATATGGCTCGAAACTCTTCGAGTTTTTTTAAATTTCCTGTGACAAACGTGATGGTTTTATTTGCCATTTTTTAAATCTAGTTCTAGCTCTAAGCACACAGATATTTAAATTAATTACTATGTACCTATGTACCTCTAAAGTGTAATTTATTAACCTATAATGAAGTTCGGAAGAACGATATGTAGGTAGTTAGTGGCCGTGTGTCGTTCACGAATGAATCCTTTAAGTGAAGTACTTCAGTTAGATTCTGTTCTTCATTCTTTACTTCAGTTACAATTCAATCATATCTTTAGTTCATTTAGTTCAGTTGTTTAGTCCACCGGCCGCGAACTAAGATCGGCACTGCTCGTGCCTCGTTCGCCAGTGTTGATTGATAATTTGCTGTCACGCTCTGTTGTACGTGCCTAATGATGTTCTATTTCATGTTTAGGTAATTATTATTCACCTTTTAGTTTGAGTATATTTTCTATTTAAAGCATGTTGTTACTAGTTTTTTTAAAGTAATAAATTAATATATAATAACATCACTTTTAATATATAATAAAATATGTGTCGAACTATCGTAAAACAAAAAAAATACGAAAAATTATCTAGGTTGTCAGCCCTAAGCCTGATCATGTATGAAGGGAAATCTGTGGTTATTTTATTTTTTATGTAGATTCAATGAACTGTTATTTTATCAATTAACTAGCTAACACCCGCGGTTTCACGCGTGTTAATAGATACTGCCCAACTCCATAACCAAAGCGTGATGATATATAACTTATCTCCTATTCCATTCTATAATCTATCTCTGTGCTAAATTTCAACAACAATTCCGTTCAATAGTTTTACGTAAAAGAGTAACAAACAAAAAACTCACGTTCACATTTATAATATTAGTTAGGATGTTCTATTCCAGACTATAATCTATTTCTGTGCCAAATTTCATACAATTTGATCCAACAATAGTTTTTACGTTAAAGAGTAACTAACAAACAAACTCTCATTCACATTTATAATAATAGATATGATTATATATCTCTATATCAGTCAATGATTATTGAAGGAAAAGCGAACGAAACTCCAAAACATATTTGTGGAGCTACTGAAGTACTGAACTAAACTGAACTATTGAACTAGAAGGACTTTATATCTCTATATCTGTCTATAAACTAGTGAAGGAGAACTAAACGCAACTCCAAAACATTTCTGTGGAGCTACTGAAGTACTGAACTAAATTTAACTATTGAACTAAAAAATAGATATACATAGTTCAGTGTGATGAAAAGACACATTTGTATCTTTTCATTTCAGTGACACATTTTGCCCAAGACTAGTAGGTAGTAGTAGTGTAGTAGGTACGGTCTCAAATATATTAAGTGTATAATTTATAGGTACGATACTAGGACTACTAGGTAGTAGTTCCATTTTTCCAACTAGAAAGGCAAAGGTACAGTCATACAGCCCAAGCTTTTATATTGGAAAAACAGTAATATGAACTATTATGAAGTGAAATGAAATTGATTAATATGAAATATGGCATGAAATGAGATGAGATGGTATAAAATATAATCTCAGTAAAATGGTGGTCATTTACTGAGACTTTTTCAGTGGACTTTTTGGAGGATTCCGAGAAGTTAGGGTCAGCGGTTTTGGTTTATTTTCCCACATTTGTGCACTTTCACAGATACTAAACAGTTAATAAACCACTGTTATTACGCATTTAAACTTGAAGAATCACTAAATAAATAAAATAAAACAAATCACACAACTTCACTCGTCGCGTTCTCGCCAAAAAGTCGTAAAACGCCTACAGGTACCGGTAAAACGGGGTGATTAGGGACAAATTCCAAATTGATGAACAATTTTCAAGTAGTTGTTGATGTTTAAAATGCTATATCAGAATCAAAATGATTGAGTCTTGGGTATCTTTGCTATCCAATTTAAAGCATTCCAGTTTAAGCAAAAAAAAGCAAAAATAGGTGTTATCCCTATTTACCCGGAAATTGCGGTTAATGGGGAAGAAATTTGTGTTAATAGAGAAATTTGCTAGGGCTGGCACTACTTGATTTTAATTAATTTATTTATTTAGTTGCACCAACAAAGTGATCATCAATAAAAAACATTGAAAAACTGACAAAAGTATATGGCAGATGTCACCTCAATTATAGGTGCAATCGACAATTCATTGACAATAAAAATAAATAAAAAATACAACTAAAACTTGATTACATTTAATTACTTATGATCAATTTGTATTTACTTGGGAAATTATCTGCTACAGATTTTTCCTGTAAGTTGTAAGACAATTAGAAAAAACATTTATTTCATCACTTAAAATTAGTTCAGTGCAATCGGACAACTCCGAATGACCATTGACGGAGACTGCGCTACCGTCGACATTATTATAGTCCCAAAGGATTCTGTTTAAGGGAGAGTAAGCACCTAAATTCGAACGAGCGGGCTTTTTTATAAACGATTTATATTTCTTCGTTCTTGGTAAGTACTTAGGCTGATATTTTTATCTGGGTTAAGAGATTAGGTGTCTCGGTTATTCCATGCATTAATCAGGTGGATACCCCCACTCTGAACAAATATTAATATATTTTGGTATTACTTAGACATTTTTTTGTCCACCTTGAGATTTCACTGTTCTTGTTACATGTCTGTGCAAAACCGACTTACTTATGTTAAATTGCTTAGCTATTTCAACTAAAGACTTATTGCCAATTTCATAGGCTTGTATTGCTGTTTTTAAGGGATCATATCTCTTATAAGGCTTTACACTCTTTGATACGTACACGCAAGGCATACTAAAAATAGAAAACACTGCATTACACTGCAAAATAATACTGCATTGATAATTTTTAACAAAAGTTCTAGACAAAAACATCATGAATAAACCAGATTCTTACTAAAACATTTAAAAAAGATTGTTATAACTACATAGACAACCCTACAAACCTGTACTTATTTATACTTAGGACGTTCCCAGTTAACTCCCAATTCCAATTCTCATCCCAATTGACCCCTTTTTCGTTGTTATTTGTATGCGAAACGTCCCCATTATTCCCAAAAACTACAGATTTTTACATATATTTCTATATTATCAAAAATATTAAAACCAATAACAACTGAGACTTACCTTTAAAATTTAAGATGGTTCAAACACTAAATAACGTTTATAAATCACAATCGTTTTCTCTTATTATCAAATAAATAAAAGAGAGCAAAGTTTCTAGCACTAAAATAATTACCACCACAAGAAGTTAATTTGAAATGCGATTTTTATAAGTTAGCAGTTATTATTATGCATATTCACAGTTGTTTTCTAAACTTTCAATACTCTACTATTACACTACAAAAAATGGAAGATTTTGCAACGATTAAAAAACTAATAATGAGCGTCGAAAGATTTTCCTGGTTTTTTCCCCATTCACCTCTCAATCCCTAATCACCCCATTTCATGGTATCACTTTTATTTTTTTATTGCTTAGATGGGTGGACGAGCTCACAGCCCACCTGGTGTTAAGTGGTTACTGGAGCCCATAAACATCTACAACGTAAATACGCCACCCACATTGAGACATAAGTTCTAAGGTCTCAGTATAGTTACAACGGCTGCCCCACCCTTCAAGCCGAAACGCATTACTGCTTCACGGCAGAAATAGGCAGGGTGGTAGTACCTACCCGCGCGGACTCACAAGAGGTCCTACCACCAGTAAGTTACCACTTTAGTTTTTATGACCTGTATAGATTAGCAGTATGAAAAGAAAAAGTTAAGTTTATGTAACTAAATAAATAACTCTATTTCACAGATCACTACTAGCTATTATAGAATGAAGAGGCGGAGAAATGAAATTGGCTAAAAGTCGAGCTACCAATGACTGTACAATAATTATTAAAACTACATCAGAATGACTGTCAAATTTTAACTTGCCGAGCCGACATAGTAAATAATAATATGTTACTCTAATTTCGTTTAATTTAATGAATAATAACTTTGTAATATAAAATAGAACAGCAACAAATCCCGAATATTTAAGTGAAAATACTTACGTAAAGATCATAAAGATGCCTAGTCAAGAAGTAGCCACCACGAAAGTAACCACCAAAGTGGTGGTTCATCCGTTAGTGTTGCTCAGTGTCGTGGACCATTTTAACCGCATGAGTAAAATCGGGAATCAGAAACGAGTAGTCGGTGTTCTATTGGGTTGTTGGAGAGCCAAAGGCGTCTTAGATGTATCGAACAGCTTCGCAGGTTAGTATGAAATTATTGTATTCCTGAAATTGCAACTTTCTATCACTCTAATAATAGATTATTTATATTTTTAATATTCAATGATCATGTCATTAAGTAATACATATTAATTTCCACTGTGCACATAATGTCTTAGACGATGAACTCTTCCTTTTCCTAAATTAATCTGAAAAATACAAAATTATATCTTTTTCAGTTCCGTTTGATGAAGACGACAAAGACAAATCTGTCTGGTTCCTTGACCATGATTACTTAGAGAACATGTATGGTATGTTCAAAAAGGTTAATGCCAGGGAAAAAGTTGTTGGCTGGTACCACACAGGACCTAAACTTCATCAGAATGACATAGCGATAAATGAGTTAATTAGGCGTTATTGCCCAAATTCAGTACTTGTAATTATTGATGCTAAACCTAAAGATCTTGGTCTACCGACTGAAGCTTACCAAGCAGTAGAGGAAGTACACGATGATGGTACACCAACTTCGAGGACCTTTGAACATGTTCCAAGTGAAATTGGTGCAGAGGAGGCTGAAGAAGTGGGAGTAGAGCATTTGTTAAGAGATATCAAGGATACCACTGTGGGCAGTCTTTCACAGCGTATCACTAACCAGTTGCTCGGCTTAAAAGGTCTTCACTCACAATTGACAGAAATTAGAGATTACCTTGTTCAGGTTGGGCAGGGCTCCTTGCCAATGAACCACCAGATTATTTACCAGTTGCAAGACATCTTCAATTTGCTGCCAGATATTGCTAATGATAATTTCATTGATAATTTGTATGTCAAAACCAATGATCAATCACTTGTGGTATATTTAGCTGCTTTAGTGAGATCCATAATAGCATTACACAATTTGATCAACAATAAAATTACAAATAGAGATGCAGAGGAAGGAAAGAAAGATGAGAAAGATAAAAAAGAAAAAAAAGATGAAAAAGATGATAAAAAAACAGATGAAAAGGCAAAAGTAGAAAAGAAAGATAAAGAAGAGAAGAAAAAATAGTTTATATAAATTAACTTAAGTTTTTATTTCTCTATTATGAATAAATTTCAATAAAGTTCTTTTTCTTTCTTTGTTCAATGCTCCAAGGTTCTTAATGTCATCTGAGTTTTGCACTTTTGTTTTCTCTATTTTATTAAAATAAGTAACTTTATTTTTCCCTGGACATGTGCATGTCAATTTTTAAAAAATTAAGTAATCTGTTTAGATATTTATATCCAAGAGCAACCAAATAACATTATATTTCTCTAAAGCTGCAATTCCAGACGCTTTGATGTAGTAATTAGCTATTGTGAAGATAAAATAAATAACATTCATCCTTTCTTTACTGTTTTTTTTTGTGTAGCAGTTTGGTATACAGATATTCGTATTAGGATGGTTCATTGATAATTTATCTTTATACATTTATGATATGTCCACCTTGCTATCAAATTTTGATAATACAATCTATGAAATTGATAAAAGTCAGTCTTCATGGTGATGTTACGCGATACTTGTGGGTGTAAGCTAGAATATGTGCATTTATTGTTGATGTGAATCTCAAAAATTCAAGATGACTGACCGAATTCGGCTTTCGGTATGTATAATTTTCGAAAGTTACATTATTTAAAGTTAAATTCTTATTAGAAAAGCTTAGTCATTCGACGTCCTCAATTTTTTAATCACGTATCTTTAAATTGTTTAATGTGCACTGATTACGACAAAATGAGTTTTATTTTCGTTTCTTAAATCAATTTCTGTCTCAATCAATAAAATCGTGAGTGAGAAATATAAATCAGGTATGCATCCAATGCGATGGAACTATGCTGGTATTGTTGCCTCCGGCATCTTTCTATTGAAATATATACTTAACATAATAATATGGTCACGAATGATTCAAAAATTATAATTTGCGCAACGGTCAATGTTGCTTCGTCTGTTACACGCACTGCTTTGGCGCTACGGAAAGAGCGCCAACGTTGGCCCTCCCAAAGCGTCAACGATATAATACTGATACGACGTACTACATGCTTACTGCGTATTTCGTCTGGGGGAACAGCATCGTGTCCTCATCGCTTGAATAGGATCGATTTTATTGCTGCCAGTCGTGGTTGCTAGATGCTAAACAACGATAAGTCCTGAAAGGCAATGAATGTTTGACTTGTGCGTGTCCAGCATGTCACAGAAGGAGGCGAAGCGTAAGAGAGAAAGCTCTCTCTCCGCACAGACCTGCTGCCGTCGAGCTGCCGGGGCCAGAAGGGCATGTCCCAGTTCCAGCCCGTATAGAAGGCGGCCTCCTTGGTGGCGATTCGGAACTATAGGAGAGAGCATTCGAGCGCAGCGCGCGACCACTACTTGAGCATACAAAAAAGTTGATACTAATCAGAGGCCATTTGTAGGTGCGCCACGTTTCCACCTTGCAGGCTTATTCTAACCTATCCCGGTATCCCGAAATATCAGAGGCAGCCAGATGGGCCCGCGACCCTTTTTCGCCTGGCATTGTATCAATCAGGCGTCCTTGGAGTGATTGAATTCTTAATTCAGACTTAGACCTCATGGCTCAGGTTCGGGGGCTTTTTCACTGGGCAATTTATTTAAAACAACTAGTTAACTATTTGCGCACTACGAAAAACGAATATGTAATATACTTACCTTACATTTCAGGACCTGGTTTGGATAAAGCCACAAGGAAGGTCAGAATTTGACATTCCCGTGGCGGTCAAAATCTTAAACAGTTCCGGCGACAGGATCCAGGTTCAGGATGATGATGGCAAAGTGTTCTCGACCACGGTGCATGACGTCATCAAACCTCTTCATGCGACGTCAATTTGTGGAGTGGAAGACATGATAACTCTTGGCGAACTCCAGGAATATACGATACTCCGAAATCTACATTTAAGATATAATGAGCAATTGATTTATGTAAGTTATTTAGAGTGATTTCGTCTAACGATCCCTTTGAGTAATTATTGGAGAACATTCGTCAAATACGCGTTGCCATCGCACTATCTACAATCGAAACAATTTATCCCTACTGCTTGGAACCGCGTTCACTTACGTACAGTGCCTTTCCAGAGATCAAATTTTTTATATACCATCTGACTCAGAAATTAACACATTGTTTCCTACATTGTTTCCTGAGTGCTATAACATGCTCTTCATTAAAAAGCTTTAAAAGTGAAAAAAAGTGGTAGGAAACATACAACCTATTTCTGACATTGTTAATGTCTATGAGCATGACTGAACATTTATGATTAGGCGGGCTCTAAACTTGCTACCCTATGAAGATACAATAAAAGATGTCGAATATGCTAAACTACGTTTATTGATTTATTATTCAAATTCGAAAAACAATCAACCTTTGTGCGTTTCTGCAACTCTTATCAGTTACGGCTTAATGTTTTCTATTAAGCGTTTTACAATTTACTTACTCCCTTTTAAATTGTAGATAACCTACGATAAGAGGATTTCCCTTTAATTACCTTAATAAAATAATAAGAATAGGTTTGGTCGTTTGAAAGTCAGTTCGAGTAGGTACATTACAGTAAGAAAAATTTTAGAGCACACCGGAATGTTATCTAGATTTGAAAATAAAACCTAGACGGATACAATGAGCGCAATAGCTAGTAAGTATTTTTGTTAAACGCGATATTTTCCATATTATGAAATAAAATCTGATTCATTTGTCTTGTCGATAAAAAATTAAATATTTATTTATACATAGAACAACCAGTCCGACAGATACACTCGTAACCGCAGTACCCTGATAAAAAAAAATCTGGAATCTAATGGCGTCGCCATTTACCGTGCTTAAAATTTAAGTAGATCATCCAGGAGCCACTCAAACACAAACGTATTCATCAAAATCGCTCCAACCGTTTAGGAAGTGTTAAATGGCAAACGCACGTGTAACTGTTTCTGTGTTTATATGCGAATCTTAAGAATATATGCACAACTTTTTCAGACATATACGGGTTCCATGTTAATAGCTATTAATCCATATGAAATTCTACCAATTTATACCATGGATCAGATACACTTCTATCAAAACAGTCAAATTGGAGATATACCACCACACATTTTTGCCATAGGAGACAATTCTTACAGGAAATTGATCGAGACTTCTTCCAACCAGTGCATAGTTATCAGGTATCAAAATGGTATAATTAATTGACATTATCATCATTACTTACACAATAATCGCACAACTATTTATATTGCCATTAAATTTTAGTGGAGAAAGTGGAGCTGGAAAAACTGAAAGCACTAAGCTATTGTTACAATACTTAGCAGCAGCTAGCGGAAAACACTCTTGGATTGAACAACAAATTCAAGAAACCAATCCTATCCTTGAAGCTTTTGGAAATGCTAAAACAGTTAAAAACGACAATTCATCGAGATTTGGGAAATATGTGAACATTTATTTTAACAGAAGAGGTATCATTGAAGGCGGGAATATTGATCAATATTTATTAGAAAAGTCACGTATAGTATTTCAGAATAAAGGGGAAAGGAACTATCACATATTTTATTCCCTCGTCAGTGGGCTTTCGGCTGATGAAAAAAAAAAGCTAGATTTGAGTCGTCCTAATGATTTTACATATTTAAATTCTGGGAATATGTTGACCTGTGATGGCAGAAACGATGGCTTAGAATTTTCAGATATTCGTTCAGCCTTTAAAGTACTAAATTTTCCTGAAAACGATGTGTGGTCAATTTTTAGTTTACTCGCCGCGATCTTACATTTAGGAAATTTAAAATTTAAATCATTTAACGTTAATAATATCGAGTCTTCAGAAGTAGTAGATGCTGTGAACGCAAATAGAATAGCTACGCTTTTGGGCGTAAACAAAACTGATTTATGTGAGGCATTGACCAGGAAAACTTTTGTTGCTCACGGAGAAAAAGTTGTTTCTACATTAACAGTGGCTTCTGCCATCGAAAGTAGAGACGCACTTGTAAAAGCCATTTACGGGCATATATTCGAGTATATCGTGGATACTATTAATAAAACACTGCACAAAGACCAACAATTGACAAGTGGATCGGTTGGAATTTTGGATATTTTTGGTTTTGAAAACTTTGATTCTAACAGTTTTGAACAACTGTGCATCAATTACGCAAATGAAAACTTACAACAATTCTTTGTCAAGCATATTTTCAAACTTGAACAAGAACAGTACGAAAAAGAAGGTATTACATGGACAAATATCAACTACGTTGATAATCAAGAAAATCTGAACATGATCGGAATGAGACCAATGAATTTATTAGCGCTCATAGATGAAGAGTCACGGTTTCCTAAGGGGACAGATATCACACTATTATCAAAATTAAATAGTAATCACAGTAATAAGAATTGTTATATAGCTGCAAAATCTTCCCGTGAACATAGATTTGGCGTTAGGCACTTTGCTGGAGCCGTGTTTTATGACGTTGCAGGTAAATAAGCATTAAATACAATAAAGTATGTAATTTTCAAATTTATTTCACATTCCTTGTTACGTTCTGATTAATTTGCAGGTTTTTTGGACAAAAACAGAGATTTGCTTACAACAGACGTAAAGGAAATTATGTTTGATTCGAATAATCAATTCCTTAAAGGATTATTCGCATCAGAATTCACTGAAACGCGCAATAGTAGTCGAAAAACGATTTCTTTGAGTAATCAATTCAAAGCTTCACTTGATACTCTTATGAAAAATTTATACGCATGTCATCCATTTTTCGTTAGGTGTATAAAACCAAATGAACTGAAAAAACCAAGGGTATGTGTATTTATTTCTATTAATCTACTAAATTCAGACAAACTTTTAAAGCTTATATTTGTATTGTGTTTACAGGTTTTTGATAAAGCGCTCTGTGTGAGACAGCTAAGGTATGCAGGTTTAATGGAAACTGCAAAAATTAGACAGGCTGGTTACCCAATACGATATACCTACGTCTCATTTGTTCATCGTTACCGATTTTTAATACCTGGAATACCGCCCGCGGAAAGAACAGATTGTAAAAGTGCTACAAAAAAGATTTGTACTGAAGTTTTAAAAGATCAAGAATTCCGACTTGGACACACTAAAGTGTTTTTGAAAGATACACATGATTACTTACTTGAAGAATTGCGGCACACTATATTTACAACAGCTGTCATTAGAGTCCAAGCGAACGCAAGACGGTTTATTTGCAGAAGGAGATTCTTGAAGATGAGGGCTGCCGCTATAACAATTCAGAAACATTATCGTGCCCGTGGTTTACGCCATAGATTCCTTGTAATGCGAAGAGGGTACTCTCGTATTCAAGCCGTTATTAAATCAAGGGAACTGAGACGCACATTCTTACACTTGAGAAGCTTCTTCAGAAACTTACAGGCGCATTGTAGAGGCTACCTCATTAGAAAGTTAGTAAAAGAAAAAGGAACCTTAATAAAAGCTAAATTGTTACAACTTAAATCCGAAAAAGAAAAATTAGAAAAATCTGGAAAGGACGAACAATTTATCGCAGATGATCACGAAAAGAAGTTTACTGAACTGTTAAGGTCCATTTGGATAGTAAAAGAAATTGCTGTGGATGATAACGAACAGAACATCTCAGCTATTGATGATAGATACGTAGATGATGTTTTCGGTTTCCTTAAAGATAGTTCAACACCTGGTGGAACTGTGCGTGGAGCCGGATTTGGTGTTGTAAGTAAAGCTTAAAATGCCTCATTTAAAAACAGCATTTTAATAGTTACGAATAACAATGCTACTTATTTTACAGACTTCGACAGCTAAGCCAGAAATGTCGTCAATAATTCCAATGCCACAAGAATACGAAGAAGAACAGTTTGATGAATTCAACTTCAGGAAATTTGCGGCGACATATTTCTCTGGGAATACAAGTCACCAATATTCCCGCAAACCTTTGAGACATTCACTATTAGAGCTACCGTCACCAATGGATAAAGTTGCGTCTCAAGCACTGTGGATAACGATACTAAGATTTATGGGTGATTTGGCTGAACCTAAATATGTTGACGATAAAATTGATAATATTCCTGTTATGACTAAGTTAACTGATACTATTGGCCGAGCTTTTCAGAAAAGCAAAGAATTTGAGGTATTTAACTTTTTTTTTAAGTTTATGTAATACTCATTTGAATATATTAGTAAAATAAGTGTTCTTATAATTTTAAGGAAATGCTGATCAAAGATGGGAATCAAAATAAAAGTCGATTGGTTTCCAAAACCTTGAAGAGGCAATCTAAATTAAATGAAGTGTTCATCAAAAACTTATTAAATGACGAAACAACCAATGAAATGTACAGTCATTGGTTAAATTCGCGACGCAGTACAAACTTAGAAAAACTTCATTTCATTATAGGTCATGGAATTATCAGAAAAGAGCTAAGGTTAGTGAGGTTTTTTCTATCTTTTGATTCCTAATTAAACTTCTCGGAACTAGCCTATATTAATTTAAATGCTTTTATATTACAGAGATGAAATATTTTGTCAGCTCTGTAAACAATTAACGAACAATCCATCAAAAACATCACATGCTCGTGGTTGGATACTTTTGTCGCTATGCGTTGGTTGCTTCCCACCCTCGGAGAGATTTGTGAAATACCTACGCTCTTTCATTCGCGCAGGACCACCAGGCTACGCACCATATTGTGAAGGTAGACTGGTAAGGACATTCAAGAACGGTCCTAGAACCCAACCACCTAGTTGGCTAGAATTACAGGCAACTAAAACTAAGAAACCGATTTTACTGACCGTCACTCTGATGGACGAGTCAATTAAAACAGTGCAATCGGATTCAGCATCTACGTCGGAAGAAATATGTCAACAGATAGCAGACAATATTGGTTTAACGGACACTTTTGGTTTTTCACTGTACATAACTTTGTATGATAAAGTGCTTTCATTGGGTAGCGAAGGAGAACACATCTGCGATGCGATATCGCAATGTGAGCAGTTTGCCAAAGAACATGGCACTCCTGAAAAGAGCGCACCATGGAGATTGTTCTATAGAAAAGAAGTTTTTACACCTTGGCACAATCCCGCCATTGATCCTATAGCGACTAATTTAATTTATAACCAAGTAGCTAAAGGTGTGAAGTTCGGAGAATATAGATGTAATTCAGAAAATGACTTGGCGATGTTAGCTGCTCAACAACATTACATCGAATACGGTTCTCGATTAGATCCAAATGTTTTAAGAAAAGTTATTGTTAACTATATCCCGAATCAATTTATTCAATCGAATGATGCAGCCTTAACGAAATGGGAACATTTCGTAACAAAAGCATTTGATTCATGCCCCAATATTAAATCGAAAATAGATCCTTTAAGGTGTAAAGAAGATATAGTCATTTTTGCAAAACTCAAATGGCCCATGTTATTTTCAAGATTCTTCGAAGCTCTTAAACTAAAAGGCGATGCTATCAGTAAAGACATTATTATCGTTGCTGTAAACTGGACTGGCATATATATTGTTGACCAATTAGAGCATATACTTCTTGAGATAGCATATTCTGAAGTGACTTATGTGGCCTACGATGACGATACTGACTTGGAAAACATAGGAAAGGTCACTATCAGAACAATACAACAAGAAGAATTCGTATTTCAGAGTGTTGATGCAGGAGAAATGAGTTCCTTAATCATATATATTATTGATGGTTTAAAAAGAAGATCTGCATACGTTGTGGCCCAGAGTGATTCGCAAGGTTATGCTGATGCATCATCTTTCCTTCAATTCAAAAAGGGTGATCTTATTACACTTCTGCATGATTCTACCGGAGAGACTTTAATGAATGCCACATGGGGTCATGGAGCTTGTAATGGCCAAGAAGGTTTATTCCCTACCGAACAAGTTTACATTTTGCCAACATTAGAAAAACCTTCGAATTCTGTACTCGAAGTATTTAAAAAGGGGACAGTAAACAATGATAAGAAACCATACCAATACAATACAGTGCAGCGAAAGAGGATGCACACGTTAGAGAAATACGCAAAGGAATACTTCAGGGAAAATTATGATGTCAATACAACGGTATCACGACAGTCAACACTAACTACCGCTAAGAAACCTATTGCCGGAGATTTATGGGTGCACAGTAGAGAGCCAATACGTAAGCCATTGTTAAAAAAAATACAAGATGATGAGAAACTATCTAAGAACGCAATCGCTGCTTATTACGCAATCTTGAAATACATGGGAGACATGCCAGCACCAAAACCTAAGTCGGCCACTGAATATACAGATGAAATATTTAAAAATGCAATATCGGAACCCGCATTGCGAGATGAAATATACTGTCACATAATGAAGCAATTGACCAACAATAGAATACAGTTGAGCGAAGAGAGAGGATGGGAGCTGCTTTGGTTGGCCACTGGCGTCTTCGCCTGTAGCCAAGTCTTAATGAAAGAACTAGTTGAATTCCTTAAAACACGACCTCATCCGATAGCCAAAGACTGTTTGAAACGATTATTTAAAACACAAAAATACGGATCAAGAATGTATGCTCCGTACGTTGTAGAGGTAGAAGCTATTCAACATAGAAGTATGCAGATATATCACAAAGTATACTTCCCAGACGATACTGATGAAGCTTTCGAGGTGGATTCGTCTACAAAAGCGAGGGACTTGTGCGAGCAAATAACCGGAAGGCTAAATCTGAAGAATAGCGACGGTTTTAGTTTGTTTGTAAAAATAGCGGACAAGGTGTTTTCTGTCCCAGAAAACTATTACTTCTTCGACTTTGTTCATGAATTAGTTGAATGGATGAAACAAACGCGGCCAGTTCGAGGAGGTGGGTACAGCTTACACAGATAAGATGTGGGACGTTTACTGGTGGTAGGACCTCTTGTGAGTCCGCGCGGGTAAGTACCACCACCCTGCCTATTTCTGCCGTGAAGCAGTAATGCGTTTTGGTTTGAAGGGTGGGGCAGCCGTTGTAACTATACTCGAGACATTACATCTCAAGATGGGTGGCGCATTTAAGTTGTAGATGTCCATGGGCTCCAGTAACCACTTAACACCAGGTGGGCTGTGAGCTCGTCCACCCATCTAAGCAATAAAAAAAAAAAAGTGTGTGTGTCCGCTCCGACGCACGACTGGAGTTTACTGGATATAAAAAATTAAACGAAACAATACGAGAAATAGTTCTATATTACGACAACACGATACACTACAGATTATTAACAAATTAACGAGACACAAAACAAACGACTAACAAATATATGAAAATACAATAATGAGAGAAACGCGCGATCAGTACGAGGCTTTGTGGCGGACTGCCGGCGCAGCAGCCCGGCGTCACCTGCGATAACGCGGCCGCGCGTTGGCTCCTGATTGGCGCGCGCACGCATCACGCAATCAGGAGCCAATCAGGCGCATAACGCATTTCGTGTGACATGCTAGTACGATTTTGATTGGCGCGCGCACGCATCACGCAATCAGGAGCCAATCAGGCGCATAACGCATTTCGTGTGACATGCTAGTACGATTTTGGTCCCCATAATTTTCATACCCCGGGCCTATATATGTAAATCGATTCTAAAGGAGTAAACTCCAATTATGCTCAGGCATAGCGTACGGCTTATTAATTCTATTTATTTGCAACAACGAAACAAAAAGATAACTCAGATACAGGTCAACTAATAGGTGAATTATTGCTTCCATGTTTTTTTTGCATAAACATGTTTGCTCTGTAGCTATTATCGCTTGCTTGATGCATTAGTTTTATTTTAAAACACATATCAATAGCTAGTTAGAGATAATGAAAGAGCTCTATACTCAAGAGCTTAAGTGAAGTTTTTTAAAAATAAGTGAAAAGTTGAAGCTCACACTTTACTGGTACCTCGTTTTTCTGTGTGTTTCTCTTTACATCCACAACAAATTTAACCAGTAGCACAACATACTTTATCTTTTTGTTCGTTAAAGTACCACACTACACTACGGAGTTTGGCACGTTATATATTTGAAGAAATGTGTGTACATTTCATCGTATAATAGTAAAAGCATTAAATATAATTAATAATTTCTACACAGGTTCAACACAAATGCAAATGAACTACCAAATATTCTTCATGAAAAAGCTATGGATTAACACGGTTCCTGGTAGAGATAAAAATGCTGATCAAATTTTTTATTTTCCTCAAGAACTTCCAAAGTACTTGAGAGGATATCATAAGACTTCAAAGCAGGACCTCGTTGAACTTGCCGCATTGGTTTATAGGGCTAGGTTCGGCAGTGATCAATCATTATTACCACAAATATCGCATTTGCTTGAAGATTTTGTACCCTCTGATATGATTCGAATACAATCGAATTCTCAGTGGAAATCTTCAATAGTGGCTGCGTACCTGCAACATGGAAACATGACTGAAAGCGAAGCTAAAGAACAATTCTTAAAGAAAATTTATCAGTTACCTACATTCGGCACAGCTTTCTTCGAAGTCAAGCAGACTTCAGACCCTGCTTATCCGGAAATGGTAATCGTAGGAATAAATAAAAATGGCGTTAGTCTTGTTCATCCACAAAGTCGGGTAAGTGAACATTTATAGTGAAAAAATTTTTTTTTCTGATTTAGTACCGCTTTATTTATCGCTTTTTACTTTATATATCTTTTGATTTCGCTCCTTGTGTTTATATGTAGGTTCACGTTAAACATCCAAAATACTTTAAAATTAAATTTTAAGCTAAACATTCAAAACGGACATTGCTTTCATAAAATTAATAAATTATATGTAATATGTAATGTAAATAATATTAGAATACATTACCGATTGTATAAAATACCTAATCTTTTACTCAATTTTATCGTCATGTACCTACAGAATTCATATTAGCTGCCTTCTTTCGCCCTATTCTGGCTGGCTTCTTTGCAGGGTAGGTTCAAAGCTGCGTGTCATTTCTCGTAAACTAGGCTCGCGTTTGAAATGTTTATGTTCTTTTACAGGATGTGTTGATCACGCACCCTTTTTCACAATTATCTAATTGGTCGTCTGGAAACACATTTTTTCACATGACAATGGGAAATTTCTTAAGAGGAACTAAGATACTGTGTGAAACTTCGCTTGGCTACAAAATGGATGATCTTATTTCATCATATATTGCTGTCCTCCGTGCTTCTTTAAATCAAAACAGTAGAGGTTAAGGATGAAAATATTTTAATTTGTAGTCATAAATACTGTAAACTAGACACATCTACATAATAATATATATGTAGTATTTTAATAAATTATTGTAAAACACATTGCTTATTTTACCTGTGTGCATCTATCCTATCCTGTTTGTTAACTTACCTTTTTTTAGAAATTATATCTAATAGGCAGTGATTTTTTTTTTAACGAAAAATAATCTTTTAATTTTCAATATTTTAATTTAATATGATAATTTGTTTGTTCTCAAATGCGTTGCCACCATTAGTATTATTGAAACCAATGCTTTAGCCAATTTTTTTATTTACTCTAGATACTGAATTCTCATAACACTTTTAATTTCAACTCAGAACATGAAGGTAGTCATGACTAGAACAATTTTATGAGCTAGAGACTTGTTGATTAATGGGGTGCATAACAATTCTAACGTGCTTAGAGAGATATTATTATTGTACTTAGTTCGTAAAAACCGATATTAATTAAATGAACGGATGGCATTAATGATAGAATTACCAGGTCATATTATTATGTTAACATATTTTGAGGTAACAGGTTCACTTTCTTATAGTGATGGGTGACTCGTCTATTTTAAGTTAGTATGGGTGAGCACCTTATTTTACCTCTCAAGGTACCCCTCATTTGAGGTGAGGTAGCGCTTGCTGGACTCACGTCTAGGCGCGGGCGGTGAGTCGGTTGAGGCCGAACGAGTGAGCCGAACAAGTGTTGCGCGCGCATTATACTCGAGTCCCGCTTCGTGTTACCGAATGTTACTGAATGCAGTGAATGTCGTGAGTGACCGGTATTAAGATATCTTCGCCTTTCGTGTTGGAAAAATGGAACCACTACATAATTTTATTGAAATAGCTTGACTTTTTGGCGGGAACGTCTATTTAGTGTTTCTTCAGGTTTAAATGTGTAATAATATTGACCACCATTTTACTGAGATTATAATATTTCATCCCATATCATCTCATCTCATGTCATTTCATTTCGTTTTCATTTCACTTCATGCCTTGTTTCATAATAATCAACTTCATTTCATTTCATAATGTCATTTTCATATAAAAAAGTTACGTATCATTAAAATTAAAATAAGACTTGACTTAAAGATCTTAGTTACCAGGTCATAAAATCCCTTAAAAAAAATACAGACAACGCTGTATGAGCTTAGATCCCTTTGCCTTTCCTAATAAGGAAAAATTGTACCAAAAAAAATCTATGGTATACACAGAAAAGTGATCTTCAGAGAAAAAACTAAATCGGAAATTTTGTGTTACGAAATTCAAAATGTGTACCGTAACATTAGAAAATGGACTAGATTTACGGTTAGTAAATATGCTTAGTCCGTTTTTCTCAAAATTTGTTTTGTTTGCATCAAATATTTTATTATGATTCAAGAACATTTCAGCATAACTTCTGTAGAAATCAAATTAATAAGTTTTATATAATAAACAACAAGAAGCTACTTTAGGGAAGGTATTTACGATTATTTTCCTGTTATTTTTTATTCTGAACGAACATACGGCCTATCTGGTGTAGTGATTACCGTGGCTTATAGACATCACAACATGAAGCCCGTAGGTAACTCACCTTGGGGTAAGGGCTTAAGGCCTAGTCCACCGGTACAGATAGCGGAATATATTTATCCAGGCTGCCAGGTGTATGGGACGTACCCTAGCACCAGTAAATGCGGTTAGCGATTCTAGCATGCTGGTATAATACTCCGAGAATGTTACTGCCCATTCTTTGATGATTGTCTTAGTCACCTGTTACAACACCCGTGGGAAGAGATAACATTATACCAAACCAACGGCTATTTCCAATATAACCACATCTTAATTAATTAAATTTTTATTTGCTGGTACAGTAGTTAGCAGCACTGACTTTTGTACTGAGGGTTGTGGATTCAATTTCCACATTGGGCAAACATAGTGAGATGAACAGGTTTGTTTGCTCTTTGTCTGGGTGTTTACTATCTATAAATATATATATTTAAACATATATGAGTATGTTTATCAGTTTCCAGTACTTATAACACAGGGAACCCTAAATTGGGGCCTAATGAATCTGACATGATAACATTCATAATTTATTTAGAATTTTCATTTTAGTTTTTATAATGAATGACAAATGTATTTACACTTAAGTATGGTATGGTAATAATGTCTAAATAATATAAAAGTAGTATCAGTTGTAAGGTTTTGCGGACCAGGAAAAAATGGACCAACTAACAACTTTGTCAGTGATTTATTTTGCTACTCAAATAAAGCACCTGTGACATGCAAACAGTATCAATCCTCTCAAATAAGAAACAGACACGAGACTGCTATTTCTTGTCAAAACCACAATTTCTTTAAAATATTTGGATAGACTGATAGATTTTAAGTCATAATAAATTATTTATTATTTCAGGGAATGTACAACTAAAGGCTCTATTTTGCACATCAATGAGATATATGAAGAAAATGATGATAATGATACTACAGAGAGCAAAGTATTTAAGACAATTGACATTCTGGGAGAACCTCTAAAAAATTTTGAAGTCTTAAAAAATGAATTGATTCCTGTTGATGAAAATCACTATGTAATTAAGAAAATACTAGAAACTGGTGGAGGTATGCCCTTGCATGATGGATGCACAGTCTCAATAGCATTCTCTGGATACTGGGAAAATGAGTTACAACCATTTGACGTAATGAGCTTAAATAATCCAATGGTAAGCACAAACTTTGACCATCCTTTAAGACTTCTTGTACTATTATTGTTAACCGTCTTTGTCATTTTTTTCTTAACTTTTTACACTTCTCAATATGCGAATGAGCTTGCAGCCAATCTGATGTCAATTTGTTAATGGAGTTTTTAAACAGGAATGTATGACATTATATACGGTAAAAAAGAACTTAGAATGGCAGCATTATAAGTGGTTGCAACATTTACCCATTACCAGTACCAAGTTACATCTTATTAATCTTGCAGGTTTTCTTATTATTAAAAATCATATTTCATCATTGTGGTAGTTATCTATCTATATCTGATTTGTGATTGTGTGTTTCCTGAGAAATTTGGTCCCGTGATTTACACATTTGCTTTAACCCATTGGCCTACACAGTATCTACTCATTTCACGAGACTGAACAAGAAGATCAGTCACATGCCATGCCATTCAACTGTTCAGCCATGTTACCCCAACTTGTGAAAAATGTACACTTTTCATGATACACAGATTTCATATTACTGGTGGTAGGACATTTGTTTACTGGTGGTAGGACCTTTGTTACTGGTGGTAGGACCTTTGTGAGTCCGCACGGGTAGGTACCACCATCCTGCCTATTTCTGCCGTGAAGCAGTAATGCGTTTGAAGGATGGGGCAGCCGTTGTAACTATACTTATATCTCAAGGTGGGTGGCGCATTTACGTTGTAGATGTCTATGGGCTCCAGTAAACACTTAACACCAGGTGGGCTGTGAGCTCGTCCACCCATCTAAGCAATAAAAATAAAAAAAATAAAAACACATATTTCAGTGCAACAAAACATGAAATAATAAACAATGTTTGGGTACAAATAGTAATTTTAAGATGTCTAAGATGTAATCATAATCAATTTATTAGTTGACAAAAATAATATAATTAATTTAAAGCAGATAATGAATCAATAAAATTTTTTACTTCGTAAATTTTATGAGAATTTAATGAAAAAACAAAATACTGATGTAAAAGTGTTAAAGCACTGAGAAATTGATGTTTAATGTAACTAAATCCATCCTTGACTTTTCATTTCAATGTATAAAATAAAGAATTCATATCTTGATGTGTAAGGATGTGATAGAAAAGTTTAGCGTATTTAAGTTACAGTACAAACTAATTTTAAGTTTACAATCAAGTTACTGTTTAAAAACTCTTCTGATTTCAGACTGTAGATCTCAAAGACAATGGCTTACTACCAGGACTAGATATAGCTGTTAGATCAATGCTTGTTGGTGAGATATCACTGTTTTTATTTTCATACAAAGTAATGTATGGAGAAATGGGTATTCCACCAAGAATAAAGCCAAAATCTGATTGTGTATTCTATATTAAATTAGTCAAAAGTATGCTGACTCCAAAGGAAGGGTAAGTTTTTTACTTTTCTTAAGGTGTGACTTCGAACTCATGTCTCAAGGTGAGTGGCGGCATTATGGCATTTATGTTGTTGATGTCAATTGGCTCCACTGACCACTCAATTCCATATGGACTGTAAGGTCTTTCACCCACCTAAGCAGTTGGTATCTTAAATAGATGCCTACAAATTATTTTAAGTGAATATATAAATACCTAAGACTTTTTAATTTACTTTTATAATGAAGGAATGATCAGGTAAAACAAAACAACAATAATAGAATTAATAAAGTTTAATAATTACATGATGTAGACCATTTTCATAACCCTCATCAGAATGTTGCCCACTTATAACTGTGAAGCATTTTGCTTTGAAGTTAATACACACCTTATGTCTTAAACTGGCCGACACCATACACATAACACGTAAAGAAGTTATGCTTTATTTATTTAAAATCTAAGACTTATTTTATTTTTCAGTGCACTGAACCTTAATGAACCCCATACATTCCAAAGAGTGCACCATGAAGTTAAGCTGCTTTATAGTTCAGGGTATTCATTGTACAAAATTAAAAATTTTTCACTAGCAATACATCTTTTCAACAAAGCAGTAAGAATATTGCATAAGTGTAGACTTGCAGATGAAGAAGACGAAAAAATACAAGAAAAGCTTCTTATCAAATTATATATTAACTTAGCTATTTGTTACAATAAAATAAACAAGCCTCTAAAAACATGTATTGCTTGTAATGAACTGAATAGATTAAATGCTTTGTGGAACAATGCCAAAGCACTTTTACAAAATGCCAGAGCCTTAAGAATGATAGGTCAGTTTGATGAAGCTGAGAAGAAACTACGAAAAGCTGAAATATTGAGTCCCAATAGCGAGGAAATGAAAACTGAAGCCAAATTGCTTCAAAAATTAAAAGTATCATGTAACAAAAGCAAATTACTAGCAGAAAAAACTATAGGACTAGCACAACACAGTGCTGTGAGTGATAATTTCAAAGTAGAAGTTGAAAATTTGATAAGCAACTTCAAAGAAAACATAAATCTATGTAAATTAACCTTGCCATACAATTTAGATACAGCAGAAGTTGAGTTTATTAAAAGTACATGCATTAGAGAGAACTTATTTTTCAATAAAATTGAAAAAGATTTTGTTTCAAGCAAACAGGAGGAGTTAAGTACTTGTGAAAAAAATACAGGTAACAAACATTATCTTTTGGGGAAAGAAAATGACATGGAAACTGAGATTGATATTGCAAACTCAAATGATGAAATACTGAAGTTGTTGATTTAATTCTTTTAAGTTTTAATAGGGTTGGTAGTTTTGCGTCATCTACCGTAATAACCACACCTAGCGCCGACAGATTTCTAGTTTTTTTTCAAAGTTTGAAGAACTTATTGACAAGGAAATAATTAAATACCCGAGAGGCAGTACAAAACTTCAGTTTGTTAGGCTCCCGGATACCTGACTTTTTCAAGAAGGGCATTAAAATATTACCATCGTGCTCGCAGAGATGCATTGATGCCATGGGTACATATTTTGATCTATATAAATAAAAAATATTTACAAAAATAACTTTTTTTGTACACCAAAAGGCAGTTGCGTAGGGAAAGATTTCGTCAGAAATCACTAATTTTAGATTACACAGGTATGCACAAAAAATGTTAAAGGAGGATATCATTCCTCCTTTAACATTTTTTGTCATAAATAAGACGATTCAAATTTTCTGAATCTATCCCCGTTGGCCGATTTTTTCCATCACGTCTAGATTTCTTTTAGAATTATTTTTTAAATTTCAAAAATATGGAATTCAACATACTTTTGGAATATTTGTGCTGATTTAAAAGTCGGATTTCAAGGAAGATACACAAAGTTTTGCTGTTTTCTTTGTGAGTAGGACAGCCACGCAAGAGAAAAACATTACAAAATAAAAACTTGGCCACTATGAAAAAGTTTAACTCCTGGGCTTAAAAATGTGTCTCTGAAACCTTTACTGCCAAGTGAGAAAGTTTTTCTGTCATCACTTCCCATAAAGTTGGGACTCAAGAAAAAGTATATCTAAAAACAATATCAATCAATAATTTTAATATCTAAAAACAAAATTTCCTCGAATCAGTGGCGCAAAATTGAAGAAAGGAATTTTTGTAAGTTCAGATTGTCATAATTCTCTTGGGAATACAAAAAGTGAGAACTACCGACAAATCATTTGGGAGCTTATTTTTGCTTATAAAGCTTTAGGATGCAATATGTCACTCAAGATTCATTTTTTGGAGTCTCATCTAGATTTCTTTCCTGAAAATCTTGGAGCCGTATCAGATGAACATGGTGAAAGGTTTCATCAGGATATAATGCACATTGAAAAACGCTACAGTGGCAAATGGTCAGCAGCAATGCTTGCTGATTTTTGTTGGTCAATTCGCCGAGAAACTCCAATAGAAACGACGAAAAGGAATTAATCTTCTCACCATAAAATGAGATAACTGACCGATATTTATTCATTTTGTGATTATAATTTAGGATTTTTCACTGTAAAACTTAGATCGTAATATTTTTTCATTTCGTTATGATAAACGATATTTCAATAATATTGTTTGTTAATTAAATAAATATTATATTGGAAATCTACGTGTGGTACTTAATTGTATGTCAGATTCCGTGTTTAGAGCACAAAATATAATGAATTCATGCTTGAAAACAAGGAGAAAAAAAAATCTTCAAACTATTTATTGTTCTAGGCAGACGGCCCAGCTTGTGTTGTGATTCTGGAATGTATAAGTCATGTGAATGTCGCAACATATGGTCGATAATAAAACAATCTTGTTCAACAAAATTAGTGTTTAATGTAATTACATATTTTTATTTATATAACTAAGAAAAGACTACTATCTATGAACCTTTCATTAGTCTCATCAAAATGCAATTTTACATATCGTGTGTATCACGAATGCAAAGCACAGAATAAAATTCCGATTATACTGTACATTTTTCATCAACATTCAACTTGTAAACTTAACTCTAATCTAATTCTGTGTGGGCAGATTTAGCAGCACATTTTGTCCATGCGGAAGATAAGTGACATTGCGTGATTTCGCTAGTTGATAAGCAATGTCCTCTGCCGCTTCAATACGACGAAGTTCAACTAGACCTTCGCCAGCACTTCCAAAGGACTTGGCGAGAAGTACAGCAGCCTGCGCGTCTCCCTCTGCAGCAATAACGGCAGCCTTCTTTTGTTGTTCAGCTTTCTCTACAAGGAATCTGGCTTTCTCTGCTTCTTGTTGAGCTACTTGTTTCAGTTCAACAGCCTGCGTGAATTCCTTTCCGAAGGTCAAGTGAGTGATAGAAATGTCGTCTAGGATGAGGCCGAATTGTGCTGCTCTCTCTGTTAGGCTGTCATTGACTTTTTGCGACACGATCTGTAAACAAAAATTATGTTTTGATTAAAAATTAGGTCAACAATTTTGGGACAGTGATATTAAAGTCAAAGGAAATGGTGTTTTGATTCGTATGCTGAACTATGCCAACCTATGTTCTTAATGCTCTGTCAAATCAGTGACTGGTTCCTGATGTAATCTTGCATTAGACACTTGGTAACATGGCCTGTCTCATAATATGGTTAAATATGGGTAGGTGCTAAATTTTGTTATTGCCTTTCTAAGAGGAGCATGCGGCCCATCTGATGGTGAGTAGTCTCCCTCATGAGGTATAATATTAATAAGATGAAGTATGAGTTAGTTCTAGTCTATATCACTACTTAGCACAATAAGTTCAAAGCTGTCAAGTTATCAAGTTCAATGTCAAATTTCATAGCCATTATAGGTGCACTAGGCAAATTAAATTACCATTTTAATATTTTGCTGAAAAATCAGATATTCATATAAACTTAATACAAGTTTTATTGTAACACTGAGTTTAAGTTCAGAACAATCACATATTAAAATGAAAGTATGAATGTTTACAAACTGCATTAAAACAGGTTCCTTCAATTGAAAATTGGTAATCCTTCAGATGATTCCTCATATTATAGCATAATAAGAAGTGGAGTATGGTTGTTTAAAAATAGCAAGACTTTCACCTCTCTTTGTGTAATAAGTTCTCCAGCATCGAACTGAGCAACAACTGCTTTCAGAACTTCTGAGGTAATAGATGGAAGTACTCTTTCATCATAGTCAATACCAAGAATAGTGTAAATTCTTGGTAATTGATCAGGAACTGGTCTGAAGAGGATACGAAGTGTGATGTTAACATTTTGAAGATCTGAAATAAAATAAATGTTTTATTAAATTAACTACTGGTATTTTCATTATACAATGTACACTCAAAAAAACAAATGGAAGTGGATTTATTAATTGAAGATTTATTGAATAGTATATTTTAATTTGTTAAAATAAGAGGATTGTTTTTATCTAAAAGTATTTAAAATTGTTTGTAATTAATGTGAGTTTATTACTCATTTTTGCTTCCTAAATTAGTTACCAATGATAATATCTTGTGAATAATTGTGCTGCACTATGTTTAAGCATGCAAGTACAATACAATCTGCCTAACACCTTGGCATTTTAATTCTAATGAGTGTATTTGTAATATAAATGGATTTTTCATCTTTAATCTCAATTCTTGTTTAATTTTTTACAAGAGTATAGTCACATCATCCATATTGTTGCTTTATTATTCTTACAAATGTTGACATTCTGATGTTCTATCATTAAACATCACAGAAGTCATAAGACAACCTAATAGGTAATGTGGCTGGTATTATGATAGTAAGTTATGTTGTCGTTATGTATGCGGTTATGGAGCTCTTCCACTTAATACTAATAAAAATAACATAACTTTGAAACCCTAGAACAGAAGTATTAAAGCCAATATGATGCATTATGCTAAAGTAAATACAGATTATAAAATTTTTGCATTTTAAGCATTATCTTACCTTTACTTCCAGTAATAGTAGGAACATTTCTGGGTCGAGACCTGATGTCAAATATAATTGGCCTCTGGACCCAAGGAATGAAGAAATGTGTGCCTTCACCAACAACTAGCTGTTTAACACCAGCAAATCGATCGAAGATAACAGCTCTGTGACCACCGTCAACTGGAAACAATTATCATATATTTATAAGGATCAGCATTTTTACATGTCGCATTTTCAGTGGTTTCTAATTTAACACAATAACAAATAATGTATTATTTATTTATATTACATAATCCTCTGTTTTGAAGAAATTTCTTAAAGATAAGTGTATTTTTTTATATAAATTTCATTATCATCAATGATTTGTTTAATAAGGATTTAATTAATTTTTAATTAATTTCTACTGGTGGTAGGTGAGTCCGCACGGGTAGGTACCACCGCCCCGCCTATTTCTGCCGTGAAGCAGTAATGCGTTTCGGTTTGAAGGGTGGGGCAGCCGTTGTAACTATACTGAGACCTTAGAACGCATATCTCAAGGTTGGTGGCGCATTTACGTTGTAGATGTCTGTGGGCTCCAGTAACCACTTAACACCATGTGGGCTGTGAGCTCGTCCACCCATCTAAGCAATGACAAAAAAAAATATAATATCAGTTTCTATCAAAGATACACAAGAGCTATTTTGGGGATCCAAGCAAATGCAACTTTTATGTTTAGCATACAATACAGCTAGCAAGCTTATGCAAGGTTATAACTGATATAGTTTAAGTAAAATTATTTACCATTATACAATGCAGAATTGACAACACCTCCAACCAATGCCACGCCAAGACCGACTTGCCCAATGCGATTGAAAAGCTGTGCAGCCATATCTGAAATGAATAATTTTTCCATTTTAATTTTTAAAAATCTGAACCATGAAACAGTCACTAGGTTAACTGATTAGAAATAAGTGATCGTTTTTTTTATTAAGTTGCTTAGCACAGAATGCATGATTATGGACAAAACAAACATTATAAAGTAAAAAATTTAATTATTACCTAATTTCACAAAATGTTACTTAACCTAAAATTTTTGGAAATATAATCTTTAATAATTGTTAATTTGAAAGTTTACCTTCAAAATTTTAATGTTTTAACTCTTATTTTATTGTAGACGTAACAACTAACATAAAAGATTGAAAAATTATAGTTTCAAACGGGAAGACAAAAATTGTGCCGCAACGAGAGAAACATAGATTATAACAATAATAGTGATGTTACATATGATATTCTGAAGTGTCGAATCAGGTAGACTAGAGTCCTTGTAATTGTTCATGAACTCGACTTAAAATATTCGAACACAGAGAAATTGAGTAAATTTCGTCGAGAAATATTTATATATAAGGTATTTATGGTTGTGGGATTCATGTTATAAGTATACAAGAATAGGTGCCACAACGCTGCCTATTTTGGCCGCGAAGCAGTCCAGCGTTCTGGTTTGAATGGTGAAATAGAATGATTAAGGGTGAGACCGATATATTAGTATTCATTAAGATATTCTTAATACAGCTTGTATTCGTGTGTCGGTAATCCGTCGCATTCTGATCTGCTAATATTCCGTATTCACTTTATTCATAATACTTAGCTAACTCATATCGGTCGGGTTGTATCTATCACTCGAAAATATACTGGCATACGCCGTACGATGCTAGTGGGAATTTTTAAATACATTACGTTTTAATGTTTGATCCTTCATTTCTTGATTCAACTAAAGATTCTACTCAAGGCAAAATAGTGCATTTTTACATTTATTAGAATAAAATCGGGGAGCTTTATTTTCATTATTTTAATTTTATTTTCTGTTCCCTTCGAATTAGTTGGTTTTAAAACGATGATTTGGAAAACGGAAGTAGGTAGTTGATATTGTTTACCAATTTCATAAATTAAATTATTTTTACACAAAACGTAATACGGCCAGAACTAAATTAAGTGTTTTACGTAATAAATTATGATGAAAATATATTTTTGCGGTGGTATTTAATTATCTTCTAAGAAATTCTCAAAATATAAAAAAAATGTGTGCGTGTACTAGTGTACACACGTAAGAAGTGAAACTTCTTTATGGCCTTATTTTTCGAAAAATGATCTACATGCAACTTTCTAGAAATTGGTTAAATAAAGTTAAATTAGATAAAGTTTAAACAAAAGGATTTTATTATCATAGACATGAATACAAAAAAGTTAAATTAGATAAAGTTTAAACAAAAGGATTTTATTATCATAGACATGAATACAAAAAAGTTAAATTAGATAAAGTTTAAACAAAAGGATTTTATTATCATAGACATGAATACAAAAAAGATGGCGCGTAACGGAAAAATGTGACGCGTAACCGAAAAATGTGACGGTAATTTTTTTTCCAACGCCGATAAAGAAGTTTCACTTCAATAAAAGTTTGATTTTTGAATCGAAATGACTTTCTAAACAAACGGTTCGTGGATTATAATATTATAACTGTTGTGTAGGTACCCACTAGCCACCTCAGTACCGTGTAAGAGGATTTTTTCAAAATCTGGTGAACTCATTTCTGACCGACGTACCAGTCTTTCGGTAGAAAAAGTAAAAAAGCTGATGTTTTTATGCACCAATAAGAAATAAATAATATTACTAACTTGTTGTTTATATTTATATACAATGTTGACCAAATTCTGATTTAATAATAATATTCATTTTAATGTATATAATATTATTTGTAAAATATTTAGTATGAAGTCAAATTCCTACATATACATATACAATATACAATACAATATACTATTTATATTATTAATAACTAATTTATGTGTATTATCTATGATTATTAACTTATTTCACGAATACTGTATTAGGTTTAACTCGTTTACCCGTTTTATCGAAGTATATTAAGATATCAGGATATTCACGTGTTAGTTAAGGTATTATAATATTACATAATGAATATATTAGTATTAGCTAATATTGACAAATATCGGTATTAACCATAGACCTATATAGGTTTCCTACTTCAGTGGTATTAACTATTAACCCATCTTTGAGAATGATAGTAATGCCGGCCACTCACATGCGGGCAAATATTCGTACATTGTACGAATGTTTGCGCGCATATGAAGGGCCGTCAAACATTCATTCGCAAACTTAGCAGCTGTGCAAATGGGTTCGCATACTCAATTTGCGAACCCGTTTGCGCTTCCTCCTACACTTGTTTACGAATGTCTCACGAATTTCTCCTCCTTTTTAATTCGTCAATAGAACATTGAAGAGAAAAAGAGTTTTGAATTCTTTCCCAGACATCATTAACAGCCATGCTGTTTTNTGCGAACCCGTTTGCGCTTCCTCCTACACTTGTTTACGAATGTCTCACGAATTTCTCCTCCTTTTTAATTCGTCAATAGAACATTGAAGAGAAAAAGAGTTTTGAATTCTTTCCCAGACATCATTAACAGCCATGCTGTTTTTATGGGATTTCTTTTGATGAAGATACGCTACACAGTAGACGTCACGAACTATGAAAATATGAAAATGGCGATACATCCGTTACCTTCGCAATCGTCGGCGCAACTGGGCAAACGAATGTGTGGGAGACTACGCGAAAGTTCGCGGTTCGCGCACTTTGATGTCTGTTAAAAAACCGACACAGCTTGGCAAACCACGAATGTAGCGAAAACTTTGCATAATCATTTGCAAATGTCGTCCTACACTTGCGGGTTTGCGTATTCGTGCGCATGTGAGTGACCGGTGCAATGATACTGTACAATTGCGTTGTTTCGTTATCTACCAAAACCATAGAAAATACATTTAAATCAAAACGAAAATACATTTAAATTTCGAATTTTCTGTCACACGCCGTATCAGCCGTATATCATTTGATGAACTTTATTCTTGAGAACATGTTGGAATGATCACATGTAATGTTTTTTCTTTTATAAGTCGACACTAGACGATGACCGTTTTTTTTTATAAGTGGCTTAACAACGCCCTCTGCTGAAATAGCTTTAGTGTTATTGTGTCTTTAAAGCAGTTAGTTGAAATTATGAAAAATAGTATTATTATTCGCCAATAGATGTCGGGAAGATATCAATAAAGTTGATTATTGAAAACACAAATAAAACATTTTCTGAAAATAAATCGATAGCTAGATCGATTTATCGCCCCCGCAATCCCCTGTATACTAAATTTAATAAAAATCGTTATATATATATATATCTAGTCTTGCTATAAATACTGAGACAATGGAAAAAAAAACTATTACAAATAACATTTATTAGTTTTACGGTGTGTTAGTTTAATACATAAATATAAAACAATTTAAAGTATAAAAAGCTTATTCGAAGTGTTCTCTATTGGCTGCAATACAGTCTTTTAAACGTTGAGGTCAGTTATCAATAGAAGCACGCACTCTTTCCATGAGAAAATTTTTCACTGCCAATCGTACGGATTGTTTTAGGGACTCCAAATTATCATGGCGCTTAGAGCAAGCCGTACTCTCTAAAACTGACCATAAATCATATTCCAGCGGATTAAGATCGGGACTAGACGACGGCCAGTCTTCAGCTCTGATGAAGTCCGAAACGTTCGTTTCCAACCAAGACTGCGTAGACCGAGCTTTATGACCTGGCGCCGAGTCTTGCTGGAAGGACCATTCTTGATTATAGTGCTGTTAAGGGGCTTCACTACCTTCTCAAGAATGGTATCTTTATTCACTTGTGCCGATGTTTTTATACCTTTTTCACAAAAGTATGGCTCAGTCACTCTTTCATAGCTAATACCCCACCAAACCGTCACTGAAGTCGGATAGTGCGCACGTTGCACTCTGTCGACTAATTGGGAAGCTTCCTTAGATCTTTGAGCACAAATACGGTCATTTTGTTTGTTAAAATGTTGCTCAATTGTAAAAAAATTCTCATCCGTAAACAAAAAATTTCTATGACCTTCCTTTGCGCACCGCTTCAGTAGTTGTTTCGATTTTACCACCCTATTCTCTTTTAAATTATCAGTTAAGAAATGACCAGTACGTCTCTTATAGGCTGCAAGTCCCTAAGTCATCTTTTAAAATACGCGACATGGTTCTAGGTGCTATCTTCATCTCCCGAGATAAAATCTTTTGCTTTCGGACAGGATTTCTTCGAATTCTTTCCCTTACTGCTTTGACCACCTTTTTCGTACGAACACTACGTGGACGGCCAAATCTTTTTCTGTCACAAACAGAGGAGGTCTCGTTGCACCTATTAATAGCCCGGTACACAAACATTTTACTAATACTGTATGTAATGTATATGTGTAAATGATGAAGGAGTGACTGAGACATACTTTTGTGAAAAAGGTATCAAAACATCGGCACAAGTGTATCAAGATACCCTTCTTGAGAAGGTAGTGAAGCCCATTAACAACACCATGTTCAATAATCAAAAATGGTCCTTCCAGCCAGACTCGGCGCCAGGTCATAAAGCTCAGTCTACGCAGTCTTGGTTGGAAACGAACGCTTCAGACTTCATCAGAGCTGAAGACTGGCCGTCGTCTAGTCCCGATCTTAATCCGCTGGATTATGATTTATGGTCAGTTTTAGAGAGTACGGCTTGCTCTAAACGCCATGATAATTTGGAGTCCCTAAAACAATCCGTACGATTGACCGTGAAAAATTTTTCCATAGAAAGAGTGCATGCTTCTATTGATAACTGGCTTCAACGTTTAAAGGACTGTATTGCAGCCAATAGAGATCACTTCGAATGAGCTTTTTATACTTTAAATTGTTTTATATTTATGTATTAAACTAACACACTGTAAAAGTAATAAATGTTATTTGCAATAGATTTTTTTTATTTTTAATTGTAACAGTATTTATGGCCAGACTAAGTATATATTCTATATATAATCTGAATCTCGGAAACGGTTCCAACGATTTTTATAAAATTTAGTATACAGGGGATTTCGGGGGCGATAAATCGATCTAGCTACGATTTATTTTCAGAAAATGTTGTTTTATTCGTGTTTTCAATAATCAACTTTATTGATATCTTATCCCTTCGTTAGGTAACACTTTACAAAGTATGCATACGTCTGATTATAGCTATGCGAGAGTTGCCAGAGGGTCGTGGTTCGTTGGGAAAGTCGATCTTCAAAACGATCTGGGTCTTGAAACTATTAGGGTATCCAGCCTAGAGAGGCCACGTACCCTAGTCCTGTATTGAAAGTTAGGTGGTTATTACGAATCAATGATAAATTAAACATAAAATAAATAATGGTCGTTTTAATCAGTTTAAATCTGTGGGAGGTCGTTGGCTGGGTGGCCAATTATGCAATAAGGACCAATAAGCAAATCATTCTATCCGTATGTTTGCGTCTGAGACAATCATTCACTTAACTGATTAAAAGTAAATTAATATTCGCATTTATCCATCTATTCAAATTCATATACCTACACACTATGTTTTCTAAGAAAATCATATAATATGTACCTACACGTACGAATCATCGTAATGACACTTGAAGTAAGTTTTGTATTATTGAAAATTTTAATATTTTAAATTAGCTACCACAAGTGATTGTGGTGATGACGCCGACACGTATCATCAAAGATTATTGAAACATTTTTAACAGACAATCAGTCCACCGTGAATTTACTGTTATGGGTCAAGTGTGTGGCGGCATCTATCAACTAACCTGGAAACCTGAATCTTAATTTCTGTTTTATTGCTTCAATGGGTGGACGAGCTCACGGCCCACCTGGTATGAAGTGATTACCGGAGCCTATAGACATACGGCGTACATACCGACACCCACGAAGATACTGAGAATGAATCTATTTCTAAAATACTTAGAAGACTAAAGCATACATTAAAAACAAAAGAAGGTAAAGTTAAGTAATCCAGGCGCTTAGTGACAGAAATCGACGTAATTACTTCAATACGCCACGTAGGGCACCGGTGACCTACACAGCAGTCAAACGTCCTTACGGATCCATCAGATCCAATAACCTTTGCATTAGACGCCTTCAGCTCTAACACTAGGAGCAGGCTTAGGGACCTCGGTAACCGTACTCGTCGAACTCGATAAAGAGTTCGCCGTGCAACCTAACCCATGAATCAGCTCGCTGAGTTTCTCGCCGGATCTTCTCAGCGGGTCGCGATTCCGATCCGGTAGTAGATTCATTCGCGAAGCAGCTACTCTTGAGCTCTCAGGTCTCCTTCGGAGGCGCTCGGGTAGCTGTTAGCAAATCCCACCCCTCCTGGCTGAGCCTTTGCTCGCCCACCTGCCCTGGTGAAACTGGAAAGGCCTCCGGGCCACCAGTAATCCTTCAATCATAAAAAAAAGGGCTAACCTGTATTACACTAAATGGTAGCACCCATCCATGTATTTAATCTATTTTTGAAACTCGAACATGTTCGAACATAATATTAATGATATAAACAAAATATGATCTGCCAAGACAATGAACTATGACATTGTGATTCGTCGAAAAAACAAAAGTTCAAATTTCTTTTGTTTATCATCAATGAATGGGTATTGACGCCAAATTAAATAGGTAAGTATTTCTCTTATCTGTCTCAAAAGATGTATGTCGCAGTCATGTTTCAAAGTTAGTCATAATGATAATGTTTATTATTGTAGGATTTTTGTAATATCACCATATTATTTTCGTTCAGAATAATCATACACCCACAGGACGTCAGTAGTAGTCATTATCACATCGTCATCATCGTCAGCATCACCATCTGTCAGTCGGCGGGCTAGTCCAAGCCCGCCTGGACGGCGCCTCCAACTCGTAACCTCGGGATACCTCAGTGGGTCGGAACCAGGATGGGATGGGGCGTGCGATAACTGTAAGAGGCGTGTAGAGCGCGATAGTCATATACTTTGTGTTATTCAGCTGTGCATACGGGATACGAACGTTTGAATCTTTTTGTTTAAGTCGCATTCAAAGGTGTGGCACTGTTCATTGGCTGTTCTCGGATCTGGTACAAGCACTTCCCACATTAATCATATTCTGACAGCATATATGGGCCAGGCGAAAAGTAAGAAGGCGTCCTCGGTTGCGTTTCACCCAGTATTCGAGGATAGGACATCGACCCCCTGGACTATACCTCCAGTACGAATGGCCCAGATTGGGCCTAGGACGGCGACGCACCCCGGGCATGGAGGTCGGCTTGCCACCGGTAATCAGTGTTCTTAGTGCGATTTTTTTAAGTTCTCGATCGCGTAAAAGCTTGCAACAAGTTCGCTACGTTTGCCGCTAGGGGCGCTGTTCCAACTCTATACACAAATTATTATTATTTTTTTGTATGACGACGCTTGCAGCTGAAAGTAAGTATTGTACTTTTTGACGAAGCATGTTGCTGGTAACTCTATTTTTGTAATCTGACGAAGCATGTTGCGGATAATAACATGTACTTTTAGGTTAGGAATATTGTGTTCTTTTTTTTTATAATAAATAAAGTTATTTTCAATACGCAAATTTGAGTTAACTTTTACGCGATCAAGAAGTTAAAAAACTGACACTACGCACACAGGACTACTTATACCTCGTTCTTCTTCTTCTCAGTCGTGTCACTCTTGACAGAGTGGTCGTGATCGTCATGTAGTGTTGGAAGGGGTAGACTTGATGCGTCTCACGATGTCGCGCCATCTCTCCCTGCTCGAGGCCATTCTACTGCACTCATTTAGGGGACCTCCCACTGCAGTTTTAATTTGGTCGGTCCACCGAAATGTGGTGCTGGAGAAGAATGCTTGGAGTTTCGTGGATCGACTTTCGTACAAATGTCTCGATACTTCAGGAACTCGGCATCAAGCAGCGTCTATTTGGTATAGTACAGTCTCGAATGGTGAATTTCTTCGGACACGTTTCGCGACGAGATGGTCGGTCCATAGAACGCCTCGTTGTACAGGGAAGCGTTGATGGTACAAGACCGCGCGGGAGGCCACCAATGCGGTGGACCGACCAAACCTCGTTAAATGTATTATTATAGCAAATTGTGATTCAATAAAAATATGGTAGTACGTCGCAAACTCTCGTTGTAAATGTTACGAATTAAATCTTCACCGTGGAAGTCAATCGTGAACAATTGTTGAGTACGTATTTCATTAGAAAAATTTGTACCCGCGTGCGGGATAACATCGTGCAATAACATCGTGTAATAAAAATCAAACCCGCAAAATTATAATTTGCGTAATTACTGGTGGTACCTCTTGAGAGTCCGCGCGGGTAGGTACTGGTACCACTCTGCCTATTTCTGCCGTGAAGAGTAATGCGTTTCGGTTTGTAGGGTGGGGCAGCCGCTGTAGCTATACTGAGACCCTAGAACTTATATCTCAAGGTGGGTGGCGCATTTACGTTGTAGATGTCTATGGGCTCCAGTAACCACTTAATATCAGGTGGGCTGTGAGCTCGTCCACCCATATAAGCAATAAAAAAAAAAGAATTAAAACTTTGTGTTATATTGCTGTAACAAATAAATCGCATTGTATATAACAAATATATTCATTAGTATGTTGTGTGTGACCGCGTAATCAGCACGAAACTAAAATGCACGTTAAAGTCCCAGATGTGAAGAAATGTTGTTTTTGCATTCCTTTACGGCGTGGGATACTTTTGTTTGGGATTGTAAATATTGTAAGTAGTATTAGTTATTAGTCCTTTTTATATAACTGAGTTCGTACATGATGGCGCTAGGTTAATTATATATCCTGCCGAGTTTCCATCATGCGTTTTTATTTGCAGGGAAGTACTTAATAGCCGTTATCCTAATGCAATTAGGATTCACTATCCAATTAATTGTATTATAGTTTGACTACGCATATATAAATAGCGTATTTCTAATGTATCAGATTTAATAAATAATAAAGCACATACTTTTTTTTTGTTAATACAAATTATTTGCTTAAGTTAATGCGTTGCTTTACTAGGCGAATTTCAAAACGTCATAATTACAGATAAAAAAAAATTTTCAAATTTTTTTTTTATATTCTTAAATATGATAATATTTCCTACCTTTCTTTCGTTTTGCCTACATGTGGAGAAACGGAAATTTCGGAGATGTTACATTTGAAAAGATTTCCAAGTTGTCGTGAATTGATTCAAAATGTTATTGATTGTTCTAGATTATATCTATCGTAGCTGTGTCGTTTCTAGTTATCACGACAGAGCTACACAGGTCAACGGCACTGAACGACGATTCTATGGAGGTGACTACCTCTACTGTTCTCTTTAGTATCTTTGGAATGAGCATGATATTAAATATCTTGCTACTCGTGGCTGGATATCAGGTATATTAGATCTTTTTTCATGAAACAATACCTATTGTAGGTTAGTACGGATAAAAAATTATGTTTAAATTGGGTTTTTTTTTTATTTATTGCTTAGTTGGGTGGACGAGCTCACAGCCCACCTGGTGTTAAGTGGTTACTGGAGCCCATAGACACCTACAACGTAAATGCGCCGCCCACCTTGAGATAAATTCTAAGGTCTCAGTATAGTTACAACGGCTGCCCCACCCTTCAAACCGAAACGCATTACTGCTTCACGGCTGAAATAGGCAGGGTGGTGGTACCTACCCGCGCGGACTCACAAGAGGTCCTACCACCAGTACAAGTGTGTGCTTTTTCATTAAATTGGTGCAACCGTCACTAAATTTATTGTTTTTGAATTAAAATTTTATTATTTATTTATAAGCAACAAATTCATTGCCCAAGAGACGCATCCTATATGGGCGAACTATTTTTTTTCTTACTTATTCGCTAATAGCCTAGGGGCTATTCCATGTTTTCCCCCCTATTTGTTGGTAGCCTAAGGGACTATTCTAGTTACGCCCGGACGGGTAGGTGAGCTTACGGGCTCAACTTTTTTTTTTTATTGCTAGATGGGTGGACGAGCTCACAGCACACCTGGTGTTAAGTGGTTACTGGAGCCCATAGACATCTACGACGTAAATGCGGCACCCACCTTGAGATATAAGTTCTAAGGTCTCAAGTATAGTTACAACGGCTGCTCCACCCTTCAGACCGATACGCATTACTGCTTCACGGCAGAAATAGGCAGGGCGGTGGTACCTACCCGCGCGGACTCACAAGAGGTCCTACCACCAGTAAAAAACCTGTAAAAAACCTGAGACAATTTGCTAACGCTAGCCTCAGCAAGAGCAGTGCTTCACAGATTCTACCACCGGGTAGGAATGGCGACTCACTGAGAAGATCTGTGGGTTACTCAGTGGCTTAATTGGCGACAAAATATAATTTATCTATGTAGTATTAAAATAATTTTGTGAGCCGGATTATGGCGGAGTATCGGTAGCTTAGTTAACTGGATATCTTTGTAGGTACTCGTATGACGAAAAGTTTGAAATTGTATTTTTTTATATTTTTTTTATTGCCATTGTAGGCAGACGAGCATACGGCCCACCTGATGGTGAGTGGTTACCGTCGCCCATGGACTTCAGCAATGCCAGGGGCAGAGCCAAGCCGCTGCCTACCACTTAATACTCTCCACAAGCCTCGTTTGAAGAAGGACATGTCATAGCGCTTGGGAAACACCGTGGAGGGGAGCTCATTCCATAGCCGTATAGAATTTTGTATAGAATTTTTAAAGAAGAGTTGAAATGTTTCCAGAAAGACATCTCAATGTTGCGTTTGTATAATTATTACGGCGTGGTCACTATATTCGCGGCATTGATCCCAACTTTCATGCTGCTCTCTCGGAAGATGGTTTTCAAAGTTTTGGCCGCCTTCATAGCTATAGGTAATCCATATTGGTAGGTAACATGTTAGTAAGTAGTAGTTACTAAGTGATTATTATTCACACAACATCAAATGCAATACATACATAGATAAGTGGATTTTTTATATTTGTTTTTTTTTTTTTTTTTTATTGCTTAGATGTGTGGACGAGCTCACAGCCCACCTGGTGTTAAGTGGTTACTGGAGCCCATAGACATCTACAACGTAAATGCGCCACACACCTTGAGATATAGTTCTAAGGTCTCAGTATAGTCACAACGGCTGCCCCACCCTTCAAACCGAAACGCATTACTGCTTCACGGCAGAAATAGGCGGGGCGGTGGTACCTACCCGTGCGGACTCACAAGAGGTCCTACCACCAGTAATTACGCAAATTATAATTTTGCGGGTTTGATTTTTATTGCACGGTGTTATTCCTTCACCGTGGAAGTCAATCGTGAACATTTGTTGAGTACGTATTTCATTAGAAAAATTGGTACCCGCCAGCGAGATTCGAACACCGGTGCATCGCTCGATACGAATGCACCGGACGTCTTATCCTTTAGGCCACGACGACTTCTTTAAATGCACCGGACGTCTTATCCTTTAGGCCACGACGACTTCTTTATGTATTACTATTACTAAATTAGAGAGGTATCTATAGTTCGTATTCACTTTTCTACTTCTAATGTATAATAATGTAATGGTATATTGTATAATAAATAATAAATAAATGGTAATGGTATAATAAATAACCTGTATGGGTATATTAAGATGTAATGTAGGTACATTTATAGTTTATATATAGTAAATTGTATGTAGATTGAATTCTCCAATAATGTAGTTAAATTTACCTAAAATACGAAATTACAATTTCATTTTTTTATGATTTTATTTGATTTCATTGAAAATACGCATAGGCACATAAACATTATAGATTTTTTAACTTAAATTACATTTCAGCAATGCAAATTTACGTCATCATATTAGTGAGGAGTGAAATTGTCAAGCTAGAAAAGGCTCAAATAAAAATAGACGATGAAGTACCGCCGCCGTGTCCCGAGGAGGCTTTTGTTGATGCTGATACAGAAACTTTATTGTAGCTAACGTTTTAAACCCGTAAGTCGATCTTTGGAAATGATGAACGAAAAATAAAAATATTAATGATATTCTGGTTTTATTTCTCAAGTAGAGTATTTAGTTTTCAATGAATTAATTTTATGTGTACGTCAGCTCGCAACTTGGTTCGTCTGCAATGTCCTTTCGCGTTAGACCTGTTTTCAGCAATGGGATGAAAGGTAGAATGAAATGGGATGGGAAAGGATGGGTGAAATGGGATAGAGTACCCAAAATATTTGCGAGGGTTTGCACTGTTTCTAAAATTTATTCTATGATTTGGACATGAAAATCTAACCGTCTGTACAGCGCTACTTTCGTATTTACAATTTTAGTATTGATGAGCCAAGTACCAAGCGCTGCTTTTTTTTGGGTCAAGAGAAAATCGCCGGACTCGGGTCTACGCGCTGTGGGCGGTTGGTGGGCACGTCGGAGTTGAACCGATTAAAACCTCCTATGGCCAGCTTATGTCCAAAACTCGGATGAGACAGACCTTTTCCTCAATATCGGTAATAAAATATCTAATTTCGGTAATGAAAATATGATCATGGGGTGGGAACTAAGCATTTATAAGAGACCTAGTAACCTAGTTTTATATTCACTGGTTTATCATGGGGTTAAATCAACACTAAGGTACTTCGTGTGTGAAGTGCACCAAGTCAATAACTATATTTAAAAAATAACTTTTACAAAATTATTCAATTATAATGTTTAAGCATAATAAGCAGTGTCACTAATTTTTTGTGCTCCATAGCTTATAAATCTTAGAATATGTAGTATCAGGCAAGGAACTTTCATTGCGAATTTCGTGCCACTTGCATTCGATATTGCTAAGTTTCAAAATCAAAAAATCTGAGACGATTCAGAAAACAGGGCCGCGAATACGACACGTTACGTTGAATGAGAACCGAACAAGAAGTTCTTCTCAATTACGTAATATTATTATTGAGGCGGCTGCGTTTACGGCAGCACGATTCCCGTACAGCGTTAATACCCTCATATTCATATGAAATGCTTTAAGTATTCCCAAATTTTGAACGGGAGCACAGGTGGTCGGCCCCAGGACACACAGTCGTGACTTACGCAGAGCCCGCCATTGTTTCGATAATATTCATTGAAATAACGAACCCGCTTAAATATAACATTGTATACGAAATTGGCCATTACGACTCGTGGTCTGACGGCAAAGACACCGCAACATGTTACGCTTGTAGTTTATTGAAGGAAAGCGCATAGGTATTTTTCTTTGTCGATTCGAGTCTTGGTTTTTGTAAAATTACGCGAATGTCAGTTTCAACATGAGTTCGTTCTCATTAACCGTGTTTCATAGGAAACGCTTTTCAAAATTTGACGCGGTGCGTGTCGTGTAATGTAAATTGTCTTAAGAATAAAATTAAGATGTTGAGTTTGAATGTGTTTTTGAGGGGTGTCGACGTACCACGTACACGTCAATGCTTAATTAAAACAAAGCAATAATTATGCATGTTGTATTTAACATGAAATAACAGTATATTAAACAACATTTACAATTGTAATTTTAGGAGTGTGATTTTAAATGTTTTAATTTTAGCGGGCTTTCTGTCTCTCTCCCACAGACTATCTCAATGTTTGTAGAGGAAGCTGTTAGTATCTGTAGGTGCATGTACAATCCGCCATAGGTAACGAACTAGATTTTCGAATTATTGTCTATTGATTATTATTGAAGTTGCATATATAGTAACGTGATATGCACTTACAAGTATTATTCTTGTGTTTGTGTATTGGAACGAAGTTCCTTACGGCAAGCTTGGAGGGGATAGGGATTTTGCTGCGCGACCGAACTGAAAAAAATGTGATAGTAAAACCGTAAGAAAAAATCCGTGGAAAAAAGTGCGTGGAATAAAACCGTTAAATGAGACGTGCGCAGGCGCGACAGTCGTATACACAAGCGAGTAGTGTATAATACCTTTCTCTTTCTCCCTCTTTCTTTTCGTTCTCTCATCCCTTCTCTCTCTATTTTGTAATTATTTCTATTTCTATGTAATTTTATGTTGTCAAACAAAAATAAAGAGACATATTTTGTTATTTTAATTGATAATTTGAATTACGATTTTATTTTTATTTTACGTAATTTATTATTTCCTAAAATACTGAATTTCCTAAATACTTTCCTGTACTTAAATAAAAACTAATCAGCAAAATTTAAGAGAAAAATAAAGAAAACCAACATAAAATTGAGCACGATTTTTTTTTTGCAAATTGTGGCGATTCTACATTAGCCGAAGGAACTTCGTTCCTACCTGGTGTCCCACGACACCACATTTAATTTTTATATTATTGAAGATATTTGTATAGAAAAACAAAAAATGCTCGTTAGCAGTGTTTGATAAAAGAGTAGATTTTAATAAATTTATTTTGATTGATAAAGTTGTTTTGCTGTTTGAAGCAATGCGTACATGTAGCACTTCTTCGTCCACCATTTTGAATATGATCTAATGATTCTGAATATTTAATAATAAACATACTTTGCTTTTCAAAAATTCTATTAATATGTAAGTTCATTACGTGCATAGCTAATTGGCCGACCAGTTTAATACTTCGATGTATGTACACTTAGCATTTATTATAGTAATTTCCTATATGCCTCAGTTTCTGTAGGTATATTTAAGTAGCATATGGCATACGAGTGAGAGAAGTCTGAAAACCGCAACCGCTGTGGGCGGGAAGGACATGATCAGTTAGGTACACGCTGTTTAAGGACATATCAGAAACTCGTAAAAAAATAATGAAAACATTTTATGAGTTTTGCGTTAATTATGTAGAGAATAATGATACGAAAAATTCTAAAGCTTTGATGTAATTAAGAGGGAATAAAAATAAATAATATGTACGAAACTATTTCAAGCACAAAGCGAAATTGACCTAGAGTTTTTTTTTCCTTTTTATTGACCTTGTAGGCAGACGAGTATACTGCCCACCTGATGGTGAGTGGTTACCGTCGCCCATGGACTTCAGCAATGCCAGGGGCAAAGCCAAGCCACTGCCTACCGCTTAATACTATCCACAAGCCTCGTTTGAAGAAGGACATGTTATAGCGCTCTGGAAACACGGGTGATTTGAAGTATATAGTTTGTGATAGTCCAAAATGGGTTAATACTTTATAAGCCTTCTTTTTTAAATAAAATTAGATAGTATACGACCCACACATGACTTGGAGCTATTTTTATTAAATTTCAAGACAAAACCATTAAGTTATTTGCATTATTCAATGTTGTCAGGGAATTCAGGTTTCAGGAAGATTCTAATTATGTTTTTAAATGGTACTTTAAGCGTAGCCGAGTCTCGGTAATGTAAAATGCACTTATTAGCAGAGGAGGGCGCCGTGAGAGCAGCGCCTAATGGTGCCATTCAACGGTTGAATGGAAACGCGAAATTGCCAACAATTATATACTTTCGGAATGATAACCGGTGGAAGGCCTTTACGAGGCGTCCGCGGACGAACGTCTCGTCCTAGTTGAGACTATGATGCAGGCTCAGGAGAAAAGGTTTATTTATTTCAAACTAGTGGTCCCGCAGTCGAAATTCGACCTATAATTAATTGAAATTATAAGTTTAAACATTATTATAGTTCTATTTTCAAACGCTATAATACATCTATAACATAATCACAGATTTCGCTAAAACTAGACTATAGGTAAATAATATTGAAGATAAACAATATTAATGTATTTTTATTACACAATTTAAAAAAAAATTGCATTCTGCACTCCTTCTCTATATTCTCCATAAGTGTGGGAAATTTCATGTTCCTCCGTCCACGCAATTTTCGTAAAAAGGGTAAAAAATTTTTGCTTCACGTATTAATGTAAGGTATATGCTATTGTGATTCTAATATATTATATATTATTATACATATGTATTATAAATAATATTTTTATTGTCGATTTAAAAAAAAATACGCATCAATCCTCCAGCGACCATGAAAAGTGTAAAGCAATCGAAACATCGGAAATAATATGAAGAAAATAGAATGCACCAGATTAAATTCTAAATTTGGTTTTAATTATGTCAACGGCTCGCGAAAACGGAAGAAACCGAAAAAAAATAATACTAAATGTATATTTAGTTGTATCGATTCATTGATTTTGTTGATATATAAATTATTGTTACAACTAGATGTCAATTAATAAACTTTTGAACAAAGAACGCGAACCGAAACGTTTATTGTCAACATTAAATTGATGGTATCTGGGTGAGGCGAGGCGAGGTGACGTCACAACATGGCGGGCAGGTAGGCAGTAGTGGAGATAGGATCCGGTCATCCTGTCCATTTCCGGTCTTCACGCGGCCGTGACGCTTCCGGGCACGCGTCGCAGCCGTCGCCGACGTTGATATAAAGCAGTGTGCACTGGACAAGACACTGCTAAATCTTACTAATGATAAATACATAAACGAAAAAAATGTATCCATGCTCTTATGAGCCGATAAATAATTATGCCCATTGTTTTTTTTAAATTTATTGCTTAGATGGTTGAACGAGCTCACGGGCCACCTGATGTTAAGTGGTTACCGGAGCCCATGGACATCTACAGTGAAAACGCCGGCCACCCATCTTGAAATATGAGTTCTAAGATCTCATTATAGTACAACGGCTACCCCACCCTTCAAACCGAAACGCATTACTGCTTCACGGCAGAAATAGATAAGGTGTCGATGCCGTAAAGATAACATATTGCCGGGTTCCAAGGGAAGGTCTTCCACCTCACGTCCCCACGTGGACGGTGGTGTTTAAGTTGTCTTAATTATTGCTTACGGATACGGTTTCTCTCCAGGTGAGCCGTGAACTTGAATTTGTATGCAGAGACAAGTGTCAACAACAATACCACCCACTACTGAGGAAGGAAACCGATTTTGCTATTTCTTAGTTAATCTGTTATTCTAATATCGTTCGTAAATCGAAAGTTATACTTTTTGTAATTGTGTTACTCGGACTGGCTCTTCTATTAAA